TATTGGGGGGTTTACACTCCCCCACTCCCGCCCCCCCCCCTCTTTACCAGCCCCTATTTATATGTATAGTACATACAGCAGTACTCTATCATATGGTAAATAACTTGATGAACAAAAAATGATTACTATTGATTTATGTAGTTTATTATTCGTAAAGAAATTTCATTTAAAAAAAAATCAGATTTAGCTCTTAACAAATCAACGTCAGCAGAGTTTTGAAAAAATCCAGAGTACGTTGGCTTCATTTAATTTTTTTTTTATTCGATATTTGTCTTCATTGAATAATTCATTTGTTTACCACCAAGTTTGGTACTGCTAAAGAGAAACCTGATAAAGAACTTCATTTTTTTTCTAGGCGATATACATTATGTATTTTTTTTTGAAGGAAAAATTTCTCAATGAAGCTTTTTAAAAGTCATTTATGGCTTTTTTTTAGTTTTCAGACCTTTTTCTTGTTTTCCATGGCTTTCTTTGTTGATGAAAACTATGCGCATCAGAAGAAATTCGGCAGCACTGACAGGAGAACTACTAGTTCAGTATAGTGCGACATCTAACCATCATATAATTTATTTATGTATTTTGATATTGATAGAATTACCAATTTCATCTGATTGAATGACGCGAAACATGTGTATTCCATGATTGGATTGGATCTATTTGGTTTATTCCTTGAAAAGTCTTTGCTTTTGACAAAGCACCGTTTACTATCTAATTTTTTTGTTTCTGACAACAAAAGTAGATGATAGTGTATCTAAAAAAGGATCATATGAAAAATCGAATCTTTTAAAAGTAAAATATAACATTGAAGATTTGATCTGTAAACTATTTGATTTAGCTTTTCATTGCTTATTTTAGCGATTTTAAAATAACATGCATATTCAAAAACGTATTGTTAGTACAGAAGTCCGTAATGGCTTCCATCAAGAATCATCAATGCCAACAGAGCAAAAAAAACACAAATGTTGGCGTCGATTTATGAATGAACGAGCCATTAGTCGAGCATATATACCTACTGCACATGGTATGGTTTCTTTAATTTTAAATGTATTTATTTGAGCACTTTTTTTCATCATAGAGCATGCAGCAAACTGTCTAACGCATGGTTGTCTTATTGTACCATCGTTTATTGCTGCTCAACGATTGATATCTCGTGCAGATACATCAGAACAATACTGGAGCAGTGTTATTTATGGCAATGCTCTCATATTACTATTTTCTTTTTCTACGATCTTTCATTGTTCATGCTTTCATCCAACATATAGGTACAAACCAAATAAGAGTAACTCATGAAATCATTTACAAAAATAAATCTTTTCTTTTGTTTTACAGAGATTCAAAACTCAGGCATTTATTACATCGTGTCGATCGAGCTATCATTTATATTTTCATAAGTTCTAGTTATACACCATGGTAAAACAATAATAATGCTTCCTGTAGAATTTTTCTATTTTGATTATTATTATTATTATTAAGGCTTCTTCTTCGTACAACACAAAGTATGTCAGCAGCAACTACAATAACAGTCGTTTGGATCATGGCTATATTAGGCATGACTTTTCAAATTTTATATCATGAAAGATACAAATTACTTGAAACATGTTGCTATATTGTCGTTGGTGTTCTTCCCACAATTATCATCATAGATATGGTTAGTTTATATGAGGCATAAAAATGATGTGAATTATATTTGATTTGACTTCAGGTTGAACACGAAGGTTTATTTGAAATGGGCATCGGTGGTTTTGCATTTCTTTCAGGTGTAGTCTTCTTTAAATGTGATGGTATCATACCATTTGCACATGCAATTTGGCATTGTTTTGTTTTTCTCGGCGCATCAATTCATTACTATTCAGTTTACAATTATCTTATTGTGCCGGCATCTCATAAGCCAGATTCCATGACAAACAATATGACTTCTCTCATCTAATAAACATCAATATTTTCTTTTATCTATTTTTTTAAATTAATCTTCTATAATAAATGAATCTATGTGTACTTCGAGCTTTATCCATTTCATAATATTACAAATCGTTTTCTAACATTAATCTTTATTTTGTAAACAGTGAAGTTTGTTATATAGTTCTATTTTGTCGTGTATATTCTTGCGTAGAGTATGCATTTTTCTTCTGGCGCTCTAGTTTGTTTTTGTTTTTCTTTTTGCTTTCTTGAATGCAGCAACGGTTTCAATTGACTTTTTTTCTGTGAATGAAAATCCTAAACATAAGCTAAAATAGAATCTTGTCGTATAAAGAACATTATTTTATTTATTCACTTTAAATACAAAAAAAGGAACAGCACGTTTGACTATTATTTTTTTGTTTCGTCATTAAGCATTCTTGAATGAAAATACAATAATCAATTGTGGTCACAACATTGAGAGAATTCAATCAAATAGAAGGAAAAGCATTTTTATCATTTTTTCTTTTTCTTTTTGCCTTTCTTAGCTCCTTCCCATGCAAAACCTCGTGCTTCTAAACAATCGGCAACATTATGGCATATGTAATATGCGTTGATGACAGCAGCTGGTGATAAAACATCAACTTCGGGACGATCATCAGCATTTTTAGAATTAGCTTTACGTTTCGATGAGCCTTCTTTCTTCTTTTTTGCTGGCTATAGATACATGGAAAAATGCAAATGTAATAAGTTTTTCATTGTTTCTTACCATAATTGAACGAAAAAGCAAAAAAAAACTTTTAAAACTGCATTCGACTTAACGCTTCTTTATAATGCAGCGCTCCTTTTTATATTCTTTTCTTCTGTAATAACAAAAGTCATGCGGACTTCTCATACAAAAACAAAAATAATAGATGATGAAGGATTTCTTTTCTGTTTAGTGTAATACCATAGTTGTAAGTGTCACCAAGGAGAATACACTTACGAAATAGATGCTAAGATAATTCATTTCTTTTTATTGTTTCACAAACTCAACCAATGAAATATGTTTGTCTTAAATCATTCTTATTCCTTTATCCGACTATAACAAAAGTTTGTGAAAGTCGACACTCTTGTTGACTTAAGGTAAACTTTGTAAATATAAAAGTATATTCATCTTTTTCTCTCGTCATTCATTATTGCAATATAGAAGTAATAACATATTTTTAATAGGAAGTCATATTTCTTTAGTATCATGCGAAATATTTTTAAACGAAAATCACGTAAACCGAAAGGCTCCATAAATGAGGCTGATCCACCACTATCCAACCCATCAGAAGCAACAGCATCGGGAAATGTAACTTCATCAGCACGATCAGCTCCCTATACATATTCTTCAAATGTCTACGCTCCAGTTACTTCTAAGCCATTACATGCTAGCAAACGTGGTGAGCAACAAAAACTAATATTTCATTGTCAATTAGCACATGGTAGTCCAACTGGTGTTATAACAGGCTTTAGTAATGTTAAAGAATTATATCAAAAAATAGCCGACTGTTTTGAAATACCAGCATCAACAGTAAGCATAATTTATTGTTGAAATTAGAAGAATAAAATTTAGATTGTATTTTATAGATTCTATTTTGTACATTAAATACACATAAAATTGAGATGAGTAAATTATTAGGTGGACAAATTGGTTTAGATGATTTTATATTTGTACATGTTAAAGGACAAGCAAAAGAAATAGAAGTTGTTAAATCAGAACCTGCTCTTGGTTTGACTATTACTGACAATGGAGCAGGTTATTTTAGACTTTATTTTATTAATGAAAATAATTTTAATTGATTTTCATTCTAATCGATTAGGCTATTCTTTTATCAAACGTATTAAAGAACAAAGTGTAATTGAACGACTTCAAAATCTTGTCAAAGTTGGTGACCATATTGAAAAAATAAATGATACATCGCTTGCTGGCACACGACATTTTCAAGTAGCTAAAATGTTAAAAGATATTCCTGTTGGTTCAACATTTAAATTACGTTTAATCGAACCAAATACTTTTGGATTTCGTATGCTCATTTGCTTTTATTTTCCTCTACGTGTACTATTGTTATTATATTTTTTTAAGAAATTGAACCACCTCAACGTCGTCGTAAGGCAGGTGGTGATATTAAAAATGGTACCAAAACTCTTCGTTTTAAAGCTGATGGTAAAGCAAGTATTGAAGAAGTTGATGATGTTATGGTAAAAGCCATTGAACGTATTAATGGTCTTCTGGAAACTTATATGGGTATAAATGATTCTGAACTTGGTAAGCATAAAAATATATTCTCGAAACTACGATTATAATAATCAATGAATCATTTGATATAGAAAACCATGATATTGATATTATACTTCTGTTTCATTTGAGATTTGAGCATATATATTTACTGAAATATATGTTCATTTTTTTATAAAAATTTTGATGTGTGATTTATTTTTAGCACATCAAATTTGGGATTTAGCAGAAAATAAAAGTAATCCAAGTGATTTTACTTTGGCTATTAATGATTCAGAACTTGGCTCGTTTAACTTTACAGATGACTTTGTGTTTGATATATGGGCTGCAATTGATGATGTTAAAGTTGGACGTCTTCCAGAAGAGAAAGAATTTGAAAATGAACGACTATAGAATATAATTTGTTTCATTTATTAGTCAACGCCGGTGCATATTTTACTTGTTTTCAAAAACTTAAACAAATGCGCACATGTGAACATTTTTATTTTATTTTTTGTAAATATGCTATTGTTCGACTCATTTTAATTTTCTAGTCTTCTCTTAAATTGAGTCGCGATGATAACAGGAATTTAGATGCTTTCGCTGCAACCATTGATTGTGTTTTTTCTTTTTCGGTTCATTCTTAAATCATTTTATTTTTTTGTTTTCGTAACATATTTTGCTATTTTATTATCAAGTAAATCAAAACTGACTCTTTCTTCATTTTTTTCGATAAACAAGAACTGAAATGCTCACTTGCACTATTTCCAAACTAGACTGAATTGAAATTTTGTTTTTGCCAGTTCTACCGACTATTTACTCGTTCTTTCATGCATGAGCTATTCAAATTATTTTGTTGTATTTTTCTTGTTATTCCGATTGAATAAGCTTAAAAGTAAAAATAATGACAAAGAATGAGCCAGAAAACAGAAGCCAAGGTTTTCTTGTACTTTTCTCGTCGACTAAAATCATGAGTTTCAACATACTTATCATTGAGATAATCATTTGACTAAAGTTCTTATCAAACGCGACAGATATGTCTGAAGAAACAAAGTCAATAGAAAAATGTTTTGAATAAATCTGCACGTGTTTAATATTGCTGACTAGAAGAATTCGGACAATGAATCGAATAATACGAAAGCATAGTAATGCTACTAAAATACTTAGCTATTATTAATCATACTGCCATAAGTTGATCAAAATTTAAGATCTGATTGTTTTTATATTTTCAAAAATAATAATTACATTTTCTCTCAGACATTATTTTCATTGTCTTTTTTTAACAATTAAATTTTCCATCGTCCATCACATCAATGAACATCGATGTTTATTCAATTAAATTTTGAACTCTAGAGAATTCTATGTCTTCTTTAGAATAGATAGTAATCTAGCGTTATCAACTAACATGTCAATAGCAATATACGATGTTTGCATGTCAACTAGTATCTTTCGACAGATGGAATAACGATTCATAGGAAAAATACCGCTCATAAAGCAATAACCTGCAAAATATATAATAATGAAGATGAGAATTGACCAAAAGAGTAACTCTCACTTATCGTATAGATTTCAAAATTTGGATTTAAATTGTTTTCCAAACTAGTTTAAGATGAAGTCATATTCACCTTTATTAAAAATGAAAGAATATTTAGGTTTCTTTTTTTATTTTATTTCTTAGATGTGTATGCGTGCGTGTGCACTTTGATTACCGCTGGGAGGTGGAATGAGAATGATACAATTTAGCGAATAAGTGAGTGAATGAGGAAATCAGCATACACACACAAAATCACTTTGAATGAATTTCGATACCCTAACCATCTGTGCGCATATGCATAATTAGACGAGGGGAAACACTTCAAGTTCTTTTAGCCGGAAAACACAACAGTCACGGCCTCACATATTATCCTCACCAAACTAATTGCCTTTTGCAACACACACACACACACATATATATATACATATTCTCGTGAGAAAAAAAGATGATCCTACCGGCAGTACAAGGTCATTGTAGATCATGGTTCAACAAGCAGTTAATCATCTCGTATAAACTCATTAGTTGGATTTCGTCAACAATACATACCAAAAGAAAAGGCACGTTCATCATGATACAGCTACATTAGAGAAAAGCATCTTTCTCTTCTGTTTCTTTTAACTTATCGTTTTGTTTCTCAAGTGGATAGTTGGAGTCAAATTGAAAACAGATATATCAAGAGTAGCAAATGAAAAAGTCGTTTAATCGTCTGTCTAACGTGGCAATGAACTTTGTACAAACACGAAACAATATACGATCATGTCATCTGAATGATGGATGGTTCAATCAAAAATAAATAACAATTTTCTGAACATTCTTCTTTTTCTCTATAACTCAGCTGATCAACTGCAGAGAAACATCTGGTGATCGAATACATATTTTGAGGAAGAAAAAAAGAAGTTTTATATAGCTTAATTGACCACTTATATCATACTTTGATCTTAAGCTTATTTTATCAAATGCTTGCGTGATGGAAAGACAAACGACGCTCGGTCACTTCACTGGCACCAATACGTACATCATGCGATGATATAATTGCGGGGCTATACCTAGATATTCGCTCTTTCTTTCTCGCACTCATTCACTCTTTCTGCTTGCTTTCTTCTCTTGTCCTGAAATACAGACCATCAACCTTATAGATCGTTTGGCTTCCAAATGAGATGTGTTATCAATTAGACTGAGTGGTTGCGGTCGAAACTCTTGAACGTTGTAAGGTAAATAAACGATCGTTTTCGTTATATTTGGTGTAAAGAATGATTTTAAATGTTTTACTTTTACCTTCAACTCTTTCTCAATTTTACTCTTGATGATCATAGAGTATATATATATATATATATATATATGTATTATATTCATCTCATCGTTGTCAAACCCAGCGGCTATCATTCGTAGTTATCGCAGTTTGCATCATACATTGTAATAGAGAGAATGATACGTATAGAATACATCAAACTAAAAATTTCAATGATGATTATGGTAAGAACGTCATCGTTTCGAGACAAAACGTCGTGTTCAATGGAGTTTATATTGAGTAGTAGGAAGTCTTTTCATCTATTTCTTATTCTTTTCTTTTCTTTTCTTGTCTTATTTAATCCGGTCACAGACACAAGAATTACCGTTTCCGTGTCTTTAAGTGACAGTGTGATTTCCGAGTTTTGAATCTTGTTTGTTCTTTACGTCACGTTTGTCCTTCATTTTCTAGTATTCACTTAGGTTCTTATGTCAGAACTAGTATGGAATCCGATCTATATTTCTATATAAATAGAAATAGAAATACGTTCACATATGGACAAAGAAAGAATAGGGTCTCCTGCGGCGGCAACCATTTGACCTAATTATTTCACTTTCGTTCTAGTATTTACATTAATGTCATTTTTTTGTTTTTGTTCTTATCAATGTCATTATCATTATCATTAGCAGTGTACTTGTGCATATAAGCTAGTTAAATGATTGCATTCTTATAATTGTCACTTTTATTTTTTTGAACGAACTTTTTCAATCCTATGTCGATAATCATAGATTCGCATTTTGTCTTGTCAGTCATTCGATGAAAGAACATATCAATTGATTGACCGCGATTGCCGCCCTACTGCTTTTTTCGTCTGCTCGATTTCTATTGAGGCTACTTTAAGAAACGTCAATCGTTTTTTCTTCTTCTTCGTCTTCTCCTCCTTTTCTCTTCTATACACACCCACTACAATTGAACGACACATTTTATTTCAACAATGCAGTACTCATAAAAGAGTACCTCCTGTTTTAATGATTTGGCTCGTTCTATTCGTCGCTTTGTTGTAACAACTTCACACCGCGAGTACACATACATACATACATACATATACTTATAAAGAAATCCGAGAGAAAAATTGACCATCATTACCACCCTATTATCATTCTCTTATAAATTCGTTTAAGAGCAAACCAAGCTCATATTAATTATTTTCTTCTTTATACTCAATTACTCCATCGAATTCGTTTATATATTTGGACAAGTAAGTTTCCGGTCTTTCAATCAGTTTGATCAACCGTGTAAAAGATATATTTATTGTGTAACACTTGAAAATTATCGATTGTTCATATATACGTACATGCATACGTATATGCATATCTTGTCTTGCTTTACTGTGGCTTTCACTTATTCATTGACTACTTAGATTTCAACTAGTAGAATGAAATAATGAATAAGGCAGATTTCGACTTATGATTGTGTCATATTACGAATACGTTCAACATAAAAAAGCGCCTGTCTGTCTTGTCATCTCGTTGAACAAACTCGCAATGTAATATGAATGCAATCATTATCATATCATCATTGATATATATGTATATATATATATATATGCGCTGACTTTTGGACAATAAAAGCGATCGATCGAGTAGTACAGATATTTGTTAGTAGTGTATGACTGTAAGAACGTGCTTCTCTACTAAAAGTTAAGTCATTTTCTTTGCTTTTCTTATCAAGAAATATCTTATTTTTAATGATATTAGTTTTTTATTCTGATAGAATATTGATTTCTTGTTAGAAAATGAAATTTCGTTGATGCATATATATATATTAAGTTTTTCACATCTTATCGTTAAGTCGGATACCTGATCGTCTTCAAAGCTCATCTGAGATTTTATTTTATTTTTTCATTTTCAGTGACCAATATACTATTTTCATTATGAGAAAAAAGTCGTCAGCACGTCTCAGATTAGCCTGATCTTCATCGTTCGTTCACTTCTTTACTCATTCGATTGTCGACGATTGATCTGATGACTATGAGAGATAACTACTTCACTTTTTTTTTCTTCGGTGCTCGCCTGTGGCGTATCGGATCTTGCGTCACATCTCCATTGTGACCGCTACTACTAATACTAGTACCACTATAGCTCCACCCTAATAACAGCCAATGCTATCATATTCCATCCATAATGAAGAAACAAGTTGAATCTTTTGTTTCAATCTATCTATTCATTATCCTTGACGAGATTTTATGCCAGATTGATTGTTTACGTTGATGGTGTTTAGTTCAAGTATATCTATCTTTTTCAGTGTCAACATTCAATGTATACATAGTAAAAAAGATTAATGTGTTTGAAATACACAGATGATGACTAGCTTGAGCTCGCATATAGGTATATACATTGAAAGAGTCATTATATAATGAATGCTATCTGACTGACATACATATATTTACATTTATACATGATGCGGGTAGTTAGTTCAATGTCATGTATTGTTACATTAGTGGAGTGAAAAAAATGAGAGAAAACAAAAAAAAACAAAAAAAAATAAATAGATAAAATGATTACATCATCTGCAATCAGACTAATGAAGGGGCGCTTTTACTGTCGTTGTCATTTCAACTCCATTACAGTTTCATGTAAACGAGACAAGATCGCTTCGTTTCTCCCTACTACTATCTAACATGTAAGATGCTGTAAGCAGCCTAGCGTTGCGCTGTTGGGTGATGATAACACTAGTATATACTGTTTATATAAGTAATTGTTGTTTATAGTAGAAAAGAGAAGCAGAAAAAGATAGATTGATATGCATATCTTCATCACTCTCGCAGTTTTCTTTTTAAGTATTCATTGAGCAATAAGAGTAGGACGATACCATTTGTTCGTTCGTTCGTTCGTTCTTTTTCCTTCTTCTTCTAGTTTTTTTTTAGACTAAGAACTATGTAAAGAAATATCTAATTTGTTATGATTGTGCATTAGAAGTTGCTTTATGGCTTGTTGTAGATAGAAAATGATCGACGTTGCACGCGTCCGCACGTACACATGCTTGAGACGACCGACGGACAGCATAATGAATAAATCAAATTGTTCACGGACGAAATCGACTTACACACAAAATCTATAGAAAGACAGTGTCGAATTAGAATAACTAATAAAATTATACTATGTGAATCTGTATTGGGCTGTTGCCGATGTTCGTCTGATATAATGCAATTTTCTCTCTTATAATAATGGTGGTCAGTTGATTTTTTTTTTGCTTTTTTATTTCTCTTTTTCTCTAATCGGATGTCAGTATTTCCGAATCAAATCAATGACAGTAAACGATGGTGACCCTTGTCTTTAGTCTTTTTTTCTTTGCGATCTTTTTATTTGATATAATTCATATCTTTAATATATTTATATTGCATGTGAAATGTGTGAAAAGATGACCATCATCTCTCTTCATCTCTGATCGCGCGATGCTCGAGTGTGCACATATATGTATGTGTGTCTCGTCACAGACATGCTATGCCACAAGAGGAATATATATATTTACATATAGCTATGCGATGTCGAGTTGATGTAGCTATATATGTATATTTTGTAGCAAATCTAATTGCTTGTTAAAGTCGCGTTATGTGTCGTCTAATCCTTTACGCTACTATTATCAGTCTGTATGGTGTCACCACAAGGGAATTAACTTATTCGTTGTGAATATGTCAGACAACTTGATTTTATAGTACTTATTTCAAACACAGTTTGAGGCGTCTAATCGATCTCTCGCTCTCTTTTCTTACTCTTTCGTTCCGTCTATCTGTCTGTCTGTCTGTCTGTCTTATGCTGATTGACGTACGTTCAAGTTGAATAGTAGCATCAGCAAAATCAATTTGTTTTGAGTGCTGCATGGTTGCTTATCTTTAATAATAATAATAATAATAATAATAATAGTAATGATGATGATGATGATGAAGGTAGTTTTTTTTACGGAATAATAGAACATAAAAAAGCCTTGACTACATATATACATACTGATATTTGATACATAGACAATCATGAGTGCAAATGCTCGTCTTTATCATCATCACTTCTATTTTCTCTACGACAGTTTGACGTATTTAGATGAATCTATTATTGTTCACATATCATGAATAGATGAGGTGAGACATTCAACAGTTGCTGCCATTGTACAAATATATGTGACTTTTTTTTATTTTAACTTCTGAATGTTATAATAATTGCGTAGACGCGTGAAGGTCCATTGAATATAATGTCCATCGGTAAGAACAACAAAATGAAACGGAAATCGATTAGACTTTTTTTCCTTTGTCTCTGTTCGCTTCTCTTCATATGTTATATCCGACTATTAAGATGAACATCCAATTCTTTTAGTCTTTTGTCTGACCGTCGTTTCACTCTCTAGGGAGATTGTTGAATTTCCTCTTGTCGTCTGTCTATTTCCAGGTATTGTGTCTAAATACTTATATTATTATGACTGTGACTGACTGACTGACTGACTTACTGTAGTTACTTCGTTTGTGCATCGCCGAGTAATTGAGACATGTTCCGGTTCAAGCCTGTTTTCCGGATTTTGTTTTTCTCTTCTCTCAATCGTACACACGCGCTGAAGCATTTACTTCATACTGTTTCACATTATTTTGATTGTTATCGTATGCAAAGCATCTTGATTCCACACGAACGAATACATTGTTCCACATACGTTTATAGATTCCCACACCTGAATCTTTCTCACTTTCTTTTTCTTTCGATTCCCGATAATGTCTCGAGGCATTATACGAGAATTATCATTATAAAATCATAAAAAAGAAAGAAAAAATAGTTTTTTTTCACAAAAATTAAAAATAAGAAGACTAGCTATTCATATGCAGACATCGATGATGATAGGTGGTGAGTGAAATCGTATGTACGTGCATGACTATATATATGCATACATATATGCATTTATGTATATCTAAACGTTTTGGATGATACTAACCGTTGATGACACATTTGACATGAGGCGGCGAGACACCCCTATTCAATAATTGGTATTGGTCTCTGTCGAGGAAAAAGAAGAACTTTATCTGTATTGCTCATCGTCGGATCGTACCGTTCAGCTAATTAAACTTGACCTTTGTTTTCTTTTTTTTTTGCTATTTCTCAACAATGCATTTTGTTTTATCGTACTTGTACTTAAAACAGCAACAACGATACACAGAAGAAGAAAAGTATTGGTTTGAAGTTCTTCTTCTTCTTCTTCTCGAATGACTCGTTTATATTTTCTGTTTGTTCCAATCGGCATAGTCATGCACACGCCGCTCATTATTTTGACCGTGAATAAGAATGAATGAACAAATGCCGATAACCTTCGTCTCATGCAATATGTTTGATCTACCGTAAAAGAAGAAAATTTTAATCGCAATTTTTTTTTCTATGTCCATTTCACACATTTCTTTAATTATAAAAAGACAAGATTATTCTTTCCAATCTGTTTCATTTAGATTACGTCATCTACAAAAACGTGCATCAATCCTTTCACTCTCTTTCTTTTGCCTGATCGATCATATATATATATATATATATATATTTATATATTTCTATGAACATGAGATGAGCATGTACTATGTATGCATGCTTGAATTATTTTCAAAATCTTCTTTCTCCTTCTTCTTTTTTTCTCATAACGACTAATAATGTTAAGTTCATCGTAGTAGAAGAAGCGAGCAAGCTGTAAATTGGATGATTTCTATCTATTCACACGCGTATGTATATACCGGGTCTTTTTTTAACATAGTAATTCAATCTTAATCGAAGAAAATGAATCATTACATTGTATTTACTTATTTTTCCCCCTCTTATTCTAGATTATCTCTTTTCCACATGTCATATAATGAGTATTAAAATATTTCTTATTATCTTACTTTATTCAATAAAATTAACTAATACAATAAAAATACAATTTTCGAATCCATTACAACGTTTTATTTATGATGATCATACCGATACCATTGTTTTAGCTTCCATTAATCATATATACTCATTAAATGCGAGTGATTTATCAATTTTATCAGATATAAACATTTCATCATCGTTCGAAAATGAAAATCATTGTTCAATACCAAATAATAAGACATTATCATCATTAACAACAAATATTTATTCTTTTCCATCATCATCCTATTTATTTCCATCATTGAATAGTACATTTAACCAATTACTTCTGTTAATTAATGATTCTATATTAATATGTTCAACATCAAATCGTGGTGGTTCATGTCAATTACGTTCATTAGTAAATCTTAATTTATTAAAAAATTCTTCACAACGTATTGTTTCATCATCACCATTCTATCCATCGATTGGTTTCATTAGTGAAAATAATCATATATTATATTTATCTAATACATACGATGTTTTATGTGATCCATTTTATGAAGTTCCAACAATAAGTGGACGTTCAATTGATAGAGAATTTTTATCAATCATCAATTTAAATTCTGGTCAATCAGCACTACAACAATCAACATATACATTACGTTTATTAAATATACGTTTAATAAAAGAATTCTTTCTCTATTATTTGTACGGATTTGAACATAATAATATATCATATTTTTTAACAATTCAACAATCTGATATTTATCATACACGAAAACATAAATTACAAACAAAAATTTTACGCTTCTGTCAAACATTGAAGCAGTCAATCATCAAAAGTTATGTTGAAATTCCAATAACATGTGGAAAAAATTATCAGTATCTAGTTACAGCAAAATTTTCTAAAGACAATAACATCTTGTATGGCATATTTCGTAATACAACATTAGCTAATTCATCTGATACATCACATGCTGTATGTTCATATTCAATCGATTCAATACGAGAAGCTTTTTTTCAAACAATAAAACGTTGTCTTGTTGATGGGAAAGGTTATCGTGGTTTAGGTTATATTAGCCCTGATACACATTGTGTATCGAATAAGGTGAGTTGAGTAATCAAATTTAATTTGTAGAAAAGATAAGCAAAATGAAAGATATATTAATTTTATTTGAAATAGAATTTAAATGAAATCAATCATGACTATTGTCCAGATAGTGATGATAGATTTTTTCAATATCCTATTGGTGGCCATCGACCATTAGAACAAATTGAACCGATTATTGAATTGAATGAAAATGTCAATTTTACAGCTATTGAAATTGTTTCAATCGATAAAGATGTCATGATTTTATTAGGAGATGATCAGGGAACTATATATACCGTAAGATTTGAAATAAATCAAAAACTTTTTTTTAAACTAAATTTCATTATTTATTAAGTTTCAAACATCAAATGTAAATGAAATTGGCAAACAAAGTTTTCCATCATCAATGATAATTGATTTGAAGTTAGTTAACAAAAATTCATTGTTAAAAAATGCTAATCTTCTCGTGCTGACTAATAATCAGGTAACAACGATTTATACTTCATTCTTATTTGTCCTTCAGAAAAAAGAGCTTATTTTAAATAGCAGCAAAGAATATTTAATGTTTTAAATATATACTTCACAAATCGAAAAGAAAAAATTTTCAATTTATATTCTATTCAATACAATACTAAATCTTAATAGCGAACACGAGGCTTCAGTAAATAAAAAGTCAACGGTATACATTAGTTATAGATACATATTAATGCGATATTCATATTTGTTATGGTTTCATTTCAAGTGAAGACGTAAAAATTTAAACATTGATAGGCTTCGGAATCAAACACTTAAAGAGACACCGATGTATAATACCAGTGAACGTAGACAACATTCTAATTATTTCACTTTTTAATAAAATCTTCATCTCTATCTTATGTTTTTTTTGACAAATTTACATATTGTTAATGAATTTACAATAGAACTACTAATAATTGAACATTTCTGAATTACGAAGAAAGAAAGCAATAGTTGAAGTATATGATCTCTTGCAAGCGACTGTTTTGAAATTATAAAACTTTCAGTAATACGTAGGTTTCTATTAGATTAGAAGAATTGTTGATGATATCGAATTGTTGCATTATCTAAATCATTATTTGATAGTATCTATCTTGAAAATATGATGGGGAGTTGCCTTTTACAATATTGAATTTCATATTTTTTTCATTCTATTCTTTGAGCCGAGAAATCTGCAAGCTTAAATTTCAACGATTGAATCAAATATTTTGACATGTTTCCTACAAAAAGAACTTCACTATCCGATGAATTCTATTTGTGGAAATCTTGATTAGATAAATCTTTTTTATTTCAATTAGAAAGTATGACAGAACTTCTAATTGTATTTTTTTTTCGTCCTGTAAAATGAATATTTTATTTCGTTTTTCAATCAAAGATCTTGCCATACTCATTATCGACTCCTTTTCAACATCGAATTTCAAAATCAGAATTGAATAGAAATAAACTTCTTTTTTTGAGATACATGTGAATATAAGAAAAAATTTTGCTGTTTCGAATAATTCAACTTAGAATATCTGTATGAGAGGATATGATTTACCAGAGAGTATAAATTCGAAATTCAATAGAACAAGAATCACTCTAACTTTTTCATTTAGGTAATTAAACAAAATTTAAGTACATGTGAACAGTATAAAACATGTGATGAATGTTCCAATATTAAACTTTGTCATTGGTGCTCTAAAGAAAATAGGTAAGATGGTCTTTTGAAAAACAAAATAAACAATAAAAATATCATCCATCTAACTTATGTGTTTCCATAGATGTACACCGACATTCGAATGTATCCATGAAAACTATAGATATAAAAAGAAAAATGAAATAAATATGTGTACAAATATTGAACGTATTACTCCAGAAACCATATCATTACATTCATCCGATGCACAAGTAAATATTTCTAAACAAAATTTATCCACGTTTTTTTTTTTTTTTTTTTTGTAGTTTTTTTTTTTTGGATGCTTGTTAACGTTCCATTAAAAAATGATATTGATGAATATAATTGTCAATTTCGTTTAACAGATGAAAATGAATTTCTCTATTATACAAATGCTGTTCTTCTTAATGATAAAACATTAAAATGTTTACCACCTACATTGAATAATAGAAGTCAAGGTAAGAAATGAATAATTTTTTTCCCTCCACAGTCATCAGAAATTCATAGCCAATGTTGTTTTTTTTCTCCAGCTGTTTATAATGTTGCATTATCAGTATATCATTTGAAGACAAATTTAACATTTGGATATTATCATTTATTATTTATTAATTGTTCGAATTTTCTATCATGTTCATCGTGTAATACATATTCAAATCAATGCATATGGAATCTTCAAACAGTAAATTGTATATCCTATGAGAATATCAGATTACCACCAATCAATCATAAACGTCTTGTAAAAAAATCGAATCAGTGTCCACTTATTTATTTACAACAATCAATAAATCGTCTTGCTTATAATAATAATAAAACAATAAGTATACACGTTGATCAATGTAATGGAACTATGAGTATTAATTCATGTCAATTGAATGATCATCATAAGCGTTTTTCATTCATATCATCAGAGTCAAAATTTACAAAATCAACATATGAAAATCATTTATGTTTATTAGAATGTTCATTTGATTTATCGAATCTTGAAAATTCTCACCAGATTTCATTTTATCGACCAATACATCTTGATTTATCAATCGAATTTACTAATAAAACTTCATATACTATTTCACGTACACATATTGCTTTATATGATTGTGAGCGTATGGCATTAAATTGTACATCATGTATACAACTGGATCCAACATTTGGCTGTGTGTGGTGTAATAACATGTGTATGTTTAAGAATCAAACAATAAAAAATAAATTAATATGTCCCAACAGTCAAGAATGTTTATCGCCTAATATACATACTATTGAACCATTATTATTGCCGTTGAATGGTGGTACATTAGTTACAATTAATGGAAAAAATTTTGATTTATTTAATTTATCGATACGTTTGGCTGATGTACCTTGTCATTTAGTTCAAGAAGAGAGTTCAAATAATAGGTAAGTTTGCGTTAACAGAACGAAAAACAATACTCGTTTTTATGTAACATATTATATTCATAATTCATCTCAAATAATAAGATGAAGGTAAATAATTCGGAAGGATTGAGGTTGACTTTTTTTTGGCTATCACTAGCTGATAATTTTAACAGAAAAGATAGTCGCTATCGTAGGATTATTATGCACTGATGTTGTTCTTTATGAGTGAATTCGTTCATGAAATTATTTCCTTTCACCAGAAATAACAAGAAATTCTTTGCAAATGACTTGTTCTATTTAGAATTGTCTGCCAATCTGGTGATGCGGGAACAACAGCGCGCACTGGTTTTGTTCATTTAAAATTTGGTGTAAATGGACCACAACTTCATTCTCGTCAAACCATCTCATATATGAATCCTACAATAAATCTCATTGAACCACTTATTGGTATTGAAAGTGGTGGTACACTTTTAACCATTCATGGCGAAAATTTAACATTAGGCAATAGTCATATATCAGTATCAATTGGCAATCAGTCGTGTCAATTATTATCAATATCTCGTACAAAAATTCAATGTGAAACAACTTCATTTTCTTCTTTAATGTTAAATAAACAGCAAACCATAAAATTTCTTTTTGATCGACAAACAAAAATTGATTCAGAAAAATTCTTTGCAGTCGTACCAAATCCAATACTATATACATTTGATAAATATCATCATTTTCAAAGTTTTATGAGTGGTGGTCATCAATTAGTAATTCATGGTGAAAATTTTCATACAATACAAAATATACGTTTAGAATTTAAACGTATTATATTCGTGTCACCATTATTTAATAATCAAACACATTTAATATTTTTAACACCATCAATACAAGAATTAAATTTGAATAAAGAAAATGATTATCAACATGAAATAGAAGTTATTATTCATTTAGATCATTTTAATAAAACATCATCATTAATTTACATTAATGATCCTGTTATTTTTGAGCTTGAACCAATTTTACAAACATATACTAATGAATTAACTATTCAAGGTATCAATTTAACAGCTATCGGACATACAAAAAATGATATTAATATTTATATTGGATGTGATTTATGTACTATTTTATATTTACAATCTGATAAAATCATTTGTCAACCACCATTATATCGTCCCAACAAATATTCAAAAACGAATCGAGTTTGTTATGATTCAGAACATCCGTGGATTATTGTTACCATTGATAATATACATTCACATGTTGGATATATGATGTATCCAAAAAAGATTATTATTCTTGGTAAGAATTTTGACAAATATTACCTATCGAATTTTGTTTTTTTTAATATTGAATATGATGAAAAAACGATTTCTGATCTGTAGTCGATGTTTAATTTATAAATTGAGCGATGCTTTCATGACTCAAATATATTACTAATCGTAGTCTTGTAAGAAAAAGAATATATTGACTGGGTTGAAAAGAATAATTAGATATTTTCTGTAATTAATTTTCACACGTTTCATATCACATTCATCACCCTATATAATATTTCATGTGTTTTTGAAGTCTAACTGTCTAAAAATCTTTTTTCTTGATTTTTGAAGGTATTATAAGTGGATGTTTATTAACAATACTCTTAGTTATTCTCATCATACTTATTATTGTCTGTATAAAAATTCGTTATTCTCAAAGAAAATCGCGTCGACGTTATTTATACGGTGCTGGTATCAATCCTGATGACCATGAAAAAGAACCGTACGGAGATAATCTCATTAATCGAACTTATCAAAAACTTCAACCTATTGAAACTAATATAATCGATTCTTCATCATTGATAGCTATTCCGATACGTTCTTATATAAAATATTTACAATTATGTTATTATTACTATTCTTATGATCCATTATTATTCATACCATCGTATGATACACCGAAAGCTAATTTAAACCCAGAAATCATTGACCAATTTCAATTATTATTTGAAAATAATGATCAATTTATTGAAAATTTTTGTACAATATTATTCAAGTCGAATAATAAAAGAATTCTGAATAATTTTCTATTAACACAAAGATGCCATTTTAAAAAATTATTACAATATAATAATGATGCTATCTATTTCAATATATGTATTCTATTATCTTATGATGGCTTTTTAACAAATCAAATAAATTCATTATTTTTTCAACTTTATGAGCAATTAAAATATAAAATTCATTCTGGTCCCATTGATACCATTGAACAGACATGTTCATATTATTCATTAAATAATACAACAATATTAAATGATCAATCAACTATATTTAATTCTATTCAATTAATTGTTCATATTGATTTTAGTAATTCTGATGATTTATTATTAATAAATGTAAAATGTTTAACATGCGATACAATAACACAAGTTAAACAAAAAATTCTTATTCAATTAAATTTATTTAAAAAAATGAATTTTATAACAATAAATGAATGTCAATTATTTCTATTGACACGTGTTAAATCAAGTAATAATTCTTTTTCAGCATCATCCTGTTCATCATCAACAACATCATCATCAAATGTACCATTAGCAAAAAAATCTTTGTTGACACAATTCTTTTTCAATCGCACTAATAAATATTCAACAACAACAACATCAACATTAAATGATACGTATAGAGATTCGATTAGTTTATTATTGAACGATATTGATAATACTAGCGAACAAATAAATCATTGCAAAAAATTAAATACGTTACAACATTATGGTGTTCTTAATGATGGTTATGAATTTAAAATTATTTTACCTAATAGAAATAAAATAATTAATTATGTTAATCAAACGAATAGTAGTCCAAATTTAAGTAGGTGTTTTCTAATTCACATTTAGGAAACTTCACAATGTTTTCGAAAACCGAAAAGTCACCTCACTCATTAGTCCTCTTGACAATACCTTATTTATATGAATTGATGGTATGCTCTAGTATACACAGCAAGAAGTCATAGTGTTTATCAGTAGTATGTTTTTACATTAAACTACTATTGTAGAATTTTGTTCAGTGAGATGATTTAACTCTAACAAGTAAGAGCTCAAAGTACGTTTTAGTTCTAACTACTTGGATCAATCAATCGTATTGAGAGAGATACGTAAGTCAAGAGAACATCCGTTCTCTACATGCACGCAGTAGAAAGATCTAGAAACTGACAACGCTTAAAAAGAAAGAGCAATTTATTAAAAGTAATTTAGAAAAGCATTCATTTGTAGCCCTAGTGAGTACTCCTTTTTTTGTTATATTGGTGCTTACTTTATATAAGTAATAGAGTTGTCTTGAAAGATAATATTGTTTCTCATAGAATTAAGGTAGACTGCTCAGCACGATATCTTTCTGCTACGAAATCTATTTTCTTGACAATGCATACCATGTAACAGCACGAAATTTACTGATTCTTTTATAAGATTTCAGAGTTTCTTGATAGCCGATGAAAATTTTTCAAATTGAATCCAATATCTTGTAACCGATGAATTTTTATTATCTATAGATATAATCTTGAGAGATTCACACATGTAAAATAACTGTTAATTTTAAACTGATTCAAAATATGATATTCAATTTCGATAGAACTACAGAAAAGGAGGAAATTTCTTTATTTTGTATTTTGTGTTTACTAAATAGACTCTCAGATACTACCATGACTTCCATATATTTGGGAAATCTCGTAGTGTGTCATAGCTGAGTCACTAAATTGAGCATATTTGTTGTTCATGATATTCTCCATTCGCTAGAACTACAATACAATAGTACAAACGATTGTACATATTTTAACTGCATCATCTACTTGAAATACAATCCTAAAATATACTAATTTTCGTTTTTCTAATCTACTGTAGGAAGAACACTTCGTCGTAATAATTTTGATTGTCAATATTGTTCAACAGAGCTTAAAAATACTTTCAATTATATAACATCTGTACCATTAACTTTAAATTCTATTGGATTACCACCAACAGGTGAAAACGATAGAACACGTTGTTTTCATTTATTAAATCATACCTATGAAGAAATAGGTGAATGTGGTAATTTATTCATGGATAATAATCAAAGTAAAACTTATCGTTTATTTGAAACGAAATCTACGATACATTCAATGTTAATAAATCTTATTGAAACCTTATTTACAAATTTTCTTCATAGTGATGCATATTTAAGTGAATTGATTGAACAATATTCACGTTTTTTACACATATTCTATGGACATTTTGTACCATTTATATTAAAGAATATGAATTGTTTATTCGATATAACAATTGATAAATGTTTAAATAGCTCATTGGATATTCTAGCGACTATTTTTCAAATAGCTTGCTCTTGTCAATCAAATGAAGAAAACTGTTCATTATGTTCCGAGTCAAATAATAATAATACAAATTTAAATTTAGTACGTAGAAAACAATAAAATTCTTGTTTTTTCTTTAGAATTTTCATTTTTTTAGAATATTCAAAATTGTACATTATTATTTGCTGATGAAATTCAACGTGTTCGTTTACATTATTCAAATTTAGAGAGACGTTTAAATAACAAAAATTTAACATCTGAATATTCATCGACTAATACAGTAAGATAGTAAAAGATTTGTTTAATTATTTATTTCTCATCTCGTTTTTTCCTTCGTCTTAGGGTATTAACAAAAAATTTGAATTGGATCCTTCAATAATTCATGATCTTATTGAATATTTATGTTCACATGCTGAAGAGGTGCGTTTGATTAAAAAGATAATTCTCTTTTTTTTTATCTCATCTGATTTCTTTTTCTTTTCATGTTAGATTAATGATCTATTGAAAAGTCGATCAACCGATAATAAGACTTCAATCGTATTTCTCAACCTTGTCCAAATGTATCGATCGACTGGAAGAACTTGATCCGATAAGTTTGTTTTTATATGTATTGCAATATAAGTATATCTAATAGTTTTCTTTTTGTTTTGTATGTTTCTTTCTTTTTTTTTTATAAATTCATTACTCTTGTCTGACTTTTGAAATAAACTGTCGATCTATAAAAACAAAAATGATGAAGCGAACTTGTTTACTCGAGCGAATAGTTATAGTCACTGCATACCAATTAAAGCGTATACGAATGTAATTCGGTTTAATATTAATGAAAGAGCTTTCGAAAGGTTTATCAGTGAATGATGACGTATGTTTTTATTCTACAAGCATTTATACAGAAAATTCAAAAAGGCAATTCAAAGTAATGAATAACGTCAGCGATGTTGATAAAATAGTAAGAGGCCCGTTTGTTCGGAAACAAATGGTACTATACGTAGAATTAGAATGTATTTTGTTATCGATGAGATCCAATAAATTTTATCAATAAAGTACTCTCCCTAGTCGAACTTTTTTATTCATGCACTTGCCAGGACTTGAGCTCGAGATGTGTCCATAGTGCATGACTCTCTCTTGCTCAAGACAAGCGCTTGAATGTTTGCATGAGTTACGAAAAGACGCAACGATAAATTTTTATTAAAATTTGAGTTATTTTGAACGTAAAATTGGAAAAGTTCTTTAGTAACAGAAACCCTTAGATAAAAATTCAAGCGCATGAGCAAGAAGTTTAAGAACTCGCGCTCACCGAAAAGCCTCATGTATTGCCTCAAGATGTGTCCATAGTTCTTGACTTTCTTGATCAAGAAAGACAAGAATTGCATGCGCTTGCAAAAAAAGTTCGACTAGGACTTATCTTATAGTTTGCCATAGCAGTACTTCGATTCTATCAAAATATTAAAATAGATAGCCTTAGTTGAATGAATTTTTTTGGAAATTTGATTGAAATATTTAAGTATAACTGTATTTCTTTATTTCTTTAATCGGTAAATACTGTTGTCGTAACATTTAATAGAGAAACTTCAATGAGATGAATTTTTTGTGTAGCAGTCAAAAAGTCACGTCGACAACACAATACGACTTGTAATATCGCTACAATCATTATATAGCATATTATTCACTTTATTGCTGACTAATAGTGGAAGATATTATATTTCACATGATATCGCTTCATTGTATTGTCTTCAAAGAAATAAAATTCCAGGTAATTTAGTTAGTAATATGCCTATAGATATTTTATATCAACATTGACTAATGGTTTGTTGAAGTAAACAAAATTGATATTATAATCAAAATTCAAAGTATCTTTTTGAAAATATTGAAATGTTGAGAACGTTATGAAATAATACTAGCCATTGCAAATATTAATGTCAACGTATGTGTTAACGAAATTCAAAGAAATTAATGAAATCAAACATTCTATCTGTCAATATTTTAATATATTATGAAGAAATATCTGAGAGATTTTTAACTTAAAGGTATAAAATCTTCTAATTTTTCTCTAAAACCATTAAAAAATTCTTGCATAAAAATAATAAACGAGCACATTTTCTTTTAACAAAAAAATTTAACAATTCAAATAAGTTTCGAAATTCGGGCAGCTCTATTCGTGGTAGAATCCAATGATTCATTGTCGAATCTTGATCACGATGAAAAACATTCTTAATTGATTGGTTTCAATGAAATTTTTGTTTCACAACCATAATAACCTGCTTGGCGATCTGGTTGATGCATTATACTTAAATGTAAATCACTCAATTCAATTTGTCCAAAATCAAATTGACCAAATAAACGCATAATATTTTTGGCATCAAACGATTCACGTTCTTGATTTTTGACTCTTCCACGTGCTGTTTTTTGTGCTTCTAATATTCCTGTATCATCTTTACGTAATAATGAATTCATTAATGTAACATGCAGTTTAATACGTTCAAATTTTTGTTTCATCAGACCTGTACTGGATAATTCTTCATTTAAACTATCAAGAAACGCTTGTAAACGATTCTTATTTGTTTCATCAACTAGTTGTACTTTAGCATAAAGTACATCAACAAAACTTGGATCATCATTCATGAATTCTAGTCCTTTTAACTTTACTATAAAGCGTTCTTTATCTGTCGACATAAATTGTTGAAGTAAACTTTTTGTACAATCTTGTAAAGTATCTTTAATAAAATCAATTTCAGATTTTGATAATAGAACAAGTGTTGCAACTGTTAAATGTAATTTACTGGCTTGTTGAAATAATTCGGTGGTTACTCCTCGTTCATTTGAACATTTTTCCAGAACATTTTTCTTAAATTCTTCATAGTTTTTTTTGAAATTCGTTGTCAATGAAGATGATGACTGACATATTGGAATAGAAAGAAAATGTGTAAATGGTTGTATTTGGCGATTTCTATCAATAATTATTTCAATTCGAGTACGAGCTGACTGAACATTTGCTTTATTGCGACCACGAATTTTAACTGTTCCAGATTCATCACGACGAGGAAATATTATTTGTGTATTTGTATCTTGTTCTAGTTTTTGTTTAGCTTCAGCATTTTTACCAATTAAAACACCATAAAATGCAGGAGCAATATCCATTTCGCATACAAACATGTTTTCTTTAGCGATATAATCAATTGTATCATCACTGTTTTCGACTGGTTCTTCTTTTTTAACTATGAAAAAAAAAACGAAATTTTATCAACTATGTCTTTTTCTATTACTAATATATACGTATATTTTTTTTTATTAAGTTTACAAAAAAATATACATCCTGTGGTGCTATTTTTCGATGTAAAACTGATCGGTAACCATTAGGATCTGTATAGAGGTTATAGATAAAATAATGGCGATCCGCTAATCTCACGTATGACTTCACGTTAGTTTAGATATTTTGGCGTACAGTATAACGGGGATCTTAGATTCATTTTTAATTTTTTTTTTTGGGAGGAGGCATAAGTCTATGGAAAACAATCAGCTGACTCTTTCATATAGAAAGACTAAACATCTTGAGGGCACCAGAATAGTGATCTGTAAAATTTTCGCTGAAATTTTGTGATACAGACGACTATTCAATTTTAATTTTAATTTTAAATGTTTAGACTAAGCAAAGAATATAACAATAACTTATGACCAAAAGATGGCATTTTGTTTTCATCTTTGTACATACGGATATCGTCATCTCAATTCAGATTTTAGTAAACTAACAATAATATCAAAAGGAAGATCTAAGTATGAATGAGAACTAATAATGATTATCATACATCGGCTGTTTGTTTTTAATATAGACAGCAGGGCTCCTAGTGGGACGGGATGGGACGAAAATTTCGTCCCGTGAGATAATGCAAGTCGTCCCATCCCATCCCATGGGCTCCCATGGTATTCGCTATATTACGAAAAATCTTATTGAAAATCAAGTTTTATTTTTTCTAATTGGAAAGTCGAAGTTTTTCAGCATTCAGATTTGAATATTGGAATTAGGGATGCACCAAGTCCTAGTACATTGCAAGAAAGATGACATTTTTGCCTGATGTAGAATGGCGCTGTCCTCTGATTCCATATATCAGCCAAGACCATTTTTTGCTCTATGCAAAACGGTAGCTGAGATTTATGAAAGATTAAGAAACGTTTTCGGATTTGATTCAGAATTTGAATTTTCAAGTCGTTTTCGGTTAAATCCAATTCAGTTTCAGACTTGCAGTTTGCATTACACAAATTCTAAGAATAGATTTGAAAAGAACGTTCAAAACTGAACAGAAAAAAAAATAAGTAAAAAGAGGCTTAGTCCATAACTTCTCATACTGAAAACATGTAAATATTGGATAAAAAATCAAGAAATTGACGGGATTTGATCTTTTCCCTACTTAAAAATGACGTGCCTGGTAGTGAGAACTATCGATCGAACATCTCTTTCTTCATATTTTTCTGTTCAGTTTTGAACGCTTTTTCCAAATTTATTCTTAGAATTTATATAATGCAAATTGCAAGCCTGAAATTAAGTCGGATTTCGCAGAATTTGACGCAAACGACTTGAAAATTGAAATTTGGCGTCAAATCCAAAAGCGCTTTTTCATCTTTAATAAATTTGGATCATAGTTTTTCATAGATCGAAAAAAATGATCTTGGCCGATATATGGAACTGAATCAGAGGACGACTGCCTCCTACATCAGGCAAAACTTTTATCTATCGTACCATGTACTAGAAATTGGTGCATTCCTGGTTGTAATATCATTATCAATACCTCTTAATTCTGTTTGTGATGTTGTAAACGAAATTTGATTTTCTCAACTGAATATTCCTGTTTATCCAAAACTAAGGATGATAATGAGGAAGAAATAATTATAGAAAGTGACATTGAACAATTTATAAAACAAACGATGATGATATTTTATTAAAACATTGAAACAAAAAGAACATTTATGTTTATTTCTGTTTTCTATGTTTTATCGTATTCTTTATTCAATTGTTCGAATAGAGCTCGGAGTTGGGTTAATGGCCAGTACAGAAAAAGAATGATAATATTCACATTTTTCACCTATTGTCAATTGTGACATAAATAAATAGTCATTTTCTCTTTAAAAAAATAATCACATTTCCCATGGGATTAGGAACTCTTCCCATCCCATTCTATTAGGCGGCCTGATAGACAAAATGAATTATGAGTGCTTTTTCCTTTTACTAACAGTAAAAATAAAAAATTATGTTGGTAAACTGTGATTTTTTTCAAAAAGAAATCGTATAATACCAATTTGAGATTTTTCTTCTGATTCAATTGTTGTGGTTTTTTGTTGTGGTCTACAACTTGGTTCATCGTCATCATCATCATCATCATGTCGGTGATCAATATAATAATCTGCTTCTTCTTCCTCTCGGTATACTTGATGTTGTTGATTATCAATGGACTCAAGACTTGGTAAAGATGATGGATTAATACGGTAACAACGATTACCCACAACGAGAATTTCAGGTCGAACAATTGACAATGACGACATTGAGAAGAAAACAAAGGTGCACTTTTATGATAAATTGTCTAAAATCCGTTAGATAGGGAATAATAATTTATTAAACTTGCCTCTTTTTTTGTCAAGTCTTGTCAGCTTAAAGTTTTTTTTTGTGTTGTGTGAATATAAGGAATAATAAAAGATGAAACTTAACCTTAGGATACAGATGATGAAAAAAAAACGGAGAAGAACAAAAAAAAGAGGATGAAACATATAGGCAGACAAACATAAAGAACGATGATAAAGAAGAAAAAGTAAGTTATATGTTTAAATAGAAATATGTATCACACAACAAGAGAAATAGACGCAGAACCCGAACGAAAGAAAAACGCACATTCACAAATACATATATAGAGAGAGAGAAACAAAGAAAAAGCGAACGTTTAGCGATTATAATTGCCCGGTGGCACTGTATCCAAGCCTTGCTGTGTAAGTTGTTGCTGTGCTTGTTGAAAGTAAGCAGCTTCGTATGGATTTTGATGTACATATGTTGGTTGTTGTTGCTGTTGTTGTTGTTGTTGTTGTTGTGCTTGCTGAGATTGATCATAAATCATACCATACGGATTCACCTGAGGAGGCATATTCGTTTGAGGTGACGGAACTTGCCCTTGAGCAGAATACCAAGCACCCGGTGCTCCATATGCGTAAGTAGCCTGTACACTTCCATTTAATGCATATTGTGGTGTCATCGATGGGCCACCAGTAACAGTACCAGCTTGACCTGATGGACCCGATGTCGATGCTGATCGACCACCGGCACCATTATTTGGTACACCTGTTTGTTGCGGTACTTGAGATACAACATTCTGTCCACCAACATAAGCCCGTTGTTGATCGGTTGGCTGTTGTTGTTGCTGATGAGGAGGCGAACGAGTCATTTGCCAATTAGGATTGACACCACCTGGATTAACAGATGCTGCTGATGGATACACTCCATACATGCGTGGATCTTAAAGATACAATAATACAATGAAATTTATTGATATTGCTATATCGAAAAAAACATAGTCTTCAATTTACCTGGATAAATTCCTGGATAGTATATTGACTGTGCAGCTGGTGTAGCGGGTCCAGCTGATGAACTAGTTGATGGAATCATTATACTTTGTGGTGGGCCTACACCCGATGCTGCTGTTGCAGCTGCTTGGATAAGACCAGGTGTATTGATTGGATAATAAAATGGTATTTGTTGTAATTGCATGGACTGTGCAGCAGCGGCAGCAGCAGCAGCTTCTATTATTTAAAAGAAATTTTTTTAAATATATTCTATAGATATGAAATCTTTATACGTTGTCCCATATAATCAGTTTGATAGTATCGAATCGATGTAGTTGGATAAACCATTGATTGTGCGCCAGTCACTTGTTGTTGAGTTACGTTAGGTTGTTCGGCACGTTGAACTGATACTACAGCTAAAAATATAGAACAATAATATGATTTCATCAATTGTTACATTTTAGTTATTTTACCTTTTTTCGGTGCGACATTATTAACACCAGTATTTCCAACGTCTCCACTATGTACCGCATTATTGTTTGTTTTATATGTTGGACCAGAACCACCACTTGGTGTTGTCATTCCACCTGCACCTGGTGTATTTGCGTTTGGTCCATTACCAGCTAATTGCTGTTGTGCTTGTTGGGGCATCATTTGAGCACCCATCATACTAACATTCATTTGTTGTGCTGTTGGATTAACAAATTGTGCCATATTTGCAAATGGCTGTTGATAATATTGCTGATATAGAGCTGCTGCATTTTGAGGATGTGTTGATGGAATCATTGATGAATGTTGTACTTGTTGTTGTTGTTGCAGTTGTTGTTGCAGTTGTTGTTGTTGTTGTTGTTGTTGTTGTTGCTGTTGTTGTTGTTGTTGTTGCTGTTGTTGTTGTTGTTGTTGTTGTTGTTGTTGCTGTTGTTGTTGCTGCTGCTGCTGTTGTTGCTGTTGTAAAAGTTGCATTGCTTGTGGATGAGCATGAGCATGCTGAATATATGTGCTCATTTGTATCGAGTTGGTTGATGCTCCACGAGATTCTGGCCGAGAGCTGCTTTCACGCTATAGAAACAAAACATTAATTTTCAGTATTCGAATTATTTATAACGATAGAAAATATTACCGAAAATACAGGAACAAATTCGTCAGCTTCTGGATTTAAACCTGAATTTGCTTTAGCATTGCCAGGTGTCCTAGAGGAGAAAACAGCAAAAGCGTTTTTCTTTAAAATAGGATTTATTAAAAAAGAAAGAAAAAAACAAACATTGTTCCAGTTGTATGTTGTGTATAAATAGGTGCATTTGCTACATGTATCGTTGGATCCGATTGATTCGAATTTATTGTATCATGACTAGATGAATGATCGTCGGGTGTTGGAAGTGTTAATGGAGGTGGCACATTCGTATTAGATAATAACGCTTGTTGTTGCTGTTGTTGTTGTTGTCTTAACTGCGGTTGAGTATGCAATTGTGATGGCCGATTAAGTGAACCAGTATTTGATTGGTTATTTGAAGGCGTTTGTTGTTGATTACGTTGTGGCTTTGGTTGATCAGGTTCATCAGTTGTTGATTGTTGTTCGTCTGAAATAAGACCGAGGAAAAAGCATTTATAAACACTAATATAAAGATTATTTTATTACTGCGTGATTGTTTTTTGGGCATTTTATTATTTGATTGTTGAGGATAATTTCCTGTTCCGGTAGAACTTGCTGGATATGAAGAATTCGCTGTTGTTGTTGCTGCTGCTGTTGTTGTTGTTGTTGGCGATGATGATGTTGCAGTTGCTGTTGCTGTTGTTGTTGAATTATTTCGAGACGATGAACTACCTGTATATGGTGCTGGTGAATTTCTTCCGATGGGTGGCCGATTGTTTGTCGAATAGATAGTACGTGCCGGAACTCCTGTTGATGGACTTGTGGGGCCCGAGTTTTGTCCTTGGGAAAAACTACCACTATTTATTCGTTGGCCACGTGTTACTTCATCATTTGTTATTTGTAATGGTGAATCTCGTCCTTCATGAGGTGAACGGTTATCTGGAAAACGATTATTGCGTGGTTTATATTGTTGTTGACGATTATTGACTGATTGTTCAGATGAGCGTGATGATGTATATTGTGTTGGTTCGGAACGTTGATTTGCTTTTGGATTATTCATTGAATAATTATTCGAACCACCACGTCGGTTATTGCCGGCGCCAGGTCGTTGTTCGCGCCAATTGCCACGTCTAGTTATCAAAGGATAGTTTTTAACTTAAATATTACAATTGAAACAAACAAATATTTTACTTTGGATTATATTCTCCATCATAACGAAATTCTGATCGACGATCATTCGGATGTGCACGCGACGATTGATTATTTTTTGTATTACTATTTCCATCATCGATACTTTGTGCTTGATTCAATTCAGGCGGACGTTTCACACCTAAATATATTCAATTATGTTTTTTTTTCTTATCCAGAAAGATTGAAAAGCAATTATGAATTTACTAACCTGCATCATCTTCATCAACATCTTCAGTGTGTCCGCCTTTTTCAATTTCCGACACTTTCTTTTCAATGTCAACTAATTCATCAGCAGTCAGTTGACGAATCGGAACATTTCTGATACAACGAGAAAAAAGAAATTATAAAAATTTAACTGAACGAAGAAACAAAATAGAAATATATTTCGTATTACAAAGTTCAAAAGCAAATCGCTCATCCTTCCCTTGAATCGAATCAAGTTTAGAGAAAATCTTTCAGTGGCCCTTCTCTCGTGCTGACAATCTTAAGGATATTCCTGAAATGCTTACGTATATTTGCTTTCATCAAAATCCGTTGTTGTATTGAATTTTTCACGATTTGTATGAAACATATCTTCTGGATCATAACCAGCCTGAAAACATAATAAAATCAATATTTTTTGTATAGAAAAAATGTACGACTTTCTATTTTACTTTTCCATCATCGCCTAGATCAAGATCTTCAAATGTATCTGGATCAATATCGTCAGAACCATAAAAATGTTCCATACGATTGAAACGTTCATCTTCTAATTGATTCACTTTTGGATTTTCATCAAGCATACCTAAATCTTAAATTTGAAATCAAAATCATACGTCTTTGTTTTACTTACATTTGCCATTGCCAGTTAAATCGATATCACTAGCAATTATTTCAACAATATTTGACGATGATATAATACGTTTATTTAAATCTAAGGATTGTGCTGAACTCTCAACTGTATCCAATAGATCGATTAGTGATGTGGATAATCCCATGATATCATTATTATTATTATCCAATCGATGAGCTACTGATAAAAGAACATCACCATTAGGCGATATTGTTTCAAGTACACCATGAAAACGTTCTCGTTCAGTTGTTTGAATAATAACTGGTTGACCCTTAAAAGTAGAATACTTTCATGAATTATCAGTAAAATACATTTATCATTAGACTTAGCTGGTATTTTATCTGATCAGTCAGTACTCACTCATCATTCAAGCTGAATAATATATGTCGGATTTTTTTTTAAGGAAAAGGACTAGTCTAGGTTAGAAAAACAAAATGAAATATTTCTCTCAGTTCTTTTCGGAAATTATTTAGAATCGTAAGTTCAAACTTCTGAAATCTTTCTTCGTCTCAAAATGATAGCCGTCGGCTTCTCTTGTTATTAAATGAACTTACCAATAAGCCAACAGTTACAGCATGAACAAATCGAGAATTTCTATAAATGCCTTCCGACTAAATGATATTCGTTTTAGAAACAAAAAGAACAATTCTTTCCAAATTTTCTACATACTTGAGACATATTCTTTGTTAAAACTGACCTTTGTAGATTTGAGTCCAATCTAAATTAAGTATATCTTGTTTTTTTTCTGAATACAAAAAATGTAAATCAAGCCATACAGCAACTAGCAAATTAAAATTCTCAGTTTTCGTTATTTTAAACTACTAAATAAACAAAATCAATCGAAAATACTGTTTCATATTTCTGATTTTACCGTTTAGACTAAATTGAAATTTACCAACTCAATTTTTTTTAAGAGAACAAACAAAATTTTATCTACTCACTCAGATATATTGCTTGCATTCACCGTTGAATCATTAACATCATAGGTATTGGCTGAACCATTTGTATGATGAGCGTTTGAAGCTGGTAATGCTTTATTAACTGTTGCTGCTCGTGGAGCAGTTCTTGTTGATGACATAATAATCAATAAATGAAATATCCGTTTGACAAAAGAAAAGCAATAATTAAAAGAATAAATAAATCTGCGCTATTCGCCGTATTCACAAACACATACGTCTGTTAAATTAAATCCAAAAAAGAAATAAACGGGACGTTGTAGAACACACGCACACACACGGAGAAAAACAGACACGTCAACTGACGGTATGTATTAATTCTAAAGAAAAAGTAAAATGAACAACTTAGATTAATCGTACTAAATAAAACTTCTTGTCATTTATATATCGAAATGAATAGTAGACAGAATGAAGAAAAAAAAAAGAAAACAAAACTTCACCATCATTTTCCAACCATTTCTTTTTGTATCTACATAAACATTGATAGTAGCGAACTTTTTTTAAGTTTAAATGTGATTATTAGATTGATTCTTTTTTTATTTAAATAAAAAATTTTCTAGAAATTATGTATTTAGCATTTGCTAATTTCCATTATTCATGTCGCTACGTTCCAAAAGAATTTTTGCGTCGATTGTAGTGTTCTCTATCTATCATGATGACGAAAGTAAACATCACCCATTAATTTTTCTTGCCATATGATTGTATGACAAAGTTTGAAAAAAGAAATCCATTTTCCTTTCTAGCATGTGACTGATCATAGAAAAGAACAGAGAGACTATTAATGGCATCCTCTCTCTCATCGTCATCATCAAAACGTAGAAATCTATTTAATTTTGCTCAAAGTCGTACAGTGATCAATGATGATCAAGAAAATCTTTTGCATCGTGCAATCCCGAAACATAATTTAGCAAGTTGGCTACGTGATCGAGAACTTGGCTATACAAAATCCCGAATAAATCTTTTTATTGCACGTCGTACAAATGTTTATCGTGCTATTCATCCGTCTTATTCAATTTTAATGTGCACAGTACCACAAGCTGTATACATTAGAAGATTTTCACCGAATGGACAATATTTACTGGCATTTTCACATGATCTTGAGTCTTTAATCGTATATAAATACAAGGGTAAAATGATGTTATGATAATTTATATGCATGAATATGACCATTGAAAATATATGGATTTTTCGATAGAAACGATAGGTTATTCTAGCTTATACAAATAACGCAATAACCATACTAAATTACCCGTACAAAATGTAAAAGTTGCTCTTCCTTTCTAGTAAGAGTATGTTATTGCGCCATAGGTTTTCATTATGACCCAGCATTTTGTTTTATAAAGTTCGGTACAGTTTCTAATTTAGTGATTTGTCGCTGTATAGATAGTTTTTATATGAGATCAATTCTATAAATATTTAAAGTCAATTTGATAATTATTTTCAAAGAATGAAATGTTTAATATTTATTGAAAATCTAATTCATATTTATTAATGGAGTCTATCGTTGTAGGAAAGATTGTTCAGTTCAAGAATATATTTTTCATATGATCGATTAATTAGTCTTCTAATTTATGTTTGATCATGTAGATAATTTCGAGACACACTTCAAATACATCTAATTACGTCTTTTCATAAGAAAGAAAAACTGCTACATGCCGTAAAAATAAAACAATATTTGAATTGTTGTATTATTATAACAATTATATATAGGGTGCACTTGTGTCATGAAATAGGATATCCATAAAAAATGATTATATCCTCTATCGTATATGAATAATTGGCAATATTGTTTTTCGAATTAGCAATTCGTCTCGTAACACAAGGATACTTTCAATATGGTTTCTTATTATGAGAAAAAGCATTGACTAAACCAGTCATATTATCTTTCAACACAAAGTATATCTCTAGCATTCTCTTTCAGACACGTAGCATAAAGTAATTTAGATCGAGTAATGAAAAATCACTGTTTTTTAATTATCATTTTATTATATGCTTTAATTATGTAGAGTTTGCTGACAAGCGGATGACGTGATAGCAGAAAAAGCGAGAGTAGTTACATAAGAAATAGTACAAACTCATGATTAAAATGGTTTCGTTTGTTAACATAGAGGACCAATAAATAATGATAAAATAATCGAAAATGAAACGAATATCAAAACTTAAGAGTTAAAATTTTCTTTTCGCCAGACTATAGGGTACGAAACGAACTTCCACTATACATGTCTATTGGGATGCTTCTATTTTTGTTTATTACTTTTTGAATATTTGAAATATGGTAGTCATAAGAGAATGCGTGTGATAAAAGTTCCGTAGAATGAGATAAAGAGAAAGATTTTATAGTGTACATACACAAACCTTATCCTACACATATCTACTAAAAATATATGAAACATTTTCCTCATCAAACAATCTAATCTGGCAAGAATTCAGATATATATTCGTCCTGTTGACAAGAGCCACAGGAGTGTCTTCTCTAAGAGACTGATAAAAAGAAATGTTGATTGATGAGTTAAATTAGTAGGAAAAAAAAGATATAACTAGGTCAAAATGAAAAGTAATATTCGAGATTCCATAGCATTTTTAAATAGATAAGTTTAAAATAGAACACGAATCAAAATTTGCATAGTGAGAATTTCGTAAGAAATTTGAATACAAATTTTGTTTCCAAGATATCAAAACTTATTTGCATGTGCTAAATGAGATCTCTAATACAAAAAAAAAATATATTGTTATATCACAAATACCAAAATCAGATGTCGATAGTTAAGAAACCTGTTTGACCTTTGACTAATTACGAGTTTTTCAAAAAAAATCATGACAGTAACACAATTACTACTGTCTTATTATTACTATATACAGTATACGAAAAATTAAAAAAACTAACTAATATAAATTTATTTTAGGCTTTGAACGTATCTATCCTAATCTTGTTCAATGTTCTCCATCAACGAATTATACACGTTTAGATGAAAATGGTGATAATGTTCGACAAATTTTATCTGATTCAATTAATTGTGAAAAATTACGTGACCAAGCATTCAATAAGATCTTTGAACATCATGTTACCATACAAATACGTTCATCATCAGTGGGCTATTCGTTAAATCGTAATCATATATATTGCCTTTTTTCGACTGATCAATATGCTATAATATGTGCATCAAAATTAGTCAACGAACAACAACATCCACCCTATAATCAATTGGTTCAATCAAATGAAGATCTTAATCCATTATCGAGATTTTATTTTGAACATTTTCTCATATTTCTTATCGATTATTCTCGTGGCATTATATGTCAACAGCTTGAATTTCAATTTGATCGTATTGGTTTAACAATATATAACTCAACATTAGCTATACTATCAATTCAACATCAAAAATTACATTTATATCACATTGATGAAAAAAATGGCAAACTTATCGAATTGTTAACTGTAGGGAAATTCGCACAAACAAAAGAAGAATTTTTATATAAATATAGTTTACCAAAAAATTTATTAGCCATGTCACCACGTTTATTAAATAAGAAAAATTTTAAACGAAATTCAGCATCAATGTTTGATAAATGGGAAGAAAATGATAATAGTGCTCAAGGAAGAAAACGCATTCGTGATCAATTTAGGGAAAATCAGAGCAGTGATTCGCCATCATCACGTTTGTTATCACATAATGGAACTTCATTTGTTCGAGAAGAACTCCATCGACCATTTACTCCACCTCCAATAAGAATTTCACAAAACAACAGTAATAGTGATAATAATAATGAAGAAACACGAAATAATTTTAATCCCAATAGGGACACTAATGATTTGGCTTCAAATTTAGCTCAGTCAATATTTCAACGTGAAAATCGACCTATTAGAAGTGATTTTCTTACTTGTCCAGCGAGTACGACATCATCAGGTAATATATTATTATTATATGAAAAAAATTATTTTCGTTGCTATAGATATTTATTTAATATATTCTTTCTAAGATTCAGTCAAATCTCGTTATCGAATGTATTATAGAAGAGAAAAGTCGTACTATGAAATCTTTTCTATCAAAATAAATGTATTTTGAAAGTTGCCTTCTCATCATTTGCTTTGATGCATATAAAAGATCGATCTGAAAAGCCATCGTAGGTTAGACGATCATAATTATAACATTCATTGAATAGGAACTAAACTTGTGAGATCACAGAGCTTCTGGAGAGTCTCGTTCAAAAATTTGACGCATTTTAAAACTAAATGATTCGATTTCATTTTAAAGCCATTTTTTGTTTTCAAAATAGAAATGATATTTTTCTTAGCAATAATCTTAGAACTAGAAAATCCAAGTTTTTTTTTTTGGACGAATTTTTTTGCTATTCAAGCTGCCATTTCTAGACTCTAAACACTGTGAAACAAGGATTTTTAGTAGATATTCAATAGACAAATTTATAGAATTATTTTATTTAGAAAATGATCATGATATGTCCGCCGTGGCTGACGATGATGATAATAATGATGATGATGAAGATGATACTGGTCAACCTAGGAATCTAACTCGCATAGCATATTCAACAGATCGAACAATAAATGATTCAAATGATGATTATTGGTCCGTAGTACAAAATCAAATATTATTACCCATGAATGATAAACAATTATGTACATTAAAACAACGCTTGTTAACATATTTATATAAACGTGCCAAACAAAGTAATAAACAATTGCGTTTTATTCATTCATTTAACGATTATCTAGCAAGTAAATTCTATAAAGTACAATTTCTAACAAATAATATTATCCTACTTAAATTTGCACATGAAACAATTGTCAATAAACGACAACAAGAACAGCAAATGCATTATGCTTTATTTGTTGTTTATGATATTCAAACATCAACAATATTAAATATATATGATGATTCATCAATTGAATTAGCTAATATATTTGAAAAATATAATGATGATTTTCGTTACTCATCATCTTACGGTTTAATTAATTATGAAGATCTCGAATTTTTTCCTTTATCAACTTATGCTGGTCGTCGTCAATTTGAGCATATGTATTATAATCAAGCATCGACCGGTGAGTCTGATTCAATAAAACGTTTACTTATGCAATTACCACTACGCACAATAACACATACGATATCTCCTTATCTTGATTTAAATTTATATTCATATGATGATAAAATTGTTCATATTGATGATATGATAAAAACATGCCCAAATAATCCTGTAAGATTTTTTTCACGTGATTGTCAAAGAATGAAATTTCAATTAACATTAACAAATCGTTCAATTATTTTGCCACAATTTATAACAAACGACAATCCAACATCAACATTAACAGCAACTACAACAACAACAACAACAACAACAATTATAACACCGACAATAACAAATCACAACAATAACCCAACAGCAACAACAACAACAACAACAACAGCCAATCCATTATTTATTCCAAATACTTTATCTACTAATCGTCGTACTACATTGGCTACACTTTGGCATCCCATAGAACCGTTTTGTATAACGATACAACGGTGGCCAAGAGATCTTGATAATATACATAATTTTCATTTATATCGGCCACCAAATTTGAGATAAAGCAATTCCATCTCTCTTCCTACTCTCCATGAATTTTTTCGTTTCATCTTCTTCAGTATACCTGTATCTAAAAAATAAGAATAATTCTTCTTGTGTTATAAGAATTGTGAAAGATTTAACAATGTTCTTTTTGTGTTCGCACTGATTGACTATTTTCATATGAAAGATAAATTGTATATCATAAATTTTTTTTCAGATAATAAACATTGTATTTGTATTTATTTATCTAACAGATGCCTGTTGATAGATCTTTACCAGCCATGCAACAGCCACCAGCTTGTTTTTCGTGTCATGCTCTTGGAATATCATCAGCATCGGCACTAGGAGCGTATATGTTCTATCAAGCTAAAAGAGCAAAAACGCCAACGCATCGCTTTACTTGTGCATTTTTTGGACTAGGTAAGGTGCACTCAATGCTGTACTAGTTTGAAAAAAAAATAGTTCCTTATCAATAGTAAAAAATAGACATTAATCGTTTATTTTCTATTTAAAATGTTAAAATCTGATGAGAGGTATCCAAGGAATGAGAATTAGGAATTCTTGACGGTGTTCTCCTACAGTTCCTTGCACACTAAAGGTAAAAATATGGAAGATTCACCATCATTGTTGTTCTTACATTCATTTTCATCTGCAAAGTTGTGAGAATCAGTCGTTTCGTGCACAAATTATTTAAAAAAAAGCAATATCGCGACTTTTCTGAATAGTGGAACTGCGAGGGAACCAATGACTGATTCTCATTTCCTCTAGGAATTATCACATCGGCACTGACAATTATTCGGCAGATTAGGAGTTCCTATTTCTCAGTTATTGGACACGGCTGAACAAATAAGCTTTAAATGTGAACAATGTTTAACAGAATATTTCATATTTGATATAATAAAACTATATAAGAAAAGTACAGGAGAAAATCTCATATGTACAAAATATGATGGTGTTGTAAATGAAACGAGTCAAACAGAAAATATGAAAAGTAGAGATAAATCAATGGTTGATATGCAATTATTTAATGAAGAAATGAAAGCATTATTTCAAATCCTAAAAAAGATTGATAAAATAAAGATACATCAACGTTCGATGAAAATCAATCGTGATATTCAAGTTATTATTGAAAAAGTTGATAATGACACTAATTTTAACTCAAGTAGATCACGATATGCGCAGAGCTTACGAAACGAAATAGTTAGATATGAACCGAAATCGTTACCTACATGGTTTGCTCGTTCAACTGTTTTTAGTGAACGTGATGATGAATTTGATTAAACTAATTTGTTATTGATTGATTGGTGCAAAACCGACATTTTACTGCTGTATTTGTTCTTTTTTTGTTTTCAGTAACTAGAAACAAATCATTCATAATTTTCTAATATAAATATTGATACTATTAAAACGTAGGACAGAAAGCATACAAATGATTTTTATTTTTTATTGATCTAATGACTAGTGACAATAGCCTTGCGAATAAAATTCTTATCTATAAAATTTCCTTGTTTGGTTCATTTATTGATTTGTCTGTATATCAAAATTTATTTGATTCTTTAATTTCTTCAGGTTCTTTTATTTTTGCTTCTCATCGTGTTTCGTCTCTATTTAAAGATATGTAAGTTATTGATTCGTATCCGAATAATTCTCTTCACTATTTATTTCTATTAGATCACAACGTCACATTGCTACTACTAGACGAATGCCAAGAAGCCTCGAAGAACGGCGATGATCAAGCTAAAAGTATAATGGCATAGATTTTTTGTGTGTTGGTTTTTTAACTATTTTTGTTTTCGATGAAAATGCCATTCATACATTGATAAAATTGATGATATTTTGTAATAAATAAAGAATTACCAGAGAATCTTTCAAACTTTGATTCATATTGTTTGTAATATTCTTTTTTGATAGAAAAAAAAATGATTGGCGATGATATTAATCAACAGTGGGCGTTTCAAGCACAAGAAAGATTCCGAGCTGATGAACAAGTGAGTATTGCGTCCTATTGAAAATGTTTCAGTGAGAATATTCATAGTGAAAGTTAGACAGTTATTTTTTTTTCTATTTGACATTCAGCATTTCATCTAAATCATAGATAAATATATTTGATTAAATGATTTAATATCATATTACGTTTTACGATATACTTCAAGAATTAGTGCAGCGAGTTTTCGAATGAACATGAAAAAGATATTTTAATTACACGATAGCCGCAAATTGTTCTCCATAAAGATCAAGATTAAGAACTTTTCCGTTTCATTTATTGAACTGTTCGATAATAGTATTCATGCGAATGTCTAATAGAAATATTTCGTTTTATCTTTATTTAAGCAATAGTATAGCAATCGTTTGCACAGCTGTATTCATTCGATGGCCTGAATTCATTTGTTTTGAGCTGCAGAGTTTCTATTCATAATTCAGAAGACACTCTCAAAACGAATGGTCCTTTCAAGCCGATGATTGAATCGACTGATATTTATTGAGACTAGAAAAATAAAATTTAATATAGAATTAAAATGCAAAAATATTTCTCAAGGTGCAAAGTGTATTTCAAAATTAAATAAGAGTATAAGAATCTTTTATCCTACGCTTATCATTTTAGTAGAAATTTAATATCAATAAAAACAATTAACAAGCGATCTATCAGTCGAGTGTTTCTGTACATTTTTGTTGAATTCTATTTGCATTGTTATTCAATAAAACATACGATAATATATCCAAAAATATTTTATCTAGCTATATTCGATCATACTAATGAGATATTTCGTCGAAAATCTGGAAGTATACATTAATATTTATTCATGAAATTTTTATTTTAGAGTTTAATAGCAGATACAAGTCTTGAACCAATCTTTGTCAAGAATGAACTTCCATGGAAGTAAGTTTTACTTTTCAATTGCTGCATATTCAATAAGAAAAAGAAATATTTTAGATTTGACAGAAATACAAAAATTAATCATCTAGTTGTCTCAAATAATGTTTTTATTCTACATTTAAATGAGAAAACTATACAGCGACGATGTCTTGACGAACCACCAAAAGATGGAAAATCTTCATCAGTATTTGCAGGTTCGATTTCATTTATTTTAAATATCTACTTGCAAAACGAATTTTTTTTAATTTCTGAGTAGAAGTTCAAATACCAGATGCAATTAGTAAAGTGTTTCTTGATCCCTTCGGTCGTTTACTTATTGTATCAACACGTGATAAACGTGATGTATACATTCTTGTGTCATCATCATATTCCTTAAAATTAACTAGAAAACCAATACGATTTGGCAATAATTTATCATTTGTTCTTGTTTCTGTTTCATGGTGTAATCGGTTTTTACAACAAAATGATGCCGTCGCACTTCTTGCTGGTCAAGATGGAAGCATGTATGAAGCTTTGATTCGAGCTGATGGTGAAGTACTTTCATGTAATGAAGTTTACCCATCATTCAAAACTATTTTGGAAAAAAATCGAGATCGTGTCACTGGTATTTATTGTGATGTTAAAGTTGCCTACGAAGAAAATTCAAATATATTTGTTGTTATTACAACACAAACGTAAGATTACAACGAGTGGATTCTTATGAAATGAACAACATGTGAATACAACAATAAAGATGATTTCAATCTCTATAAAAATCTGTTTTTACATTCACAGTTTGTTCAGTTCATTTTTAGCTCATCTATTGTGTAAAAACTTAATATTGATCTTTTCTTTTTTATAATAGAGCCTTATATTATTTTGAACATCAAATTGATTCATCACGCAAATCAGATTATTTTTCATCATTTTTTGCTTTTTTTCGTGATGCTTCATTATCTGATTTAAAATATCTCGAATTTCCAAGTGGTAATGCTGATAGTGAAATTCAAGTATTTGTTAAACGAAAATCATCTACAAATCAAAAATTACAAAGACAATTTGCATGGATAACTGGTGCTGGTCTATACTATACAGATATAGATCCACTTAGTGTACAAAACTCGTTTCTTCAACGTCATCGTATTATCGATTACTATATAGATAAAAGGATTAAGCAAAGAGACGAAGAAAAACCACCAAAATCTGTTGCATTAACAGAATTTCATTGTCTTATGATGTTTCCAAATGAAAATCAAATACGTGGTGTATGCACTATTAATGAAAAAATTGTTATGATTGATGGTTCTATGCAAGTAAGTTTTACTTATAAAAAAATATAGAAACCTCAAAAGAGCAAGCTGTCTCTTGATGTTTAATAATAGTGAAAATTATGTTTTACTGTTATATGATCATCAATGAGTAGTCAGCTATTAATATAGTAATAAAATTCTACAAAGAGCAGTTTATTATAATATGTGCCGATTCGTCACATGCCATAAAAGCAGCTGTTATCAAAATTTTTATATTATAACAATAGTTAACTGGAGGAGTATAGGCAAAATCATAGAAAAATAGAACATTCTTCTTATTATCAACACATGTTAAAAGAAAAATCCCTAAAGTTTTTATTCATAAGAGAAACTAAGTCGGTCATAGTTTTGGATTGTCATGAGTGGTAATAAAGTAAAAACGAAGCAATCAATATAAATATTCGATTAGAAAATATGATATATATATAGTTTAGCTTGTTAGTTTGATAAAATAACATTCTGTTGTACAAGTTTTGAAAGTATACTTACTTTAAATAAACAAATCTATTCGAAATATTTGGAATGTTGTAGAAGGTTTTAATAATGATAGATTATTTTTATAGCAACTCTTCAAGTATTTTACAGTATGAAATCTACATCTTCTAAAACTTGAAACTATTTTTTAGAGTGGTAAACCAGTTTGTTATGCCCGCGATCAAATGAATGATCAATTATGGGCATGCACTGAAGAACGTGTACTTCGTTATACAATTCAAGACGAACGTCGTGATGTCTGGCGTGTATTTATGCAGAAACAAGATTTTCAAAAAGCTCTTGAAACATGCATTCTTGTATGTCACTAGAATTGAATAATAGACTAAATAATTTTTTTTCTTCTAACATTTAGAAAGATGATCCTGATGAAACAAAACGAAGACAACGTTCAATTAATTCCAAGCATGCTGATTATTCATTTAATGAAAAAAAGTAAACTCTTTTGAATTCGATTCTAAATATGTTGGTTTGTTTTTCTGTCAATTTCTTTAATCACATAGATATACACTTAGTGCTAGTATTTATGCTGAATCAGATACATCGTTTGAAGATGTAACATTAAAATTCTTTACTTTAAGAGATAAAGAACCACTTCGAGAATATCTTCAAGCTGTTTTACGATATCAAGAATCAGCAACAGTAAAAGATTAAGAAAAAAATGTAATCATCCGTGATTATTTTCTTTCGTTGCAAATAGGACAATACACAAATAACAATATTAACTTTGTGGTTAACAGATTTGTTTTTAAGTGAACTTGATGAATTACGTCAAATAGATTCTACACCATCAACTATGATAAAAACATCATCCAATGCAAATAATAAATCTCCATTTAATGATCAAGTAAATGAAAAATTTTTAGATGAAAATAGTCGAAAAGAAAAATTTGATAAAACTCGTCGAAAATTTCAATCTTTTTTACGTGAACCAAAAATTCAATCATGTCTTAGAGAACATCGTTCAGCGATGTACGATCTATTAACAAGTCACGGTGATCTAGATGATTTAATTTTGTTTGCTGAACATGTACAAGATTATGAACGTGTTATTTTACTTTATCTTGAACGTGAAGATTATGAAAAGGCATTAAAAACATTAGATCCATTGGTAGATATTTCCATCCGTTTTTGTTTTTGTTTTTGTTTGGAAATTTCAGTTTATAACATTTTATTTTATTTTCTAGAATGATTATAAACTGCTTTATAAATATTCACCAACGTTAATTGAAAAATTATCTGAACAGCTTATACTGATTTGGAAAAAGAAATATAATGAACATTTCGAAGCTAAAGAATTATTACCAGCAATGATTGCTTATTCAAGAGCACATCCACAAGTAGAGATAGTTCTAATTCATTTTTCGTCAAAATTAATTATTCATTATTTAAGGGAAAAGCTGTATTGGATTTTCTAAAATTTTGTTTAGCACGCGGATGTATTGATAAGTCAATACACAATTATCTTCTTTCGGAATATGTTAAATTTGATCAAAGTCAAATAATGCCTTATCTTATGAATCAAAAAGAAGTATGAATTCTTGCATAGTTAAAGAAGACAAAAAAATTATATTTAATATTAAACTAGGATCCTCTCTTAATTACGTATGACCCAAGATATGCCTTACGTCTTTGTATTGATCACGATCTAAAAAAGGAAAGTGTCTTTTTATATCGTTTTTTGAACATGCACGAAGAAGCTGTAGATACAGCTTTACTAGTAAGAAATAGAGATAAGCAGTTCATTACATAAATACATCATGTTTTTTCTTAATTATAGGTGGATGTTAAATTAGCAAAAGATTGCGTATTAACAGCTCCAATAAATGATGAGCGAACGAAAAAATTATGGCTTAAAATTGGTAAGAAATTAGAAAGTAGAGATTCGATAGTTTCAAAACATTGCTCATAGAAGAGATTTTATTTCGAATCTTTTCTATGAGAAAAACTAACAAGAAGAATTAAAATAAGAAATTAAATAGAGAAAATTATTTACAACAAAAATTTAAGAGAAATGAAATCTTCTTAGTATTTAGGAAATAATTGAAATTCTCTAGAAATCAAGAAATAATTTTTTTAATATCTCAAGCTCACAATTCTGATTATCTACGACATGACATGTTTCCCAACTTTTTGTGGCATTTGTTTTTTTATCCAATAAAACAAATTCAATAGTAATTACCATTAAAATTGATTACCACCTCATCATTACCTGTGGATACCATGAACAAAAATAGTCCTTCGATACCTCTTAAAATTTATGTAATTGAGTCAAAGCAAGTCCTAGAGAACTCTTAGATATCTCACTTTGTAGAGATTTAATTGTTCTGTCTTCTCGCATAATTAATCAAGAGAAATATTAAATTTTTCAATTTTCAGTTGACTATTGCAAAAACAGATTCTCTATTTTCTAAAGATCTTAGATTTGGGAAATAAATTATTAAGATTACGACGAAAACTCACAATTAAACGTTTGTAAGCAACTATTGAATGAATTGCATCTAACTAGTATTTACATCCATTGAATTGATTAAATAAATGTATGTTATTAAATGCTCCTAAGATTTTTTTAGAAACAAAAAGAGAACTTATTTTTTCTATTAAATGAATAGTCTCCTAGGAGTAATTTACTATTTCAATTTAGCTGGTTCTGTTGTAACACAAGGGCGTGATCTTAATGAAGTAATGGAAATTCTTGAAGAAAAGGGTAGTAATCAATTGAAAATAGAAGATATTCTTCCATTATTTCCTGATTTTGAAACAATCGATCAATTTAAAAAACCAATTATTAAATCATTAGAAAACTATAATGACCGTTTAACTGAATTACGAACTGAAATGAACGATGCATCAAAATCTATTGATGATATACGTGATGATTTAGCTAAATATCGTACAAGATGTGTTGCAACAATTGATTCATATGCAGCATGTTCATTATGTGAACAGGCATTAATGTTGCAATCAACATTTTATATATTTGCTTGTGGTCATTATTTTCATGGGGACTGTTTATTTTCGTATGTAAGACGTTTAATGAAACGTAATGATGAAAATACTCTGGATGAAAGTAATCGTTTATCGGCATCAGCTAACAGTGGACAAGTCAATGAACAGAATAAACAGAAACTCGATCAGTCTTCGAAAAAAAATGCAGTACAAAAAGATATTGAAACTGTTAATCGTTTACAATCAATAATAGCTAGTGGTATACCACCACCATCACGTGATATGGAAAGTGTACAACAAGAACTTGATGATCTTGTAGCTTCCCAATGTGTATTATGTGGTGAAACAGCTGTTGATTATTTAGATCAACCACTTGATGTTAATTTATAATTTGTTGCATTTAATCGTAGTCACTGATTTAATTGATTGATTTTTATTTTGAAGACTTTTTTTTACGAATAAATTCCATTTGATGATTTTTCAAAGGTTTATCCTTAGTTTTAATTAAAAAAAACACTAGATGCTACTGTATTGTTGTTGTTGTTGTTTTTTTAAATATTGTTCTCATTGTTTTCTCTATGCCGAAGAACACGTGCAATTTTATTGAAAAATGCAATCAGATTTTGCAATGTAGCAATGATCATTATAAAATACAGCGAATAATAATAATTTTCAAGATCGAATGCATGATTGAAGTATCTTTGTTAAAATCTTCTTGAAAGCAGGCATGTGCAATTTGTTAGAATGCTGATCAGTTTGAAGTTGGTACACGAACGAAAACTTCTGTGATAGATTTTCAATAAAATAATATTGAAATTGATCATCTATTGTACAAATAAAAACTGACTCTTTTTTACATAGAAAAATTATCATGTGTGAATTTTAAAAAATTGAGAGCTAAGCCAGCTATTCGTTTAGTTTTCTACACAATCTATTGGCGGGGTTATTCAACAGTCAGTTGTTGTTTATGACGATACAAACTGTTAATTATGCAATATATGCTAGAAAATAACGATTCTTATCATTGCTAATTGATTGACTATGACTGTAAGGTCATAGAATCGAAATGATATGATACCATTTATGTGAAATATGATCTAGTATGATTGTTGCAGTAAATAAGTTCAAATTTGAATTCACTTCTCTAACAAGCTATGATTGACACTCCGGAACCTCATCATTGACTACACTGCAAAAAAAATCCGCAGAATAATAAACGAAAAAAAAAGGTTTTGATGGGAGTATTTAACAAAAATAAAAGGGTTTATGAAAGTGCAATGTATCATAAACCCTTTTTTCCGTATATGACGAAGATAATAAGCGGTTTTTACGTTTATGATTTGGAAAAATGGTTTATCCAATATTTTAAAAACGGAAAAAAAGGTATTTGTCACTTCGCACTTTCATAAACCCTTTTTCTTACATTGTGTAACTGACGTTTTAATACTATCTCTTTCTCTCTGTCGTAAATAGCGCCAGATGTTGTAGATATATCATCAAAAATAGGAGCTATATCCATAACATCTTGTTGCAATGGATGAAATATGTTCCGATTGTATTTTTTTACAGAAGAAAGTAAAAATACGGTAAAGAAGTGCATCGCATAATAAATGCTTACTCCAATACAGAAGTCTATATTTGATTAGGACGAGCAACTATGATCGTGTTTCATATTTTAATTCTATAGGAATTGTATTGACGGCTGTTTTAAATAATACAACGATATTGCAGATGTATTGGACAACATTTTTTCTAAATGAGTTTTCTAACTCTATCCATGTCGTGATAAATTTTTGCATAAAAACTAGGGCAACATGACTTCTTGACGTTACATGAATGACTTTGTTCATGACTCTTCAAAATTAATCAGCAAGTCAGTGCTTTGGATATAGATGTAGAACAATGCTATTCGCAAAGTATAGTCATATTCTATATTTAATTAAAAATACAAGTTAGCGTCAGAAAGACTTTTGGAATTATTTTGTCGAATGATTGTAATGAACGCACATAATAGAGTACTTGGCTTATCCTAAAAGATAGAGGACTTCAATTGATAAAAATAATTGTGCTGAATTGAGTAACGATCAATTCAAGATACATGAATGAACAAAAGTATTTTTTCTGCAGTATCTTTTATACTAACTTAAAACTTAGTTTTGCCATCTTTTTATCTTATTAGTTCTTCCATGAATTTGCATAAAATATTACATATCATTATTTCTTAAATAAAATGTACAAAGCATTAAAGATCAGAAAATTTTATTTTATTCTTGTTTCCAACGTGAAACAACGATCGATGTGCACTACAAATCATAAAAAGTTCCTTATCTACTTGTCTATAGATTTTTCTGCATTATTTTCATGTACTTCGTTTTTTTTCAAAAAAATAAAATCCCTCCATGCCAGTTATTTAAATGACAACGTCTGTATATTTCGTTTAATAAGTATATCAAAATTAAATTAATAAAATTTTCCATTGAAAATCAACAGACAAACTATTTCTATCGAATAATTGATAAAAATGCAATTCTAATGAAGATAGAGAATAAATATCCACCTGCAGTAGTACCATATTTCTCTTTGTCAAAAGAGAAGACATGCAACCAGTCTAACTGTCATTTTGAAATTTCAGTTTTCTTCTAGGAATAGAAAAAAAAACGATACATAGTTCTCTAATCGATTTTTAATGAAGATCAAAGGCAAGATTATTCACGCGCAATCTATATACTCTATAAACCTATTTATTTTTAATCACATACTGCGTGGCATTGGTACTGTTTGACATTATTAAACGAGAATAAATTTTGCATTAACCATTGACAATGATGAATAATAACACTGTTTCAGAAATATTGCTAAGGATTATCAAAATAGATACAATAAATATCGGATTGTTTATCAATCACATTCACATCGCACTGAAGAACTATCATCTATTTTGTGATCGATATTTTCATTCCTCTTCGAATTGTTGCTGCTGGATTCGATTAACATTTGATTGACAGGCTTTTTTATGCTTGTTATTTATTTAATTTATTTTCGGATCAAATCTCAATAGAATTTAATTTCATATGGATTGATTAATCATGCTAATGTGTACAAAAATGGTTTCATTTTTCAAATATCTACGAGATAATTGATTCAACTACGTATTTGGATTTAATTTTCGAAATGAAGGTACAACTGTTTGAATAACTGCTTTCGTTTGAATAAGATTGCTGAGTTTTGTTTGCTTCAAGCAAATCTGAGCCTTAAATAATGTAAAATCAACAGAATTTCTTACTGTTCTCAGAGGCCTTTATTTTCTCTGTATAAATCGCAATGAACAAAAATGCTTCGTGTCTAACATCTACATGTGTTTATATATGAAAATATAAAAAACTGATAAATTCAGAATGCATAGATACATGATGTTTCAAATCTTCAATAGACACGTTGGTATTCAAGTATAGTAGGTTCTTATCAAAAGTATATGTTTATCATGTTTTAATTTATTTTTTTTTTCTTATATAAACAAGAAAAAAAAATGAAATTAAGCAAATACGACTAAAAGTAAATGCACAGTTGCGTGCAAATCGAATACATATGCTTCTATAATTGTCAAGCTGTCGCTTCAAATATGCATTAGGACACTTTCTTTTGAAGGCGTACGAAACGAATACAGAAGGAGGAAAAACAAAATGAGATATTAAAAAGCATCATTTTCTTTCTTCTGATAGCATAAAGTAGAAGACTAGATGCCGACCGAAGCCCATCAATCAGTCATCATAGAATGACCTATTGATATCAATATGATCTTCATACTATTGCTAGATATAGTCCCAGTTATAATTCCTCCAAATTTGTACTCTAGTACTATAAGAAGACGTCTATGCCATACACGTATGCATGCACACTAGCATTAGTTTTTCTTTTTGCTTCTACTCGCTTTCTTCTATTATACGTTCTTATTATTTCTGCTTCTTTTCTCTCGTTTCTTTTTTGTATACTTTGCTTTTTTTCTCTTCTTCGAGTTCTCGACCTCTTTTTCCTCACTACGTCTGAAACAACCCCTTTAAAGAATTGACGACGTATATCACTCGGAATCATTCAGCTATTGGTTGGAAGAGAAAGGACAAAGCGACTCTCATCAGTACACTATGTGTTCTGCGTGTTGTATTCACCAAGCATTCGTTGCCTCTTTTCATAATACATGTGTTCAGTTTTTCTTCTTCTTCTTCTTTGTCTTGAATGTTTTTCTCTCTTATTAGGTTATTGCCACAAAAATGCATGAAATATTAAATCCAACAAATCAAAAATCTACTTAAAACTGTCTCAAATGTTGCTCATAAAACAATTTTTAATTGTATTACTTTTGTCAACAAGTAAAACAATTTCTCTAAATACTATAGCGACAACAACAACACTACCGTCAAAGGTATTAAATAGTAATAATAATATTTATAATACAAAAGTAAGAGAAGAGGAAAATTTATGAATAATAACCTATTGATTTTTGACAGATTATCAAGAAAAATTTGTCGATAAATCAAAACGAACAAAATTTGATAATATCATCACAAGACATAACTAGCAGTGATGCGATAGCTGAAGAAATTAAAAATGAAGTATTCGTTAATGATTTGTTAGAAACAGTTAACGAATCTTCTGTTGTTCTTATACCAGAAACTCATCAAGGACCACATTATGAAATCGATTGGAATTTTATTGATAAAGACACTATTCGTGTCAAATTTGATCTATATTCTCTTCCAAAATCATTAATGGATAATAATATACGTACTGAATCCAAGAAAAGTAAAACCAATTTATTAGCGACAATGACTACAATGCCTTCAAGCTCTCTTAAATCACTATATTCATTAGAATATTTTCTTTTTATTATTCGTCCACACAATAAAAACCGAGAAATTGTACTTAAAATGGAAAAATTAAATTCAAGAAATACAACATCAAGACCATATCCACATTTTGCAAATTCATTGCGATTAACTTCATTAAATCATCATGAAAAATATAGTGTTTGCATATATTATTATAAAAACAATGTCTCGATGAAATTTCCAGATTTACTTCTTTGCCAAGATATTATAAATGATTACGCAAAATTTGCTCATTTAAAAGCAGATGCAAAGCATGGTCTTGTATTTATTGGAACACAGTATTCAATTATCATAGGTTTACTTGTTGTTTTACAAAGTGTCTATTCAATGCGAAAACGTCGTATAACTGAGTATATTTCTCAACATTTAACAACAACAGCACATAGTATTCGTAGTACACTTTCATCGGTTAGTCTTGTACGACAATCATTTTCTTCATTGGATGTAGTAGCTGAACAGCAACACAATCAGCACACGACAAATACTCAAAACAGTCAGCATGAAACAAAGACTGATGAAGAAGGAAAACTTAAACGACGGTTACCATCAGCACAGTTTAATATTCAAAACAGTCAGCATGAAATAAAGACTGATGAAGGAAAAAATAAAAAACGGTCGCCATCAGTACAATTTAATACTATTAATCAGCTATCACCGCCGACGAGTGACGGTGCTACTAGTTCGGATGAAACTGAACCATTCCTTAAGCGAGTATCAAGTAAAAATCATGTACATTTTTTACTTGGTCCAGGAGAAGGATCTGATGACGATGACGATATTCATCAGCATGACGGTAATGAAACAAATAAAAATTCGAATTCACAATCTGCATCGGACAGTACCGAACCATACGGCAATCAAGCAGATGCTTTATTATCCATGGCTCATATATTGGACACAAACAAGCCATGGTCTCGACACAATCAAAATATGTCTCCAGTATAATGATTGATAAACGTCTTTCACATACGTTTTATTCTTATTTTCTGTTGTCAGGATTACTGTTTTCTCATTTTGTCTATATAAACAACGAAAATATAATGGCATCATACATACATATTAAGAAAAACAAGAAAATACAAAAAAATAATGAAAACACCTTACAATTCAGACAAAAGAGTCCTAAAATTGTCAAAATAATTGAATTAAACAGACAAAAAAAAATATATATATATATATATGGCAGTCATGTCGGCACATAATCATGTTCTTCTCCGAATTTTTGTATTACACTCGCCTATACTTTTTACATAAGTAGTTACCACAAAATAGAACTAATGAACTGATTAGTTTGCTTAGAGAAAGAATGACAGGTATGTAGAAACAAATTTTTGGTCGATTAATACAAAATAAAAGAAAAACCTGCCCAGAGAATAAAAACAAGATTACACACGACTAGTTTATTCGAATCGGCTTTTCTGAAAAATTTGATTTTCTAGTCTTCCGTGGATTTGATATAAGTGGTAATTCTAAACCAAGCCAGCAAACATCTGAAATAAAAATATATATATAAATATTTCAAGGAAATTCTGCTGATAGTCCTACTTTGTATTGATTTTATTTCACGTAAATTGATTCGTCCCATATTATCATCACACCGAGACATCAATTTACTACCATTAAATATTGAAAAACGATACTAAACATCCAAAAGAAATAGCAAGTATTTAAAAAAGAAGAAGAAAAAAAAACAAAGACCAACTTTTTCAAATTCACGATTCGTTAGACCTAATTTAATCTGTAATCGTTGTTTAACATCACCAAAGGATTCATTCTAATTGAAACAAAACAAAATAGAAATTGAAGAACTAATTAAACAAATCTTTTATCTGTTACGTGTATCACATTCAGGAAAAATGGGAAAAATTTTTGAAAACTTATTTGTATCAAATTTTCCTAAAAATAAAATTTAAAATCAACAATTGAAGTCAACAATTAAAAGTATTTACTTTAGTATAATGAGCAACAGGTATTAATACTGAATCGTTATTGTGATCATTTTCATCAGAACTTATTTCTTCTAAATGATAATAACGCTTTGGACAATAATCAAATTTATCTATTGATATTTGATCAGGACATATACGTAGACGAAGTGGAAGATTTATTTCATTGTTTAGGATTAGTTCAATGATTCTAACATGAAATTGAATTTTTGTTTAACATCAGCATATAGATATTTAATTTATCATGTTTACCTTAATTGTTGGCTACCATTTTCGGAACACAATGTTGGTATCCATTGTTTAATTTCATTGAGAAAATCAGCTATCGTTGAAGAAGTTTTAGCATAAAACTGTACTTCACGTTGTTCATCTTTTCTTGTTGAATTTGTAACAAATATACGAAATAAACGACGATTTTCAAGTTCTGTATAATTAAACGGCAACTAGAAAAATAACATCAGACGAAAAGAAAAGCAAATTTTGACAAAAAGATTTTTTTATAGATTTTTACCCTTTTAAATAAGATTTTTCGAGGTGTTGTTGCTGGATTACGTGTATTTGAATAGAGATCTTTTAATTTTTGTTCACTACCAATATGAAATGAAGATGCCAAAGGCGTTGTATTGAGTTGTGTTATTGGACTAAAAATATGCATAAATTGACTATGATTAAAATAAAAACTATATTGCTTGTTTTACAATTCTTTACTCTCTTTCAAACGTAATTTTACAGTATGACTATTCAATCGAGCATAAATAGCTAAGCAAGCAGATTAAATCATGTCACAATAACAATGTCATAAATGCCAATCCAGCATCTGGTATTGAATACTTTTGCTATTGTCGAGTATTTTATATTGATTAGTGTTATTGTCGGCATCTGTCAATATCAATGCCACTCATTACTTTTCAATAACAATAATACTCAATAGTAAAACTACTCAATATTGACATTTCTACAAGAAATTCTATAGATGTTTTTCAGTACTTCGAATTTTCTTGATTTAAAAAAAAACAAGTTTAATAAATCAAAAGAAATTCGATCAAGTAAAAAAAACAAAATCCTTTTCTAACATGTTATATTAATCAATTAATGCTGCTTTTTTCTCGTTTAATGTTTGCTCAATTCGCTGTGATTGAAATATTACTCAAGACATTAGATCTACAATATCTTAATATAATAAAATTAATTTGGTCTAAAAGACATATGACTAAGGATTGAAAATAATAACCGCATTCAAGAATGGAGATCTATTAATATATTAGATGAATACTGAGTAGATATAGGACAATGTTATAATTAAATAGAAGTGAAATAGCCAGTAATCAACGAACTCTATTCCTACAAGTTATACTCAATCATAGAAACTCACATATAATATACAAGGAAATATGACAGAAGAAAAAAGATAAATTTTTTATTGTGGTCATTAAAATCTAACTCGACGATTAATCGGAAACTGTCTTTTTGAAGAATTCATCGACCTTTTCCATACTGTTTTTTATTAATCACTTGCTTTAATTTTTTATTCTATGAACAGTATCCTGAAATTCTACTTCATAATGTCGTAAATTCATATAATAAAATCTTACTTAAAAGATTTTTGCACAATAATTTGTTGTTCCGGATAATTAATACGTTCAGCAATCAATTTAATAATTTCTTTTATGGATGTTTCCATTGGAAGATATAATTTAAAAAGATAATCGTTTCGGAGATTATCTAGGTTACAAAAATGAAATTCTTGGCGATTTGAAAAATTTCTAGAGTAGAAGAGGAAAACGATGAGATAATAATTAATCTAGTGAATATTATTTTGTTTACTGAAAATAATCTACTAACGCTGTAGTGAATTTCTCATGATGTGCTTGATCCATATCCAAGATTTGAATCATAATTGACGTGCCCGATATACAAGGATGGAGTGCTTGAGATAATGGTAAATCAAAATTAGATGATTTTATCGATTCATACTGATGAGTTTGATTATGTTTTGGTACACTTTGGTAAACGTTAAATTTTGTTGACGACGATACTGGTCTTTCAATACGGACAGCAATGTCATTTAAACATTTTTCTAAGAATAAAATAGTATAAACGACATTAAACTTTGGATAAAAGAACAATTTCTTACTAAGTGATTGTTGTTTGGAAAATAGAAAATGGCCAATAAACAAAGGAGATTCATTTTGAGAATCATATAAACAAACAAATACAAGTATATCATCTATTGAAAAGAAAAATTATTCGAAAGCTACATAAAGAATAATTTTCAAATACCATTTTTATCAAATGGTAACAATTGATATACACCATTCAAAAATATCTTTTGTTCGACAAATATCGAAATAATGTGTCGATTTGTTGTTTTATATTGGAATAAATCTATGATCTATTCAATCAGAACAAAGAATGAGATTACAAATATTAAAACATAGAAATTCTTACTGTTTTATCATAATTATCACAATAGGTGAGTGCCGAAGTAGTTAATGCTTGAGAATGATAATGAATATGATTTTGATGACCAGTATTAATCTTATGAGTATTAACTATCCATATTCGTATATCTTCGTCGAGATTTACTCCCTATATTATTTTACAAGAATAATCCATGTAATTAATCTTTAGGAAGTTTTTTTTAAACTTCTATTAAATCAAACTTCTACGTTAAGGAAAGAACAGTATCTTTGTCATTAAGCTAACTTCTATTGGATTAACCAACTGAATCGTTTCTCAACAGCTATGATGAACTGCAACTCTTGATAGTAGACGAATTTAGCACACAGCACTTGTGCTGGCTGAATAACTTGATCTCTTCATCAACACAAAATTAATTGCGTAGTAGTATCCGAAGTACATAATGATTTCGCATCTTGTGGATGAGTTTTGAACATTATAGCAACTTAGAGAGATGACACTTGAATTCTTTAGTAAATCTGGTCTTGAAACAGTAGTTTACTTTTTGATAATTATACAAAGTAGGAATCTTACTGAAGTAAACAATTCAATGGTAGATAACAGAATTACATTTAATAGGATTCTCGTTTTTTCTTCATCTTAATATTCATCATAACTTTGCTAAATTGAGACGCAATCGAATGTAAATTTATTTAGTACAGAAATCATACATGATTTCTATACTACTTATGAGTTATAAATGTACTATAACAAATATCAGCTCTCGCTTTTCTAATTTCATAACTATATAACTCACACAGTTTTAATTTCTGTAAACTCTTTCTTATTTTAATTAATCAAAAATTCCACATAAAATGAATACTTACCATTTCGTGTGCTAATCGTTCTACAAAGGCACTAAATAATTCTGAACTACGTGCTCGAATAGACCGTGCATAATATTTGTTGTTTGGAAAATCGATAGAACTAAAATTTAAAATAAAAATAAATTGTTTAGATGAACGGATGAGCGATTGTATAAGTTCATGCAGTACAAGTGTTGACATGTAGGTAAGGATGTTTTGTTTTTGATACCGTGACTCACTCAATGTCAATACTCCTCTACAATACTTTAAGACTAAGATGTTATGCAAAAAGCTTGCCCTACAACTGGTACTCATTATTTAAAAACAAAAACAAATTACAAATTATCATACGTCTCATAAATAATTTCATTTAAACCAGATGTTTGTTTAATATAAAAGTCAGTATTTAAAATAATTTGCATGTAAATTAAATCATCATTATCCAACATATTTTCACGACGTTTAAAAAATGATTTTCTAAATACAAGATTGCTCTTTTATTCACAATAGAACAATAAAAAAAATCCTTACTTTTCATAATCAAATCGTTTTATTAAATTTTCTGGAATATCTTTTAGATCAATATCACATAAAACCTCTTCTAAACAATATTAAAAATATTCTTTTGTTTAGTAATTCATTTTTATCTTTCAATTTACTTTGATAATCTTCACGTATATAAACAAGCATATAAGCCGATGTATTATACATACTACCATCATCATCTTTAATTCCACCAAAGTTTCTTTCAATGGCATCACTTGGTGCTACGTGTGCAACAACTTCATCATCAAATTTAAACCACTAAAATAAAAAATAAATATCATTAACATAACAATATCAAAACTATTCTACTTGTTCATCTAATCCTGGATTAATAAATGAAACATAATGTCCACTGGAATTATCTCCACTGTGGACTAATATTGATAATAATTTATATGAACATGGCGAAGAATTTGGATTTTCAAGAAATTCACTTAAATTAAGATGATAATCAAATGAATAACTATCATTTATTTTTCTATTTTGAGATAGATTATAATCATATTCAAAGCGTAACAAATGTAAACAAAGCACAGGAGGAAAGTGTTGAAATTTAACACCTTTTTCTGCTTCCTAAATAAAAAAGTTAATTTTATAAGTAAAAATGTTCTTATTGAAATCAAAGCCAACCTGTAAACCATGAACATCGCCCGCGTCGTATAAATTTTCGCCAGTTAATATTTCACTTTTACAGAAATCTCGAAAACTTTCTATAACTAATCAGGAAAAGAAATACATAGTTTTATATTACTTACAATAAATACTTACTATTAGCATTATTTCGTATTTGTAATGGAACATCGTAGAATGTTTGTTGTACTCGAGATTCATGCTGAACTTGTGTACACCGTACATATTGCTTTTATAAATAAACAAAAATAATTTATTCAATGTCTGGAGAAAAATCGAATAGTTTACCACATATTGCCCTTGGAATAGCGATGGAATAATACCTTCCATTGTTGTACCTTCCATTTTTGATTCTAATTTATCGAGTAACTAAAAAATACAAAATAAAAGACGAACTAGGAAAATCTTTTCATAGATATTCTAGTTACCACTCGGCAAAATTCTTGAATATCATGTTGACAAAATTCATCTGGCTTATCCCATCTTGACAAAACAAACGAAAGATGAAAATAAATTTTACTAAGATGAATAAGTATTTACCCAAACGAACGTGTCAATTTTTTTGTGCTTATAGATCGATCAGTAAATTGAAGATCATAGAAGAGCTTTTGTAAAGCAAGTGGAATACTATGTGCTTGATCATCACTATCTGTTGGTAAAGCATATACAGCCTAAATATACATTTATTTTAAGTTTCATGATGATTTATTCTAAGTTTTATGATGACTCATTTGAAATAAACGATAATAAGTATCTTTATTCAATTAGAAATCTTTTTTTGAAACAACAATTTTTTTTTGTATTTTGATAAGTTCTCCATTGAATTGCTCTGAAGGAGGAGGATTTCATTTTTTCATTATCTTACACATGTTTCTCGTCATGACTAACCTTGCGTAATTTTTTTGTAAAATAAATCGTTTGCAAGAATGAATTCATATAACAAGTTGCACCAATATTGCGCAAACCAACAAAACCAGTTTGACCTTTTGAATCCCATCTAAATTGACCAGTTGATTTAGATAAAAGGAAATAAATTTCTGTACTTACTCAACATTTCTGGGAGGATCAGCATGAATCTTTGCTATAATTCGTACTGTATTATCTGGAGAGTGTAGAAAATCGCTATCAATTTCCTAGGAGAGAAAGTTTTAAAAGATCATAAGATTAAAAATTGTTTGTTTGTTTGTTTACTTTCAATGATTTTAATTGATGGAAACCCCAATCATTAGAACGCACATTAAACAAATGATTAATTTCTGTTGTTTTTTTTTGTAAAAGAAAACAAGAAACAATATTAAAAGAAAAATTCATTTTAGAAATTACTTTGAACAAAATTTTTATTTGAATCTGTTCGATGCAGAAGTATTAACTCAGCTTTTGCAAATATTGACCAACTAGTAGATTTTTTTTCTGGTTCACATTTAAGAAAAAGACTGATGAATTTTGTATGGGTACGTAGAGAATTATCATAAGCTAGATGTAAATAAGTCATTAATGTCCATGAAAATGTTCGTATTATTGACGGTTCACTTGATACTTGACAATCTCGTCCTCGCGATGGAATATGAGTATGAAAAATAATTGTACCATCATAACGAAAAACTATATATATATATTAGTAAAAAAGCAATTTAATTAAAATCAATTGTTTCATCGTTAAAATTATTCTTTACTATCATTTTTGCCATTATCAAAATCGACAGGAACAATTGAATGATCAGAAGAGTTTCCTTCTATATCGTTATCTACTTCCTGCTCTTCGGTTTCAGATAGACTGGTTGAATGACCTAAGATTTCACAAAAATACAAATGTTTTTAAGATAATTGTATTCATTTTACCATTAATAATACCATTTTCTTGATCAATTATTTGAGTGGTCAATTCATTTTCAGACGTTGATGATGTACGTCGAAGCTTTTTTGAACCAGGCGAATCATTTGGGCTTGCTGGTTGTTCATTGCTAGAATCTGTCTTTTGGGAGCTATCTTCAGCACTCAAAGTTCGTTTAATACCACTCATCTCAAAATTGAAATTCGTAGAAAATGGCTCATTTTCTAGAATGATAAAAGTAAGAATAGGAAAAAGAAGAAAATCATTTTTTCCATCTCTCAGATGTGTCAATAATAGCGATCGTTCTTTTTACTTAATATGAGTCATGAGATTGTTTTAAATAGGAAAATATCTATCAATTTGAATCATAGAAAATCTTAATTTGATTATTTATTCATTTGGAATTTTGTCGTAGCTATCATTTTTCGGACTGACGAAATTTTAAACAACTAGCTCCATCTATGCCGAATAGAATTTCTACATAACAAAATATTCGATTTTAATTGTCGTCATACGAGTACAATGATTTGCATATGTCAATAATAAATATAGCATCAGAATTAAAATATTTAGAGAAACTCGACTGGTCCTTAGCGTCATCTAACTTTGCAATAACAACATGTCAAAATCTAAGACTTCTATCACTCCTACATTATTATTGTTTACATTAAATCATGAGATTGAAGCAGAAGAAATCTTTTTCTTTCTGCTATACATTTGTTTTCTGTTGTTAGTTTTTACGTATTAAAAAATGGAAAATCAAACTTCGGACATTGAAGAAAATAAAATACTTCCTGGTACATTAATTGATTCTACTGAAAAAATTGTTCAGCATTTATCTTCTCAACGCCGATGTTCCGTTAGTCATAATCAAGCAGCATTAGTAGAAGTAATATGTGTATAATTAGGTGAGAAAAAAAGTTTTCTTCGTATTTATTTTCTAGCTTCATATCCATCTTGATGGTTCATTTCGACATTCGACATTATTTGATTTAGCTCAACAGAAAGGTACGAACAAATGATTGAAGAAGTCATATATATATATATATATATATACATGTATATTGATTGACCCCATTTTAGGATTAAAACTTGTTGATGGCAAGGAATTGACCCTAGAAAATTTTCTACCGTAATTTACATTCTAGCATGCTTTTGATAGTATTCAAACTGTTTTCTCTTTTTAAATTTAAGATATGTTTGTATAGAAGCAGTTTGTAGATCACTGGCTGAATTCCTTGAAAAATTTCCTTTTTTTACACCAATTGTTGCCGGTGACGTTGAGGCTCTCGAACGTGTTGCATACGAATTTGTTGAAGATCAAGCTATACAAGGTGTACTCTATACTGAAACTCGTTATAGTCCACATTATTTAACAGCTGATAAACTTCAACCAGAAGAAGTAGAAATTTTATTTCTAGAAAGAAAACAATGTGCATAATTGATGGATTTTTATAGGTAATCGAAGCAATTAATTGTGGTCTTCGACGTGGCATGAAAGAATATAATGTCGATGTCCGAACCATACTATGTTGTGTACGACAAAATCCGGAATGGTATGTAAATATCAATCAAATTAGATATGACATTTAAACAAATTTGTTAACTTATCACGTTACGTTTTTCTTTTTCTCACAGATGAATGCATGACATTTTGTATTAAAACGATGAAATTCATACCTTAGCACGTACAAATATTTACATTTTTTAAACAAAATCAATAGAAATGAGTAAAATGAAAAGACTAGCCATAGAAACCAAAAACAGACACTTCTCACAGAAGCATATCAAATGAAATTTTCAGTAAAACCTGAATCGAGCATAGGTCTTTCCTCAAAATATGTTTATACTAGTTTTGAATAAATTATGATGAATCTCAACCACTATACATACCAGTATTTTGAAGCAAACTTCAATATATTTTCGTGATTGAATATCAAAATAGATTGTGTGGGATGTTTAATCGATAATGTAGATACAACCAAATTTATGCACAATCAATGAAAATAAGTTACTGATTTGTATTAAATTTCTTTTTCTCTGTTTCTATTTCTTTTAAATTTTTGATGATTAATAAATAAGATTGAAGTATTGAAAATTATTTTTGTGTAATCACCTAACATAATTCTATTAGATCAACCGAATTGACATGACTGGTTTATTTCTAATAATGCACATTTTATGTTTAAAGCTATTGTCTTTGACCAGTTTTCAAAATCAACCTGAAAACTTAATCTCATCTATCGTTTTATAAAGGAAATCATTTAGAGTTCTGATCGATATTTTTGCAAATTTTTTAAATCTTCTTTTTACTCCAGGAAAGACGAAGACAAGTTTGATTGTATCTAGCATAAATTTGATAGACAAACAGATCAATGTAATCGAATAGAACAAAGCAATAAGCATGCGACAGACCGTCCAATTATTTTGCAAAAACATTCATTTATTTCAAGGATTCATCAAAAACAAATCATATAGAATGTTTTGCTCTTTTTCTCAGGTCGATGGAAATTGTCAAATTAGCAGATCAATATCGTTCAGCAGGTGTTGTTGGTATCGATCTTGCTGGGGATGAACATAATTATCCCATTCATCCACATATTCCAGCTTTTAAACGTGCAGTCGAACTTGGTATACATCGTACAATACATGCTGGTGAAACCGGTTCAGTTGAATCAGTTCGTCAAGCAATTGAACTATGTCATGCTGAGCGCATTGGTCATGGTTATACTATCGTTGATGATCCATTGATATATGATTACATTCGTCGTAATGATATTCATATTGAATGCTGTTTAACATCATCGATTCAAACAAATGCCATTGCCAAATATATTCCCGAAGATAGCGAAAAACGAGAAAAAAATTTCGTTTTGAATGGTCAAGAAACAAAAACAAGATTACATTCGCATATAAGATCAAAAAAGGAAATCTGGCATCCAATACATCATTTTGCTCGTGACGCTTTAAATTTCTCATTATCATGTGATGATCCGTCTGTATCTCAAATAACTATTGAACATGAATATGAACATGCATTAGCTGATTTAAAATTATCACCGGCACAATTAGCTCAATGTGTTTTTAATGCAGCACGTTCAGCATTTTTAACTAATACTGAAAAAAAAATATTAATTCAACGTTTAGTTCCTAGATACATTCCAATCGGGATTCTTCAAGATCATTTACATGATACTAGTAAATAAAAAATGGCATCGTAAAAAATATCCAAATTCTAGATAAATTATTTTATACACCTGTCTAAAAATTAACTATTTTATGCATTGTTTTATACAATTTAGAATAGCAAAACATATTTTATTACATTAATATTTAATTTTTTTATTGTAACAGCATTATGTCTAAATATGTTTTTGTTAAAACACTCTTTCGATTTTTACTAATTATCTCTTATATATTTAATGAAGTTATTTTATTAGATAAATCTCAGTATTCCTGTGCACGTATATTTTGAAACTCAAATATCTTCACACTACCTTTGCATAATAGAATTAAGAATGCAAACGCTTTTCTACAACGATTTTAAAATAGCAAACTCTACTACACAATCTACAATGCGATTAAATTCATCATCAATTTTTTTTACAAAAATATGTCTTTTTCTAAATCTATCAATAATATAACTAGCAAAATGTATCAATCAATCAATGGTAAAGATCTCTACGCATCCTCAAGATACATCAAATAAAGAAAATTAGGAAAAAATACATCTACACTAGACACATTATTTACAACATCCTGCTCTTACGAAATTCACCGATCAATTTGATTGTTCTTTGATATTTTGTTTGCTATGATTCAAGATCATGATATGGAATTGATAGCTCAAGTAAAGTATTCCATTTTCTGCAAGAATTTGATACAAGATTGATTTAATTGAATCAATAGATAATTCGTCATTTTTCTTCGAGCTCGCTTGCATGATGAAATTATATTAATTATGAGTTTATTCTTGAAAAACAAAATAGTGTATAGTGAACGATAGATGTTACCTTCAACGTTTTCGCACTGTTTGAAAAAGCTGGAATTAAATAAACTTACAAATTAAAACTTTTCTTGTGACGTATTTTTCGTTATATTAAAAACTGAAAATTGAAGTCTGTTTTGATTTCTATCTACTTGAGCATTTTTTGTTCTACTTCCCATAAAGTGTCTCATGAAAACAAGTCTATTTATCGAAGACTCAATAATATTTCCAAAACTTTGGATCTTCGATGAAATCATATTCGAAGCTCCGTATGGTGAAAACACGTGACTTGTGGTAACATGAAACTGATGTCTAACGAAGCTCGTTAAGTCTGTATCAAGCGTTGATTTCATGTTAAACCATAATAAAATGCTTTTAGTTACAATATATTTTAGTGATCATGTATTGGAAAAAGTTTCTTTTGAAAAGTTTTTCATTTCTTTTTATTTCAATCGATGGCACTTTTGTATTTCATTATTTTGTGCTTGTTTTTCTTAGACTATACATTTGTCAAATGTTAAAAATAATATGGATAGTGGTAGAAGTCGTTTTGCTTATGGTGTTCAGTGTGCATTGGATATAACAAAGAGCATACGTTGAACTCAGTTCAGATAACTGTGATCCTGGAAATACTCTGTTGCACATATAGCTCACGCTCAAAGCCAATGATAAAGTCTTCGTTCAGAGTGATGGACGATATTTTCCTAAATCACGTTGTAAAGGAAATATGATTATAGCAATTAACGGTGCTCGTATTTCGAGCTACTGTCCCATAGAATGGAGCAGAAGTTTAATTCCCGTTCAGCGTTCATACAATACAATTGGATTCGAAGAAATTTCCATCGGTGGAGCGTATCATTTTCCTTTTGGCTGCTGAATATATCGATGGTTCTTATTGTGTTGGAACCGGAAGCAATTTGATTATATTTATTACTCCTGCTGCTTCGATTCAAAGCAATCATTGAAAATAGATAGCTCTGTCTTTTCATTTACAACTTCAATCAAAACTGGAATTCCAGTAAGACACACACCAATTATCACAATCAATGGTCTTAATCATTCCAAACCAGTTGTATCGTTAGCTCAAGGCTATATCTATCAAGGTGGTCTAGAGGGAGATGCAATGACGAGACTGTATTTTGATGAACAACATCTGAGAAACAATGTTTTTATGTGGACAGTAAATGATATTTTTCGTGGAGCAGAACTTGTTGCACCGTTGTATACGCATGACTTCGTCTAGGGAATAAGAACAGTACCTTTTGATGCATCAGCCCTACCATGGAATTTTGCTTCAGATCCGGTTCAGTACTATGTTGAAGTTGCCACATCACTCATTGCAATGCAAGGAGGTATGGAAGTGTACGGTGCCGCTTCTACATCATCAAATCGAGACTATTGGTGGGATTGGATCTGAGTTGGTTATAGTGTTGCATGGCATGACTGTCCATCGACTGGCGGATCTGGTACAGTTCTTGCAGAATCAATAATTGATATTCCATAAGACCATTCTGGTATTCTGATGATTATAGCAAAGACGCGAGTCCAGGGCGATGAAAAAGATCTTGAAGGAACGTTTCTTCTTAGAATTGAGCTAGATGGACAGCAAGTTAGATCTACAAGAATCCAGCAATTAGAAGAACATCCCCATTGTGTAAGTTAAAGAACGATAAGTGCTAGTTACTTCTTGACTAAGGGTCTCTAGCCAGGAAAACAGACTTTACGAGCTGTGGGAGCAGCATTTGGATCGTTTAAACGCATAAGTACTTGCAGAGATTTGCCGCTCATCTGGTTCGATTAAATAAATAGATGAATACAACGAGAATATATGTTGCTAATATCGTATTCAAAATAAAATAACTTTGTTCTATGTTTTATTTCAATCATTTAGTTGTATTATAGATGCAATTCAATAATGAAATTATATGAAATTCCCATGTAGTTTAACTCATAATGTCTTACTTTATGCTTCGAAATCAGTAGCAGATGATGATCAGTTTTTTCAACTGCTTATATAAATAGCATAAAGTAGTGGACAAAATTATAAGAAGAAAATAGTATTTTCTTTGTTTTTCGCACTAAGAAGGCAACAGTTTTGGCTTGAAAATTATATAGATAGTTAGAGAAGATCTTTCTGAACAGTTTCATAAAATAATTTATGCTCGAATCTAAAAGTACATTCGATGCATCAAACTAAAATGGCTGGAAAAGTCCGAGCTGGCACAGTTCTTCGGTTACCAAAATTGATATGAGGATGGAAGGTTTTTTTCTAAGAACTACAGAAAAAACACGACACATTGTCCTATCAGATGAAAGATTTTTCTTTTCTGAAAACCATTGAATTGCAAAGTTAACACTATTTTTAGATTTAACATATAAAAAATCAACAATTTCTAGTCAATCTTGACACCTATATAGCCTGCTAATTGCTATATAAATATTGCTATCTTTGTAGACAGATATTTCTCAAAAAAGTAAAATCTTTCATGTTATAGGAACATGTGTCGTGTTTCTAGTATAGTTCTTAGAAAAGTTCTTCCACAATCATAATAATGTTGGCAATCGAAAAACTGTGTTGGATCGGCATTTTCAAGTCAACATTATTACAGTGTCTCCGTAGTGCGAAAAAAAAAGGAATACTTTTTTGCTTTTATAATTTTGTCCACTATTGTAATTACTGAGAATATTGTAATCAAATAAAATACTGATGAAACATTTTGAAATTGATTCATTTTAGTAGATGAGTATATGACGACTATCCGATAGCTGGAAAAGAATCCTCTACCTATCTAAATAGTAAAAAATTAGAATCTGTAATTATGCTTCATCTTTTCAAATCGTAAATTCTTTAATCTTATTGTACTTTTGAAACAAGTCGCATATGAATAGCTTAAGAAAGCTTCAAGAAACTACGTAGATACGAGAAAAATAGAGATTAACATTTGATATAGATTCTATAGATATTCCAGTATCGATCATTATAGAATTCGAGCTAAATAAAAAATATTTTCCACAGAATTGAAGTATTGTAGAAGATTTCATCTTTTAAATGGCAAGTTTGAAACAGAGTGTTTTGTCTTTGTTAGAAAAGTGTTATTTTTGAAAGTTTTCATAAGTAACTCTGAAATGTCGCAATTCACATAACATATAATTCTGCATTGTATTGAAATAACGAACATTTCAATTGAATGTGAGTACAAAATAAACTATATACTTGCAGTCTATAATTTAAGATAAATATCCTTCCTTTTTACACGTAGAAACAGGTTCTGAACGCTATTTTTCGAAATTATTTTAACGATAGATGTCATAAATTTATACTGAACAATGGTTATCACATGAACAGATGGCTTCACTTTTACACCAATAAAAATTGAATGATTTAAAAAGAATGAAAGCAACAAAAAAAAGAAAAAGCAAAACTCAATCGATCGGTAGAGTGCATAAAGAAAGAAGAAATAAAGAAAAAAGAAGCATTTCATACGATTCTGTTCGTAGTTGATAATTTTCAAAATGCTTCAAACTGTGAAAAAGAATAAGAAAAGGTAGAGACAGAGAGACGGAGAAAAAAAACTTCTTATAGTTCTCCACATTTCATTGTCGATCTGAATGTCTGAGATGCATGAAGGAAAATAATAAAAAATAAAAATATTTTTCTTCTTTTTTTCTATATTCAGCATGTCGATTTATTAAATAATAAAAATATCATTTATAATATGTCGACAACTGCTTATCGAAGTACCCATTCTTCAAGATCATTTACACGGCAACATATTCGAACATCATCAACAAATACTATTCTTCCAACCATGACAAACGACCATACACGATTTCAATCGCAAAAGAATGCTATTCCTCCACCGGTGCCACGCATACGTGCATCATTATCAACTAATTCAATAAATTCATCAAAAACTTCATCGCCCATAAATGCATCTCCATCCCTTCCATCTGAATCATTATCATCCTCAAATGCTTCAAATGAAAGTCCAACAAGTAGAACCTCTAAACAAACCTATACATTTAGTAATCCACCACGTGAACTACAGCGACAATCGATACAAAATATGAAATATCTGCGACAAAATCATTTACGTCAACGTGTTTCATCAGCACCGGATGAAAATTCATTTCAAACCTCTCCACGTTCAATTATAAATCAACAAAAACCATCATCAGCCAATGAATCATTTACACCACGTTCACATGATGGTCATCATATTCCACCATTACCAAGAAATCATTTATTAAAACGCGATGAGCAACAAAAAAGTTCATTAAATGCTTTAATTAAAGAACAAGAACGATCAAAAGTTCCTAAAGCTGTACAAAAACGACGTATTATTTTACTTTTTCGTCGTTTGCCAACATCAACATCCCCATTAATATCACCCAGACAATTACAAAATACTTCACCAATTAAGCCAGATATTATTTCAAATCACGCTCGTCAACAAGACAAGAAAACTAATGATGAAATTCAATATTTCACAAATAATATTACAAGTGAGACATCTTCATATTCATTATTGAAAAGTTTCTATTACTTTCTTTTTAATTTAAAGCATTTCCTTCCTCAGACTCCTCCATCAACGATCCATTTCATGGTTTTGATCAAGCTGAAATAGCTGATTCAAAACAAATAGCTGCTATACTTGCTAATATACAATCATTGGACGAATGGATTCCAAATAGATCCGATAATGGAGCTTCTCCACGGTATCAACAAAAAGCTTTTGATCCAACAAAATATGAATATGTTGCGAAAAATTCTTTTGATACAACAACATTTAAACTTTCACCACGAACGCTAAAACCAGACGAAGATCTAGCAGCACGCTCACGATTTTCAGTAAATTATCGTTATGAAATGCTTTCAAGTGCTAATGCACAAATACCACCATTGATGGCATCAATTGTTACTGAAAATAACAATACGATTGGAGGTGGTACTGTTTGTGAAAAGACTTTCACATTTAGGTTGAATTCGACAATGACCATGAAAAAGCAAAGTTCATTTGATGATACTGAACCGGTAACATCTACTAGTGATGGCGAACAAGTTCAATTATGTTTCGATGAAATACTTAAATGCTTTTATGATCCTAACACAGGCACATATTATGAATTGACGTCTGCGTGAATATATCATCGATGTTGCTCTTTCAAAAAATTTTAGAATTCTTTTTACAATGGGTCTTCCAAAAATACTATATCACACAACACATATTTTAATTCTCGAATTGCATTTCTCGTTGCTTTAGTTTTTGCACGCCGATACTTATTTTTTTTCTTTAATTTAGTGTATGATAACGTCCACTGTATGTTACATATATATTTTTTCTTTCTTTCTTTCTTTCTTTCTTTCTGGTCTTATTCGTTTTATCTATTTATCATTATGTGTTTCCAAGGACAAGAATCCAAACAAAGAAATGCTACTTAACTATTTAGATTAAGTTTTTTTTTTGCTTCAATCCGTCCACAAGTCAATCTACGAGAAAATACAATTTGATTTTAGAACTACTTTTGCTAGATAGGATGCTGCCGGAATATCCGTTGGTTTTGTCTCTTTTTATTATTCGGAATTGCTTTTAGCTTTACTCGATCCTTTGTTTTCTTTCGATTATACACTTCTCTCGGAAACAGCTCGGTTTCATCCAAAATAAATTCCCCTATAATAAGTAGATGAAATCAGGAAATATTCTTTCGAGAGTATAGTCAATAGAAGTAGTACTTATGTCTACTTGCATTTTCTTTTTAAATTCATTCGAACATTCATCGTGTCAGTACTTATTTAGATCAACAACGTCTCTATTCTATTGATCGCAAGAATACGAGGAAAAGGAAAATACTTTTATGGAAATTTATATTTCAATGAAAATAAAACTATGCTTCGACAAAAGAAAGGTAGAAAGGTGGCGTGCATTACTATATCTATCTGCTAAGTAATATATCAAAAATATAAATCATTCCAACAAAATATACGTGAATTAAACTAATGACTAGTATGAAAGCGAGTTTTTTCTAATAAACAGCATTTCTCTATGCAATCGTTCTGATAATTACTATTACTTATTTTTCTGTATCTTCTCTTTATAATTAATAATTGAAGATACATGATTAGCATTACTTGATTTCAACGACTGGAAGAAAAACAATTGATTTCATCAATTAGTAAGCTTATTACAAGTTCATTCAACTGAAAGATAGCACAAAAACATGTACTGCAATTATTAATTAGGAGAGCTTGTACAAAATGATCCAACAAACCGAAGCAGCATCGTAGGGCATGTAAGTTTTGTCCTGGGCGGCGATTCGACCTATATTTCCTATTTCCTCTATTTTCAAAAACGTCCTATTTTTGTCCTATATTTTAATTAAAATTCCTATTTTTCCTATATTTTATCGAAGAAAGTAGAAAATTTCCAAAAACCTCGTAATTTTGCTATTGCCTTTAGACAAAAAAAACTTTTAATGTGTATAATCATGTGTTTTGGAAAATTTCTTGTATGATAGTGACATTTGTTTTAAAAAGTATTTTCCCTTTCGCCTATTTAGTGGGCTGATTGAGAAATTGTTTAATACTAAGTACAAAATACAAAATGGTTCAAAAGAAAAAAAACATTCACAAAATGAGCATGTACTAGTTTCGGGTTTTTAGTGAGGTTTTAGTTAGATATAAAAGTTGTATATATATACTCCTGGAAAAAATAAGTTTCACTCTGCATTTTGAAGATACTGTTACCAAAAGAACATATTTTTTTAAAGTAATGACATCTTCTGAAAGCTCGTGAAATTTTACACCATTCTGTGTGTATGCATTTTCATTTACACTTATTTATTACCAGAAAAAATTGATTTATGATAAAATACAAAATAAACTTGTGGAAAATAATAAGCAATAAATGCTGATTATCAGGACAATAAAATTAGGTTGAAATTCTTTGGGAAGTCATGTCCGTAATGTGAAACGTCTCCTTTAATTTATGAGAATAGTATTTGTCTTTTTCATGTATTTGTTTTTTCAAAGCTTATGATCTACTTTACTGTTATTTATCGATTTGTGAAAAACTTTTATAATGATCCTCGAATTAACGACTTATTTCCGTAGCAAAAAAAATACATAAGGATCTTGGCTATGGTTGAACTTTTTGTAACGAATTTTGTTTGATGATAAATGGATAGTTTATATTCGTTACTACTGCTGCTTTAATTTTATTTATTTGTGATCACAAAGAGAAACTGGAAGAATAGTGTTACCGCTATTCTCGGTATATACATGATGTTAGTTACACTACTCCATTCTTCGATGTTCTAGTTCTTTTCCAGCGCTGTCTACATTCCAGTTCTGATGTATAATACAATGTACTCGCTTTATATGCGTGCACACGAGAGAGAGAGAGAGGGAGAGAAGAAAGCGTAGAAAAAGATATGATAGACATTTCCACCATACTTTAATTACGTTCAGAAACGTAACAACATTGCGCAATGATATACGGATAATATTTAGAAGAAGATCAGATACATTAATGATAGTAGTAGGTTGTACAGCATCCATTGAGAATAACACATTCTATAACACTGATGAGAAAGTAATAGACCTATCTGCACGACAGTCCCAACGGGTAATTAAAAAGACGGACACCAAATATGTGAACAATAAAGGATGTCCATGCATTATTGGCACACTGTTTACAACAGCTTCATTAAAACGATTTTCGAGCAGGACAATTAAAAAACAGCAAAATAATTCAACAGAAACTATGTATAAAACATCCTATATTTTTAAACAAGTGCAATCGGAGGCCAGTCTCAATGTTATGAAAAAACCTAACTGACATATAGTGAAAACAAAACATATATAAACGAATCATAAAACAAGTTGAAAGATTTTCTATGAAAAAAAAAACAATCTCAACAGTCATTACAAACAAACGTACGTTACTAATAAAAAGTTAGTAACCGATTGCATTGTGCCTGACAAAAGAGAGTTAACAATCAATACCATCACCACAATCAACAGGACAACAAAAAGAAACAGAGAATAACAATTGTTTGCTCATGAATCTTTGCCAGTTATAGAAAACCATACAACTGGATTGAGCGGACAAGATAATAAAAAATCAAATACTATCAGTACGATCAACAAGACAAAAAAAAGAATCAGTCAATAACATTGATTAGCTCATGAATATAACGAAATAAAAAAGCAAACACGTGGATTGAACAGAACAGATGATACTTGAATGAGAAGAAAAAAAATAGAGAGCTATTGCGCGTACCTAAAATAACAAAGAAAAGGATGGTATATTTTTTTTCAACGAATAAATCTTTACTTACAATTAAATCTGACGATGATGCAGATGAAANTCTCCTTTAATTTATGAGAATAGTATTTGTCTTTTTCATGTATTTGTTTTTTCAAAGCTTATGATCTACTTTACTGTTATTTATCGATTTGTGAAAAACTTTTATAATGATCCTCGAATTAGCGACTTATTTCGGTAGAAAAAAATACATAAGGATCTTAGCTACGGTTGAACTGTTTACAACAGCTTCATTAAAACGATTTTCGAGCAGGACAGTTAAAAACAGCAAAATAATTCAACAGAAACTATGTATAAAACATCGTATATTTTTGTCATTTTTTGTCGAAAATCCTATATTTTTGACAACCTTGATCCTCTAAGGATTCCTATATTTTTAAACAAGTGCAATCGGAGGCCAGGTTTAGTCATTCATTACGTGACATTGGTTTTTTCACGGAGTTGACTTACATTAAAACAAACTTTGAATTTATGACGTATATCACTTTCAAGGACTGAGCTTTCACAAAAATTCACCACACAGAATATCAATACAGTAGATCATGTAACAATCTGTTAAGTGAAAAAACTATGCATGGGATTGTGGTTAGAATATTTCATTTTTTCTCCAACTATAATATCTAGGTGCTATGAATTTTGTGATAGAAATCTACAAGAGTTCTTTGGCTAAACAAAATTATAATCAGAAGGTCTTTATGTAGATATTTGTGAGTTTTTGTTATCCCTGTAGATCGACATGATGCAGCTACATTTGCCCTAATTATTCGATCAATTTACTTTACATGACACAACCATTTATTGGAATCAGTCTTATACTAATAACCAGATGAATGAATCTAATACCGAATCCGATCGGATCTTACAGGATTCAATAAGCCGACGAAATCCAATAGGATTCCGGGTTTAGCAACTACTAACGGATCCGATGCAAAATTCATATTGTATTCCCAGGACGAAGATGAGCAATCAGATCCTATCGGGTCGTCTTAATACTGACAGAATTCTATCGGAAGTAACTGGAAATTCAGTGACCCGGATTCTGATATAAAATCCGACTGGATTCGACTAAGTTTTCACCGAATTCGATCATTTCTAGTCGAATTCCGACCAAACTCGATGAAATCCAGATCGATTCTGGGTCACTGGATTTTTCGACCTGGGTGGATAGCGCAATCTTAAGCCTTGGCAAATATTCTTCATTGCTACATTCTTTACAGTATCTCTCATCCTGCTGATTTGGCTGAGTTATCAACATTTATATATAACTAGAATAGAATAAGCACGTCGTAAATACATGAATGAGCTATAGCAAATCTAGAACACAACTCCAAGGCTCAATGCTTTTTCTATTGATATTTACGCATTTTCAGGGGTGACACGACTGTTTGAATTGAGGGAGGAGGATTAAATTTATGTTTCAAGTTACCGTGCTTGAAAAAGAAAAGCTTCATCATACGCTCATACTTTGTATTTATTTTTCGTCTTCTCAACTAAGCAGAAATTTTTCAAGTTTCCAAAAATTGAGGGGTGGCGGTTAAATCTCCCAATATGCCCCCGATCGCGCGACCTTTGTACATTTGTCTGCATTGATGTAATGTTTTCGATATGGTCCGTTTATTTGCAAGAACTTTATTCGGTCACTCAGTGAATAGTATTCATTGACGCCAAAACATATCATAGATGAGTATTAAATAAGGCATTCTTTTTTCTGTCTGTATTATATCTATATAGTTTACTCTCATTATTATTACGTCTCCTTTTTTTCCAGAATATGCAACAGTATTTTAACCGATTCTTTTATTTGACGGTTCTGATCGATATAGAAATGTACGCCATCTCTCAATGTCAAAGTGGCTTAAATTTTCATTAGCTAAGCTAGACAAGCCAATCATTTTAATCAATCTGAATCACAATAAAATAAATAAATAAGTGATCAATGTATTTGTATTTATTTACTACTTTTACAATGATTCAGCTAGGCTCGACAGCCTATGCTTGGATTCGTCATGGTATGTCGATTATCTCTCTGTTTAAAAACTTTTTCAGAATAAAATAGAAGCACAAGTAATTGTAGAATGATTTTCTTCATCGATTAATCTTCTATGTACATTCAGTCGCTAGAGACGTTTGAGATGGCGCCACACATTGTGAATTTGATAGTGATTCGCTTATAGCGTACTATGCTTTCTCTTCTCTTTAGATTCACTATGTTTCTTTCTTTGTGTGTCCAATACGAAAAAAAAAGAAAACATAACATAAACTCTAATCTCCCTTTTTCGGGTATTCCTCATTCGCTTTTTTTCGATGCTTATCGATCGTAAATCCCTCCTGTTTGTTTTGGCGATTGAACGACAACTCAATAGGCACACACACATGTACATATGTATATATATATATATACATATATACATGTTAAAAACGAAACAGACAGACTGGTCTGTTACTAAATCAAATTTCTTCTTCTTCTTCTTTCCTAGTTTTAAGTAAGAACATTGATCAATTTGACATTTAAGATGAAGCAAAAATGAAAACGAATACGTTCATATTTGTTCTGTCCGAGAAATTATAAAAAAAAGAGATAAATTGATGAAAAGAAACTTTCTTTCGTTCTTTCGCGTAGTCTGTCTCTTTCTTTAATATGTTTTTTTTTTGTTGAGGTTCGTTATATTGACGTTATAAGTGCATCCTTTGTTTTCCTCGTTGACGCTCTCTTGAGAAGACAGCAAAATTCACGCACGACAAGAAAAAGTAGACATCATCAAGAGTTGTTGCGTGTGCAATTGCAAACGAAAGAGAGTAAGTGCTGATGTGTTAACATGATTACACTTGTCTATGTGCCGGGCAGCATCGACTACTAACGTTGCTGCCAACAACGATGTCGTACAAAAAGAAGAGAGAGAGAGAGAGACTGTTTAGTTATATGCATCTTTTTCAAGATGAATGGTCCGATTTCAAAGGAAAGCAGCTGCTTGAAGCTCGATTTTCAGGCCCTTATCATCCGTCTGTCGATGTACTGCGATGATGATTTCTGTATGAAAGAAATAGACAAAGAAGGACAGAGAAAAGAAAGGACTTGTAAAAAAATTGAGCATCAACATTCTTTTTTTGCTTTGCTCTCTGCTAGTATACCAATATCAAATGCTTGAGATTATTTATAAGAGATATATTTTGCATTATTATCTTCCCCATGTTCAATAGCCACAAGCAACTCCATCCACCTCGTGCAATATCATCTTTAGTCAACATTTTCTTTTATCTGTAATTGTAACCATACATGTTACACCTCTCTTTTCTTTTTGCTTCATAAGCATATGCACATTCGGTGGTCACGTCGTAGTGATATTGTTGGCACTCGATGATGTCAAGGATAAAGAATCTATCAATGCAAATTCACACTTGATTCATTCATTTCGTACAACATTTGCATTACTCAATATTGATAGAGTTTCTTTTCTTTTTTCTTTGCTTCGCATATAATATAACCTTTGTGTTTACTTTTTAATTTAAGAAAAAAAATCTTCACATAATCCATCGACATTTTAGATGTTAACTAGTGACATTAACGGCGATTCTAACAACGACATGACATCATGTAAGTTAATTATTAGTTCTACGAGGAGAACACATTTAACCTCTTGTTGAATATGACAGATCAAGGTTCTCAATTTTTTCTTCTTCTTCGTATTGTTGTTAGATTCCAATCATCTACATTGAAAATACTATGTCGTCCATGATAAACTCCACTAAAAATCGTTTTTCACCAACTCGTATGTTCCAAACGAAACTTGGTAGTGAATCTCCACCGCCTCATTTAGCGTTAACATCACCACCACCAATAAAACATTGGTATCAAACTTGTCATGAAACCGTATTAGCATCAAATGGTAATAATCATTCAATACAATTAAATTTAACAGGTGGTGCTGATAATGGTCAATTTGTTTATTTCAATGAATTAATATCATTATTAAAAAACAATCAAACGTCATTTATTATTCTAAAAGGTGGTAAAATCGATATAGATGAAATTATACTCGAAATCGATCAACATAAAGTTGCTGGTTGTACATTAGCTGATGTCAAATTAGTTATTGAAACACTTTCCAGTAATGGAAAACAAATTAAATTGAAAACTGTCAAATCGGGTATAATGTTTCTTTTAATCTTCATATCAACGTAGATTTACATAATGCTTCAAGGCACAAAATAGATTATTTCATTAATTTTCTACACATTCAAACTGCATTAGTCGTTTGAAAGAATAAATTGTTCTTTTTATCTTATTATTAATAGTAGTAATAGAAAAAGAAATTATCGAATTGCCCTATACTCTTCATTCCTACTGATCACTCATTTTGTCTTTCCATGAATGAGTGTGTCCTGTCATGTCTGTTTATCGAAAATATTTGTTACATACCGACAGTCGGTCTCCGTTCATTTTTCCTATTGTAAAGAAAGAAAAGAAAGAAAGAAAAAGGGCAGAGGTCATAACGCGTAGTGCATTTACATATCTCGATATCCTTTTCCTTCACGGGTAAATGATTCGATTACAAGGTCAACCTGAAGTTTTTCTCCGTTTATTTATTCTCTAGAGTAAAAGACAACGTTGATATAATCCCATTTCAATTTATTCTACGTATAAACTTCTAATGAGATAAGAATAAAAATTCATGAATATAAATATGGTCAAACATCAGAAAGATGAAGGTATTCTGCTCTTTGTTTTTTTCTTATATCTTGTATTAGCGCATGTATGGCTTCTTTTTTTATGAAAACAACAGTTGTTCGGAAATATATTGATGAATGAACAATATGGATAATATTGACATTCGATTGGAATTGATACCCGTTCATAGAATAAATCTATTTGTATAGGCTATATATTTCTATCATATCTTTCCGAAATGAATTGATCGTCTGTGAATAGAATCGAGAACGATGCATAATAAGGAAAATCATAGAGAAGCGTACTCGAGTGTTATGTAATCGTTAATCGTATAGAAATATAAGAGGAAGTAAAAACATGTGATTTCTTATTTGCGATATGATTATAGTTACAGCAAGACTGTTCCAGTAGTAATCGAAATAAGAAAATATTCAACAATACAATCACACGTAGTTTTCTTGTAATGAAGTTTGTTATTTTTATTGTGAGAAAAAAAGAATCAAACTTTCCTAATGTCATAGTTAGACTGAGCAACAGATCGATACGTACCATGGTCTATGTCGATCGATGACATCTGCTTATGTTCCATTTTTTCATGCTGTGCTCAGGTCAGTTCTATTGATCAAGTTAGTTGGATTGAATTTTGTGATTCTACATCTTCTCTCTATCGTCAAAAGACCAATAATCGAATGCTGATGTCGACCATGTAAACAGACTTGTGACAGAACAATAGGTACTGATGTTCACTATGTACCACTGTATAAGGCCTCTCATTATTCTGTCTCTGCCTATTTGAGTCCTCCTTCTTTTCCATTCGCTTTTTTTGTTGATATCATCGTCACACGGTTGCGTTTTGTTACGTCATTTACGCTACTGCTGTTCTCGTACTACATACATACACATCCTTGCATACACGCATATTGATTCGAGTTGTGAGAGCTGATATTATACAGCCTCATCAGTAATATATATATATATATATCTTTATATACATATATAATATATACATATACATATTTTTCTTAATCCATGATTTGTATAAGACTATGTTGACAAACTCGAGTATCATGGTTCATTCCTCGTATGATAATCTATCTTCGATTTCTCCAGCAAAAGGATGTGCAGCGACAAATACAACTCCTATATTTGAAGAATTACAAGGTCGAGGTCAAATTTCTCATATGTTTACTAGAACAAGCATACATAACTTTTCATCAAATTAACAATTTATCACTATGTATTAATTTTTTCTTTCTATTAAAACAGGTTTAACCAAAGATCTACGTCAATTTCTTGATGCACGTTTTCAAAAAGGTTCAATAGATCATGACCTTCAACAAACAATACGCGACAATCTGTATATGCGAACAGTTCCTTGTAAGTATCCAAATTAGTTACAATAACAATGATAAGTGTGTTTTTGTTTGTAATCTATATTTAGGTACAACTCGCCCATCACGCCCCGGAGAAATAAACGGACAAGATTATACATTCTTAAGTACAAAAGATTTTCGTATACTAGAGAAAAGTGGTAATTTGCTTGAGAGTGGTGTCTATAAAGGCAAGTATTGAAATTTTGTTTTTCTTTTTATGGTTCTATTATTTATCAATTAGAAGAGATTTTTATTGTGTCTCTAGCCATCTTGATTTTTTTTCCAAATAGGACATTATTACGGAACTCCACGACCACCAAAAGAACCTCTTTTATCAAACGGACAACATCAATATCTTTCTTCAACAAATAACAATAATCATTTACGACGTAGTAATTCAGCGAACGAAATGTTTCAACAACAGCGTACAGCTGATAATGGATCAGAAACTAATGGTAAAAATATAACTGAAATTTCTTATATGCTAGTTCAATCTGGTTTTTTTTTGTTATCGAAGGTGGTATGCATTATCAATATCCAAATAATGATCCGGAATTTTTCGTTGGTCATAGTCCTAATGAACAAATGTTTCATCAATCCAATGGCGAAAATCAAGCATCATTAAGTAAAAAACACTTTTCGTTTTGTTAGCTAAAAAGAAAAGATTGAAGATCTCTGAAAGGAAAATCGTTCACTATCTAATACGATTATGTATTTTATTCATGAACAAAATTTGTAAAAGTCTTTTTTGTTGTCTTATTAGCTACACGATCGATGATGAATGAAAATTCTCTTCCAACAGCACCACATTTATCAGGTGAATTAATTTCCTGTTCATTACAAAAAAGTCAAACTGGTTTTGGTTTTACTATTATTGGTGGTAATGAAAAAGGTGAACATTTTCTTCAAATTAAAGATATTTTACCTGATGGACCAGCAGCACGAGATGGAAAACTTCGTCGAGGTAATTTCATTGACTTGATTTTGTTTTTTCTCATGTTTCAGAATTAATCTCTCGAATTTCCCCATAGGTGATATTCTTGTTTATGTCAATGATACTAATGTTTTGGGTTTTAGTCATACTGATGTAGTTCGCATATTTCAATCCTTATCGATTAATGATATTATACGTTTGACTGTTTGTCGTGGCTATCCACTTGTTGTCAATTTTGATGATCCACAAATTGATGTTGTTTCATTAAATGGTGTTCATAATTCATTATCAGTTAATAGTTTACCGAATGGTGGATACACAGAATATCAACCGAATTCTCATCTTAATAATTCTACTCGTCTTTATACAATTAAAATTCGAAAAGGTGATAGTGGCTTTGGCTTTACTGTTGCTGATAGTCCACTGGGACAACGCGTTAAAGCCATTGTTGATAAGCAACGTTGTCAAGATCTATGTGAAAATGATTTACTGTTATCGATTAATGGACAAGATTTAATTGGTAAACAACACACTGAAGTTGTTGATATACTTGTTAAATGTTCCAAAGATATGGACACTACATTTGTCATACGAAGAGGTAGAAATCATATTCTTAGTTTTTCTTCTTATTGATTATGAAATTCGTTTTCTTTTTTTTTACTTCAATACTGTATATCCTTGGTTGTGAATGAGGAAAAGACCACAAGAGAATTGTGCCCATTGATAGAAGAGAGAAAGAGAGAAAAGGGTATTTGTATTTGTAATAGAACATACGACTAATACCATCACTATACTATTACCTCTTCTTTATTCAAGTTTATATGCGAAAAAAATTCGCTTATTGACAAAGGAGTATGCGCGACGAAGAAAAAAATGACGATTTCTCTTTTGTAATATTTTTTTTCTTTATGGTGGAGTATAAACGAAAAAAAAAAGAGAGCGAGAATCATATTTATTTGATATTTTAAACACATTCAGAAGAGCTTTTTGATTAGTTTTTTTTTATTGTATGCATCGGTCGAGTAGCAGGTAATTTTTTCTATATATGTAGATACTAACATCTGTCCATAGGTGACAATTTTTCAATGCGTTCATTTCCAACCTGACCTTTTCTCTTTCTTTTACATCTGATAAAAAACTCAATGAGAACGTTGTGCGTGCCCATGTTCATCTAGCGTACGTATATATGTATGTGTAGAGACAGAATTTTTTTTCTTCTTTTTGACATATGCATATTGTACTTGAACAACGTTGAATGAACGAAGGGAAAAAAGGAAAATGAGAGTTCATTTGATATGATCACTTTTTGATTAGGTGTTAGAACGCTTTGAACAATAATAGTCAAAGTGAAAGAACAAGAGAGAGAGAGACAGAGAGAAAGATCGAATGATTATTGTTATTTTGAGTCGTCTGTCTGATTTATGATGACTAGTCGGAATGTTGTTGGCATGTCTCTTCCCTAAGGAATAGAAAAACATTCATCTATTCTGAACGCATTATTATTACAAGAATATAACAGACAGATTGATAGGCAACTTTACATATATCAAACGAGTTAGAATAATAACAACATGCTGAGATTTCGGGTAAAAAGAACAGCAAACAAAGGTACGATATTGCTTTCATACTTCATTCAATTCGTTCATTATGAATTTCGAAGTTAATCACTTTTCTCTTCTATCTAGGTGACCCCGACGTCAATAATAATAACAATAACAATAATAATAATAATATCAATATCAATACCAACAATAACAACAATAATAATCAATTTTTATTAAATGGTACCAATCGTTTTGATAAATATAATCAGGTATGTACTGATAAATGAATGTTATCTTTACGTTTGAGAGAATGTCTACGATAAAGAATAAGAATTTTATCTGTAGTTAACTTATCGACCGTCAATTGGCGGCAAGCATGTTTCATTTTTGACATGCAACACAGGGAATAAGGTGATTGAATATTATTTCAAGTAACCTCATATTTCTTTTTTCACTGCATGTCAATTCAATATCCTATCATTTATCTTTTCGTTTTTAATTTTGAAATAAAAGTTAATAGATATGTATGTATAAATGTTCATATGCATGTTATATTGTTAGTATTAACTTGATTGAAAAGATCAATTTAAATATACTTTAAAAAATGAATTATTGAGCAACGTGATCAAATATGCCATGCTTTTGTTGTTTTTTTTGAGTGCGCATATCATAAAAAATTGAAGTGTACATTTATTACGTTCTTTATAATGTACTTGAATATCAAATGTCTATTGAAATAAAGAATCCGATTTCATCTTTTTTCTAGGAAAACGATCAAATCGATACGCGATACTCATCATCCAAACTAAATGGTAGGAAAGAAGAAATTTTTTACTATAATCGATATCAATATAAACTCTATCGTAGAAAAACCTCGCAGTAAAACTCCAACTCCTTTTGGCTCAACACCATTAGCTGATACATTACCATTACGCTCCAGAACACCATTACCAACATCTTCAGCAACATTAAATAATCATCAAAGATCACATCCAACATCAACTGATAATAATAATCCATACGATAATAATTTAAGTTTTCTTGCACCAAACAGTGTTGATACATCAACTCCAATCATTGAAACAGAATTATCTCCAAATTCGATGAATAATTTTAATCGTCAAACAGCGTGGTCTCGTAGTGCACGTGACATACGAACAACAACAACAACATCAACCACAAATGGAAATGCTCCTATATTACGTAGTAAAACTCCAGGACCAGAATTTGGTACAACAATAACATCATCGTATCGCGCTAATACATTGATGGGAATGAAACAACGAAGTAAAACACCAACAGCTAACGATTTTTCATCTAATGGTCTTCACAATAGGTTAGTTTCAACTTAAGATTTCATTATTTTCACTTGACCTTCTTTTTTTGCTCTCCTATCTTTTAGTCGATCATTACAATCTGTTCATCCACAATATTTTGAATTAGTTGTCAATTTAACAATTTTACGTCCGAAGTAAATCAATAGTTTTTTTTTATCCTGTTCCAGTATATATATCGAATACTGATTATTTCTTTCTAGTGATGGTTTCGGTTTAAGAATTGTTGGTGGTGAAGAAGAAAAATCTCAAGTATCTGTCGGTCGTATTGTACCTAATTCACCAGCATATATTGACGGTCGACTTCGTAAAGGTGATGAAATCATTAAAATCGATGGTCACTCAACAATACGTGCATCACACGAACGAGTCGTTCAATTAATGCAACAAGCCAAAGACAATCAACGTGTCAGTTTAATTGTTCGACGTTATTTATATCCAAATAATAATCAACTATCAAGTAAATAAATTTATCTATTCATCCATTGTTTTCATTTTTTTGGATTTCGTCATTTTGTAGACCAATATAATCAAACAGATTTTGATTCATATATAACAAATGATTTTCGTACTAATTCAATAAATGATAATGGAATACGCCATGTTACATTACAAAAACTCAATGATAATCAAAGTTTTGGTTTTGTTATTATATCATCACAAAATAAGGCCGGTGCTACTGTTGGTAAATAAAGCGAAAAAGATTAGATAAAACTTTTAGTTTCATTTATTTTTTAATTTATTCCAGCTGATGATCACGGACAGGAACATAATGAAAATAGTGTTATTCATAAAGTTTGGATAGGTTAGATATGCATGCATGCATGTAGATTGAACTATATCTTTATATAAGCATGGAAAATTGGATCTATTTTCTTCTTCTTTTTTTTCTAAAAAAACATTCTCGAGAAGGAAAATTTCTTTTTATTAGAAAATTTTCGACTTATTTGAATAGTAATACATGTATTTTACAATTGAACATAATCTTAAATATATGAATATAGTCTAAGATATAATGAAAGATAAAAGTCCATATCAATAGGTAATCGTGATATTCTATAGTCGATTCTACATAAAATATCGGTTTTTAAGCATGTTTTTATTCTTGATACAAAATGAGACTACATTTTACTTCTAGTTTATGATCGTTCTATGATATGTACACACTGGGGAAATGTGCACTATGATGTGTCTTCGAGTTCATATTATCTTCTTTGATTTTATTCTTAAGAGAATACTCTAAATATGTGATCATTGACACTGATCAAATCTCAATAATCTAACTTCTTTTATGAATATATTTATATTATTTATAAAAATTACGAGTTCAATGAAAAACTAGAGAAAATATAAATTATTCTCAGCACATTTATTTAAAAATACTGTTTAATTGTAGGTAAAATAATACCAAATAGCCCCGCTGACCAATGTGGTCAACTTCATGTTAACGATCGTATCTTAGCTGTAAATGGTGTTGATTTAACTCATATGTTACATACCGATGTTGTTAATCTAATAAAAGATTCTGGACGTACAATAACACTTAAAATTGGTCCACCTATTCATTTTGGTAAATAAATAATTAAAAAATTATACAACAATATTTTCTAATTTTGTTTTGTTCTTTTGTCTGAAATAAAAGATGATCGATCTCAGGAAATTTCAAATCCATTTTCAACCATGCCCAAAAATAATCTATCGAATGGCATTCGACCATCTTCATCATCTTCAATGGTTATTGCTAATGGTAATCATCATCCATTACCGAATAACGGATATCATTCTATGAATACTGAACGTCATTCGATAAGAAATGCATTTTCACATAATCCGTTGAATATTCTTGAAAGGTATTTTAATTTGATAATAAAATTGAAAAACAAAATTAAAAAAATTCTTTTAAGAAATCAAAACCGCCCACCGTCAAGAGTCAATGGTGTTTTGAAATCAGTAAGTTATTCTTTAATTATATAACATTTTTTTGTTTATTTCTAAATTGAATCTATTTCGATACTATAGTCATCGTCATCTGCAGATGATTATTTTACTGTTGATCTTCAACGCCCATATCCAACTTCAAGTTTTGGCTTTAGCATTCGTGGTGGAAGAGAATTCTCTATTCCATTATTTATATTAAAATTAGCTGAAAATGGCCCAGCTGCACGAGATGGACGAATGAAAGTAAAAAGATTTCTTTTTGTAAAATTATTCAAATAACTAAATTTTTTCAATAGTCGGGAGATCAAATTATTGAAATTAATGGCCGTTCAACATATGGTATGACTCATAATGAAGCTATATCATTAATTCGGGATGGTGGTCTTCATGTTCGATTATTAATAAGAAAAACAAATGCACCTCCACCAAGTCTTGATGGTAAAATACTTTATTTGCTTTCTGTTGAGCTTTGACTAATAAGCTATTTTTTTATTTTTAGAACTAAAAATACCAATGGCACCAGTTGGAAATGGTATGGATTACTATAATCCTGGTCAAAGCAGCCATTGGCAACCAAGTGGTTATACTTAAAAAAAACAAAAGCTACCAAAAACGTGTTTCCTTTGTACTTTGTCTCTCTATTTTTGATGTGAACTCTTATATATTTTTTCGCTTTATGTTTAACATCATCACCTACGTTTACTGTGTATGCAATCAAATGTATTTGATCTAACTTTTCTTCGAATCTGAATTTGTGTAATGAATTTTTGTTTTTTTTCTCATTCTTTTTTTCTTTTTCTGGATTCTCTTTTTGTATATATCGATAATGATGATTAAAAATATCAATATAAACAAAAGCAAAACCAATACCTCAAATAATTTCTCGTCAGATGCTAAATACAATATTGCACAGTGTGTGTGTGTGTGTATATTTTGCCTTGGCTATATTTAATATGTTTAAGCCATTCATTGACATTCCTTTATTTGTTTATTACAGTCTGTGCAATGTTATTCACTTTTTGTTTGATGTGTTATTCTTAGATGTCTATGTTATGTTAATTACTTTTCTTTATTGTTTTTGGAAATGAAGATAAGAATTTTGGATAAATAAAACGATTTGTGCTTATAATTGATTTGACGATGATTATTACGTAGCAAGAAGAAGCATGTTATTTATAAACAAGTGCTTTAACTGTTGTGTTAAACATACATTATCGTGTTTATATTAGTGTAAACATAAGATGAAACAAGCTTTGATCATTAGTAATGTATATATGAATAGACATCATTGTTCTATATGAGATCTGAGTTGCGCCTAATCTATACTTTAATAGGATAAAACTCTGAAGTTAAAATAGTTTTCATCCTTTTTAACATGTTGGATTGTAGAACACTGCTTTTAATGAAAGATAAATTTCCATTTTATATGGTTTCTTCAGCAAGAATTTTCGTGTGCACTTCAACTTGAGAAATTAAATAAAAGTCATTTTTTTACAAGCTTTCTTGTATCCCTAGAAATTAACTTTTTAGCTTCTTGCTTTTGTATATTTTGTGCACTTTCATCTACGAAATAAAGTGTACGGTTACATGATGCTTAAAAAAACATAATGTACTGATATATTCTATTTCTGATTTTCATTAAACGGTGAACTACAACACTGATAGTATCTCTTTTACATATATCTTGTTGATTTCAATATTTATTTGAAATCAAAACTAAAATAGGTCACTTCATATATCATAATATATATATAAATTAAATCTATCGACATTGAGGTTGGCTAGTTAGTTGATACGTAATTTCTTATCCATGATGAGTCATACGTCGTGTTCTTTGAACGTTTCTGTAAGTAGCGCTACTGTCACTTATTTGAGATACATTTTATGAAAGAAAATGTTTTGAAAATTCTTATCGATTTTCTTTTCATAAAACAATTTTCTACTAAATTTAATGATTTTCACATAGAAATTCAGCATAATTTTGATTATCATCTTCATCAATACGAACCTCTACAGGAAGGCCTAAGATGTTGTCTTTATCCTTATTCTGCCGAAGAAAGAAGATTGTTCGAGAAGGTCAAAAAACGAGCTCAACTAGTTAAACTGTGGACGATGTAATGCTTTGCATATGCACAGACTGAGAGCGAGCTATGTGCAAGAAATATCTGATTATATGAAGAGTTAACTTTAGAAGCTTCTTTCACGGTTTCTATTTTACTATTTCTTTCGAATATATTTCTTTTTTCAAAAATTTTTTCCACTCTATTTTTATCAACAAATGATGAATCTAGGCGATTGTTTAGCATTTTTTTCACCGAACGCGTATTTATCTTGTTCTAATGTTAGTTAGATTTTTTCTATCTCTGAGTTTATTTCCTAACCATTTACTACAAGCAATATTTATAACTATTATTATACTCTATTGACTATAGTCCCTCGAAATTTTTATCTCGTTTATCTTCTAGATCACTTTACTTATATCGATTCAAACCATCCATCAGTGATCCGTAGCAATGGGAAAAGAAAAAGTCCATATTAACATTGTCGTCATTGGTCATGTCGATTCAGGTAAATCCACATCAACTGGTCATTTGATTTATAAATGTGGTGGTATTGATAAACGAACCATCGAAAAATTCGAAAAAGAAGCTGCTGAAGTTTGTATTAATTTTTACCTGTCTATTAAAACACTAAAGTTGTTTTCGTACCATATCTAGATGGGTAAAGGTTCATTCAAATATGCTTGGGTATTAGATAAATTGAAAGCCGAACGTGAGCGTGGTATTACCATCGATATTTCACTTTGGAAATTCGAAACAGCAAAATACTACGTCACAATCATTGATGCTCCAGGCCATCGTGATTTCATCAAAAACATGATTACTGGTACATCACAAGTATGTTGTTACCATTTTTCCTTTAAAATATTTTCAATTCTATGATTTGTTTGTTGAAAGGCTGATTGCGCCGTATTGGTTGTTGCTGCCGGTACTGGTGAATTCGAAGCTGGTATCTCTAAGAACGGTCAAACACGTGAACATGCTTTACTTGCTTACACTTTGGGTGTCAAGCAAATGATTGTTGCTGTCAACAAGATGGATACAACTGAACCACCATATTCAGACAAACGTTTCGAAGAAATCAAAACTGAAGTATCCGCTTACATAAAAAAGATCGGTTATGCGTCACAAGGTGTTCCATTCGTACCAATCTCAGGTTGGCACGGTGATAACATGATTGAGCCAACAGAAAAAATGCCATGGTACAAAGGTTGGTCAATCGAACGCAAGGAAGGTAATGCCAGTGGTAAAACACTTTTGGAAGCCCTCGATGCTATTCTTGCACCATCTCGACCAACTGACAAACCACTCCGATTACCATTACAAGATGTTTACAAAATCGGTGGTATTGGTACAGTACCTGTTGGTCGTGTTGAAACTGGTGTTCTCAAACCAAACATGGTTGTCAGTTTCGCCCCATCTAACTTACAAACTGAAGTAAAATCAATTGAAATGCATCATGAAGCTCTTCAAGGTAAAATAGATTTTGTTTTCGATTAGAACATATGTTACTAAAACAAACTTGTTTGATTATTGTAGAAGCCGGACCAGGTGACAATGTTGGTTTCAACGTTAAAAATATCAGTGTCAAGGAACTTCGTCGTGGTTTCGTAGCTTCTGATATTAAAAATGATCCAGCTCAAGAAACAGCAACCTTCGTTGCTCAAGTAAAATTAATTATGATCTGTTTGACATCTTACTTATATTTGTATACTAATTTTAGGTTATCGTTCTTAATCACCCCGGTCAAATCGGTGCTGGTTATGCTCCAGTACTTGATTGTCACACAGCTCATATTGCTTGCAAATTCGCTGAATTACTCGAAAAAGTCGATCGTCGAACGGGTAAAGTAATTGAAGAAGCACCAAAATTCCTCAAGTCAGGAGAAGCTGCTATGGTTAGAATGATTCCATCGAAACCAATGTGTGTCGAAAAATTCGCTGATTTCCCGCCATTGGGTCGATTTGCCGTTCGTGATATGCGTCAAACCGTCGCTGTCGGTGTCATCAAAGATGTTGAAAAGAAAGCTCCATCGTCAGGTAAAGGTGGCAAACCAGCAGTTGTAGCCGCCAAAGGTGGTAAAAAATAAGCAATCTACTTACCATCTAAACTTTCTTTCCGTCTATATCTCATAAAAAACAAATACTATTGTTCAACTACTTTTCTTGTTCCTAGTCTTTTTTCTTTTTTTGACTCTCTGTGTGTGTATCTTCTTTTTTGGAAAAACACATCAATCGAAAGAGGAAAAATAACTATTCAATTATGTGATTTTCTTGTCATCTAGCAGTCGGTTAAGTAGTTGTTTCTTTTTTGTTATTCTCTTATTGTTCATTGTTATGTTAAGTTATGTTTTTGTGAGGAGAAAATACAAATAGAAAAAAAGATGCCCGGAAAGGATGATATTTATTTTGTACAGCATGTGTGCGCTTATTAAAACTAATGTTGGTTTTTGTGTTCGCATGCAAACAAAGACCACAGCAAAGATTCATAACAACGAAAACAAAGCGAAATATATATCATTGTTATTGTATATGTAGATCCTTAGAAAAATTTTGTTTCAATGATAACGAGTAGTTTATTTAAGAGAAATAATACAATCAAATAATGGAAACTATTGATCAGACTTAGACGTAGTTCAAGTAGTATTAGTTGTCGTATTAGTGAAACATATGTGATTGAGATATTTCATTATAGTTTCAATTATAGATTCCAAATTCAGTATCATGGACGATTCGAAATAAATAGATGTAATTGTATTTACTTGTAGTTATCAAAACATTTTACTGTAACATATTGGTCCTGTGGATCCTAGTGAAAATTTTGCAGGTTGTCGCATACTGAACAAAACTCGTTGATCGAAAATGTTATGCTATAGTATTAAAATGAAGAATAAAGAAAATTCAGAATATTAGCTTCCTTATTAATCAGTTTTCAAGTAACTAGAGGTCATTCTTCGTACTGTTTATCTTTTCTTTATTGGTTATGTATGAAGAGTTGAACAAGCTCTAGTGAAATATATAATGCCAAAGTATTTTACGAAAATCTATATTTTTGCATCTACCTGAATAAATCTAATTTAAATGAATGTTTATCTATCAGTGATTCAAATACACGCATACGTAAGCCGAATTCTCGAGTTCTTATCTAACTCACATTCGTATGAATCATACCTTTAATTTTAGTCAATAGTAAAGTGAGTCTTTTATATCGTGTAAGATACCGTTAGGATGTTTATTTCGTTTCTTGATACGAGAAGATATAAAAGAAAAGAAAAGAAAAGAGTTCACAGTAGTTTTTTGTGCATCGATTAGAAGCGAGGAAGTAAATGATAAACGTTTATTGATATAAGAGGATTAGATAGTGATCGAAAATACGAAAAATACTGTTCAAGTCCAGAAAAATAAAATTCTCAGCTGTAAGAGATGTTTCGTTATGGACTTACAATTGCTATTGACTGCGTAGTCTATTCTTGTATGAAAAAATGATACCTAAACTTTGAACACAAAATAATCGATGATTAGACGTTCAGAAATGTGAACTGTCTGACCGGGATTATTCATCGTTGATCCATTAAATTCTATCAATTGAACTTCTGTTATTTGAATAGCTATTACACGCAAGATGAAGAATCATGTTTTTACATATAGTTAGCCAGTTATGACAACAACAAGAGAAAGTGGTTAAATGATAAATCGATGATGATCATCGTTTTTTCCCGACTATGAAGACTGCTGATTATTATAAATTACCATCGTTCTATTTCGTACGAAAAATTCATTTTGAAAACATATTGTACAGTCGGAAGAGGACGATTTTTTCTTATCAAATGGAATTTTCTACAGGGAACTAAATAGATACCGTAATATCGAAAGATAATTCATTACAAAGTACAAACATGAATAAGGTCTGCTTACCAGAGTAAAATTCAAATTTTAATTGGAAGATTCATATCTTATATTATAGTTATATTTAAGAAACACCATTTTGTTTTGCTACAGAATATGAATCATTTCAAATCGAAGCAGATAAAATAAAACATTCTACATTTGGATAGTTATCCGGAAAAATGTAATTAAACAAATATAATATTTGATTCGAAAAAATAACACTCAGGAAGATTCCTCCAAATATTGTTATTCACATATTTCTTTTCTTTTGATTCATGATATTTTAGCAAGTCAGATTTGAGATAGGATCTATCGGTAATCTTTTAGCCTTCACAAAAGCAACAATGCCGCCATTATTCAGTGACTGCTGTTTACTTTCTGTTTGTTTCATGAGCCATAGCGTCCACATGGTTTCACAATTCTCCACCAATCATGTATTCTTCCTTCTTTCGAAATGTTTCATCATTTTTAGAAAGTTGCGTAAATCTGGTGTAAGGCAGTTCGGTATAAATACAATAAGCAATCGAAATTTTCATTTACTTTTTACATTCACGTTAGTTAACTTTTTCAAAACACTACTGATTAATCATTAGCTATGGGAAAGGAAAAACTTCATATTAATATTGTCGTCATTGGTCATGTTGATTCAGGTAAATCGACATCAACAGGTCATTTGATTTATAAATGTGGTGGTATTGATAAACGAACCATCGAAAAATTCGAAAAAGAAGCTACCGAAGTTCGTATACTTTTAATAGCGTTGCTAATTAATAAATCATACATTTCTTAAATCTATCTATCTATCTGTCTAGATGGGTAAAGGTTCATTCAAATATGCTTGGGTATTAGATAAATTGAAAGCCGAACGTGAGCGTGGTATTACCATCGATATTTCACTTTGGAAATTCGAAACAGCAAAATACTACGTCACCATCATTGATGCTCCAGGCCATCGTGATTTCATCAAAAACATGATTACTGGTACATCACAAGTATGTTGTTACCATTTTTCCTTTAAAATATTTTCAATTCTATGATTTGTTTGTTGAAAGGCTGATTGCGCCGTGTTGGTTGTTGCTGCTGGTACTGGTGAATTCGAAGCTGGTATCTCTAAGAACGGTCAAACACGTGAACATGCTTTACTTGCTTACACTTTGGGTGTCAAGCAAATGATTATTGCTGTCAACAAAATGGATACAACTGAACCACCATATTCAGAAGCTCGTTTCGAAGAAATCAAAACTGAAGTATCCACCTATATCAAAAAGATCGGTTATGCGTCACAAGGTGTTCCATTCGTACCAATCTCAGGTTGGCACGGTGATAACATGATTGAGCCAACAGAAAAAATGCCATGGTACAAAGGTTGGTCAATCGAACGCAAGGACGGTAATGCCAGTGGTAAAACACTTTTGGAAGCCCTCGATTCCATTCTTGCACCATCTCGACCAACTGACAAACCACTCCGATTACCATTACAAGATGTTTACAAAATCGGTGGTATTGGTACAGTACCTGTTGGTCGTGTTGAAACTGGTGTTCTCAAACCAAACATGACAGTGCGATTCGCTCCATCGAACTTGGAAACTGAAGTAAAATCAATTGAAATGCATCATGAAGCTCTTCAAGGTAAAATAATTCTATTTCTCGGATGATATTAATAAATCAAATAAAAACTGTTTTGTTTTTGTAGAAGCCGGACCAGGTGACAATGTTGGTTTCAATGTAAAAGGTGTCAGTGTTAAAGAACTTCGTCGTGGTTTCGTAGCTTCTGATATTAAAAATGATCCAGCTCAAGAAACAGCTAGCTTTGTAGCTCAAGTAAGATCTCAAGTATATTTTTCACTTCAGTTTTTTGATAAATTTTTGTTGACTAGGTTATCGTTCTTAATCACCCCGGTCAAATCGGTGCTGGTTACGCTCCAGTCCTTGATTGTCACACAGCTCACATTGCTTGCAAATTCGCTGAATTACTCGAAAAAGTCGATCGTCGAACGGGTAAAGTAATTGAAGAAGCACCAAAATTCCTCAAATCAGGAGAAGCTGCTATGGTTAGAATGATTCCATCGAAACCAATGTGTGTCGAAAAATTCGCTGATTTTCCACCATTGGGTCGATTTGCCGTTCGTGATATGCGTCAAACCGTTGCTGTCGGTGTCATCAAGGATGTCGAAAAGAAAGCTATATCAACAGCCAAAGGTGGCAAGCCAGCAGTTGCAGCTGGCAAAGGTGGCAAAAAATAGCTAGCACAGTATCATCGTAAATACACATCACGAGCATTTGATCAACATTTCTATCAATCACAATTCCTGACAAAGAGCCCTATTACTATCATTCAGCTCTTGATAGAGCTTTTCTGGGAAAGACGGCGACAACTTAAAGACTTCTTTTCTATAGAATCTTCACTTGAAAGTCCATTTTCCGTTAATTTTACTTGTTTTCAGCTACGATCCTTTTCTATCCTATGCCTTTAGATGTTCCTGTTTTACTATTCTTTTTGTTCACTATTGTTGCCATTTTTCCAGATATTTTTGGAAAGAACTTTAAGTATTTTAATTTTTTCGTGATGGGCAGATCTGATGTGTTTACGAATTTTTTTTTGCATTTTTTTTCTTCTCATTATTATTGATAATGAAAAACAATTTATTCATCTAAAAGAAGTTGATGAAGATGAAGAAAATGAATAAACATAATCATAGACATACAACATTTTTTTTTGTCTTATGCGTTTTGTTTCGATGAAGAGATGTAGAAATGTATTACATTCTTGAAACATATATACAGAATAACATATGCACATTGCTTTTCATTATTGTAATGCTTAATAGATAGAATTAAAAATATTTCGTGAATACAATCATGTCCGGTGAACAAATAAATGTGGAGCAAATAATGATGCTATAAGAAAGTCTTTTTCTATCACTTTATATTTACATTTGGTGTTAATGTAGACGTTAAGAAATTTTCATTAACTACTCTTTCATTCATCTTAACATGATAAATTGTAGTATCTGAAAATTACACTAATAACCTTTCACTAAGTAAGCATAAAGTAGACTTGTAATAAATGAATCATATATGAATTTTAACGTCATCTTCAGCTCGCTTGAATAATTATAGTTCAAGACAGTTTTCATAATAGAGATAAAAAAAAAGATATTAAAAGTACGAAGCGCTAAATATTGATTTTTTATTCGTAGTTAGAAAATGCATTCCTTCAGTATAAATCAATTAGTTAATAATGGATTAATAACACTAGATCATATTTCAGAGAATGTTGTACGTCACATGCTTGATATGAAAGTCTCAGAAGACTCTGCGATAAATAATACGTCGAAGTTGTCTGCACATAAATTCAAATTTTCTCAGCAATACTCATCCCGAGAACACATGGCTCAACAAATACTAGATCATTCTTCTTTTATTAATACAAATATGGCAATGCTATTACGATCAGCACTAATGTCAGGTGCTGCATCCTTTCGTTATGCATTGCATGACTTCAAAATGATACATAAAAGAACATTTGCTGAAGAAATCAATAAATTTGATAAACAGCAAAATACGCTCTTATGGTATTTAACTATAGCTGGTCTTTATACTTCTATTGAAGATTTGTATCGGTTATCACAAGTCGAATTAAATATTAACATTAAAAACGGATCTTTTAATCAGACTATACTTCACTATGCTGTCATGAACGGAAACATAGAAGATATTCGAATAATACTTGAGATTGGTATAGATACAAATTTAGGGGATCAATCGAGTCGAACTGCTCTCCATTATATAGCGCTATATGGCACAAAAAATAAGAATGATGTTGATATAGCAAAACTTTTGATTGATCACGAAGCTTTACCTAAGTAAGAATTATGAAAAATAAATTCAAAATAAACAAGCTTCATAACTATGGTTTTAGTCTACAAGATAGTAATCATCAAACCAGTTTACATTGTGCTATTAGAAAAGAAAATTATGATCTTGTTGAATATTTGATTTCATTACCAACCGTTAATGTCTGCATAAAAGATAAAGAAGGTCAATAGTAAAAAACTATACTTCTATTTTGAAAAAGTCATCTTCATTGGATTAATTCATTGTACGTTCACTTTTATAGGATATGGTCCACTTGGCTATTTATGTGAACATATTCTCAATTTATCTGATATTTCCCTAGAATATAAGCAATACACAGATAGTCTTGAACAAATTTTCAAAATAATTTACCTTATCATCGATCGTTGTCCGTTCGATCAGCTGTCATATAATTTTCATATTACAAAAAATGATAAAATGAGTGAAAATCTCTTGTTACATGTATATAATAAATTTACCAATCTTAGAATACCAATGAAAACAAATGCTTTATTTCATCGTCTACACTCAATCGTTATTGGCACTGAACAAGATCATCGTTTGCTTGTTGAACAACTTCTCGAACTTCATTCATGGCAATCCGCAATAATTGCTTTATCTAATACACACAATGTTAATGTTTTAAATGCACTAATTGAATGTATCGCTCATGACTCACATGTATTATTAATTCAAAATATTTCCCCATCAACGTACCGCTCATTGTTTTTTGCATTAATTTTTTATGTATTAGCAACAAATATGACATTGTTACGAAATATTGTACCCATGTGTAAGTTAACAATCGACAATGATGATGAATTAGTGAATATAAAAACTATGATTTTTGTGTAAAGTTTTTGATAATTTTAATTTAATATTTTAGTGCCATACGTATATAGATAATTATAATTTACATACGAATTATGTTACATTCATTCATACTTGTTTACATTATGCACGTTGTAATGTATTTTCACTGAAACATCTCTGTCGTTATCATATACGACATTATTTGAAATCACATATAATTGATAAAATCGATAAATGTTCCTATTTGAAGTTAAAATATCGTGATTATATTAAATTCAATGAACTCTTATTAATCTATTCTAAGATTGATAATTTGTCGTACATAGTTTATCTCATTAAACGCTTAGTTAGTCAAACTTTTATCATAGAATAAAACTATTTTTTATCTATTTTTCTGTTAGTATAAAATTGATCAAATCAATGAAGATAAATTATTTCAAAATGAAATCAAAGCTAATCTTGAATCATCATCATATGATTTAAATAAAAATGTCGACATATCTACTTATTCACTTTATTCTACTGAGACTTCTTTAGATAGTCATACTGATCAAACTCTATCCAGTAGAAGTAATACACTAGAGAATGACTATGAATCTAGTGTAGAAACTTTTGAACCCATTCATCAACGAACCATAGAAGAAATAATGGTAGAGTCAAATTTTTCAATACAAAATTCACATGACAATCAAACAGAATCAGAACATTCATTACAACCAACAATGAAAACATCTATGGCTGAAATAAATGTTAGATCGATGATAAAACATAAATCTACATTATCATTTTCAGATGATGACAATTTAACTGTACAATTTCAAAATGAACTTGCTAATATGAAAGCTAAATCAAACGATATTGAAGAAATGATCACAAAATTTTTATTAAAAAGCTAGACTATCATATCTAAGTCATGATAAAATTAATGCTCCAGTAGTGGATATAGAGAAAACAGCGGAAAAAGGAAAAGATAATTAAGAGGTCCATGAAAGTTCGAAACACTTTCAACAAATTGAATTCAGACATAAAAATTTTGAAATCTAGCAAACTCTAGAGGGAAGAAGATGTAAGAAAAGTTCGGAAGATCCATATACCGATATAATTGAAACGAAAGGGGGTAACTATTTTTTTCAATGAAAACAGAGTTTTTTTTACTAAAGAACAACATTTTGATTATCTTTCAAATGTACATTGATATAGAAGATGGGTAGAGTGCGCTTTTCTATCACCAATAATAAACAATGGCTTCTGATCACAAGGTAAATTTTTCATTTACATATGATATAGTATTTCAAATATGATTTACTTGTTGTATGACGAAAAAAATACAGTTACAGAAAATCTTTCATATAATATTTTACATGTTACTTACTTATATTTTAACGTAAATTTCTATTCGTCTCTTGAAATCGCCAATCAATTCTAAAAGTTGAATGAGTCATGCATTCATCCGGGGGTGCCTACGGCTTTACCCTCTTTTTATCTCTATATAAGCAAGCGCTTTTTAGAAGTCACTTTTCTCTCACAATTTCAGAAAATTAATTAAAACTTCATTCATTATTCAATATGAGCACCTTAAGAGCTAAAGCTGTATTAATTGGCGATGAAGTTCATATCGCTGGTAATAAAGATCACTGGGGCCGTGGTAGTGGAGAAACAGCGAGTACAACAACTGCATCATCGAAAAAACCAGTTTTTGGTATCGTTGAATTCGAACAAAACGGTGATACAGTTGTTCTTACAGGAAAAATTGAAGGACTTGGAGAAAATACACAACATGGTTTTCATATTCACGAGTTCGGTGATGTTAGCAATGTAAGTTTTAACTATCAGTAAGCTTCGGTATATACGTATATGATAGAAGCAATTACATGACGCAAAAATTTACAGTTTTACAAAACTTTTTTAAAGTTTTCTTGTAGTATTTAAATATTTACATTTTTAGGGATGTACATCAGCTGGTCCACATTTTAACCCACATAAAAAACAACATGCTGGTCCAGATGATGCTGATCGGTAAAATAAACTGTCATATATTGTAATAGTATTTGTTTAATTCTATGGTTTTCTCGTTTCTAGACATGTTGGTGATTTAGGAAATGTTCAATCGGATGCCAACGGTGTGGTAACATTAAATCTAACAGATAAAGTAATTTCACTTCATGGTGGAAATTCAATTCTTGGTCGTTGTTTGGTTATTCACGAAAAAGCTGATGATTTGGGTCGTGGTGGTGATGAAGAATCGAAAAAAACTGGTAACGCTGGAAAACGTTTAGCTTGCGCTATTATTGGTACAATTAATGCGGAAAAAAAGTAATTCACCTAAATAAACGATTACTTCGTTCAAAATTAGTGTAGTGGTTTTTTCGAACTTCTTCAAATTTTTCATTATATTTCGTTCATTAAATCGTTAAACAAGCAAACCGCGTCCTATTTCATCAGTAGTGACGGGATTTTTAAACAAGGCATTATTTTCCTTTTTGATAAAAGTTATCCTATATGTTTCTTTTATTTCTGACATTTGATTAATAAAGAAGAAGTCGAAATTCTCGTGATCATTGAAAACTACACTTATTTTTTCCTTGATACGCATACTGCGCCATTTTAGATTGAAAAAAAAAAAGAATGTTTATTGCCAAAGTTGGTAAAATATGGATTTCATCATAGAAACTATTGAAGTTTTTTTTGGACGAAAAGAAAAAGAAGTTTGTGGATGGATACAAACTATAGAGAATATATTTTCTTAAAGTTGATCATATTTTTATTTGTTAAATGACTAGATTTAAGTGTAAACACAAGGAGAAAACATTCTGATAATGATGATGTCAAAAGAAAATAATCGTTTGATAGTAATAAAACAAAACAAAACGATGTTTACGAACACAATATTGCATGACAGTTAAATGATAGACAGGTGCAGATTATATTAGAGCTTCGATTAAATTGTATGCCCCTATACGACATTCTATGTAATTATATTGATTATTCTGATTTTGCTATTGTCAAAAACAATACAAATCAAACTTGTTATCAATAAAATTTAATTCTCTTTTTAGATATAAAAATCTATTAAAATAATGCCAAGTCAAGAAGATACAGCTACAGTTCGAGCTGTATGCGTTCTTAGAGGTGGCGAAAACAACACTGTTCAAGGTGTAGTACATTTTGCTCAAATAATTGGTATGAATCAAATGAAAATCACAGGTGATATACAAGGTCTTCCGATTGATCGTAAATTTACTATTCATGTTCATGAATTTGGCGATTTGACAAATGGCCCTCTATCCACTGGTGTTCGTTTCAATCCAGAAAAACAAGTTTCTAGTTCATCGAAAGATCAAGCATTTTATGTTGCTGAAGAATTTGGTAGTTTACAGGTCAATCAAGAAGGTCAAGCTAAAATTGATGTTGTTGATAAACGCTTAACTTTATTTGGTCCTTCGTCTATTATTGGTCGATCAGTAGTAATCATTGACGAAAAAGAAGAAGATTTACCACGAGTTGAAAATGAAGAAAATAAAGGATCAAATACAATTCCTATTACTCGATTTGCTGCTGGTGTAATTGGTATTTGTCAATGACGAATCTCAGTATCTATATATATACATTTTTTTTATGAATATTTCTTTTAATCATAATAAATTCCGTCCAATTTTCACTTCCCATCTTTTTAAAATAATTTTTTTTGACTGACTTGTTTAACAACAGAAAAGAATTGTTTTTTCTAGATTAATATTTGATTTTATTTATTTACAATTGTCTCGTCTTTTTTTTTTGTTTGGTCATGGAATCGAGAGATAGAAATCATCGAAGTCCTGCAATCATTCCATCTCGTATAGGTTTGATTTCGAATTAAAATAAAAAATATCTAATTTTAAATTCTAGTTGCTACTCCAATCCGCAATAGTGATGCGGATAGATCAGTTCATCAAATGATCGAACGCACGCTTCATGAAATTACTCAATTAAGCCCACCTAAGCAAGCTGCTGTTGGTGGTATTTCTGGCATGTAAGTTGATTGAAATTTGCATGAATTCATTGTTACTGTTTATTTGTATTGAAGAGCTGCTGGTTATTGTTTCGCAAAAGCAAGTAAAATGGTAGCATTTACTATCGGCGCATCTATTATCGGTTTAGCTGTAAGTTATCTTAGCAATAATTGTTCAACTTGTTTTTTTTATAGAACATGATCTAACTGGAATGTTGAAGTATACGGGGGAAATTTTCACTCATTGTACAGATTTCAGATAACATCGCACTCTAATATATGTACTACTTATTTCTAATCGTTGTGATCAAAACCAAGCTGAAAGAATTCTTTTTAACTAGATAGATTAAAAGAAACACTCTATTATAAGCAATCGTAGCTGGATTTTGTATCATATTTTTATTCAACAGGATTTGTGACAAAAGAATATTTTTATTTATCACTATTCTTACTTAGCTTGCTAATCAATCTGGTTATGTTGATATTCATTTTGATCGACTTCGAGATACAGCACAACAACAATTAAATAATGTTCAACGTGTAGCAAGAGCAAATCTTCCACCAACCACTACAACAAATGTAGATGGCGAAGAAATTGAAACATTTATTGATCAATCACCACAAAATATTGCTGATTCAGTACGTAGATTAATGTAAATGAATGCATAGATACATCTTTATTTTTATGTTAGTTAAAAAAATTTGCAATGGCAAATCTAGCAATAACATCTTCGTTTATCGGTGGTTTTCTTCTTGGTGTTGCTTTTGAATAGTACTCTTAATAGTCATACGAAAACTATAGAATAACTCTCAAACGAAAATCAAGCATATCGTGTGTTTATCTTTTTTTATTTTGTAAATTGTATAATTTGTATACTAATAATAAAGAAAAAAATCTAAATGGGATGTTTTTTTTCTAACATAAAAAGAGAATCTATGAAAAAGATAGAAATTGTAGATTTTTGATTTGTTTTAAAAAGAAAAAAGAATGTCTAAACATTTTGATCAATGGAAACACGACGCATTATCAAGTGATAAAGAAGATTTATCACGTAAACATTCTATAGATGATTACATTGTTAATGTAATTAATCGAATAAATGGTCATAATGATTATTACACAAGTTCATCATGTTCAGGTCGAACGCTTGTGCTTTCTTCATCATCAACGGTAACATCATCAACGAAAAGTGATTGTCAATGGTTATATGTTACCCACGAACATGCTGATTTAGAACTTGTATTGAATTGTTTAGAACAACGACCAAAAGAAATCGATATGGTATCAATTAAATTTGAAGCATTTATTTTACATGTGATTTGTCGAACATTGGAATGTGCAAAAGTATTACTTAATATCGCTCTTGAATGTGGCTATAGAAACTCAGGTTTAGTCATATCAAATCAAGGAAAAATTACACTTGCTATACGTTCAACACATGTACTTGAAGTTCCATTAGTGATTGGAGGAAATCTAGCTGTTGATCAAAATTATATTACACAAATTGTATCGATTGCAAATGAAAAAATGACTGCTAATAAGACGAAAATCGATAAATTCAGTTTATGTATTGAAAACAAATTAAATATAACATAAAATTGTTTTTTCATGATTCTCTGTAGACATATATGAAATATTGTTATTAAAAAATATGGTAACTTCGGATAAAATCAAAGTCTAATATCAATGCACGACCTATCCGCCCAGGTCGACTAATCCGACGACGGATTCTATCGGATCCTAAAACATCCTAATTACTAACCGAGGAAATCCAGTTGGATTCTGAGTTTCGGAACTATTGGCGGATCCGACGGAAGAATTTTAAAAAATATCAAAATTCCATTTACCCAGGTCGAACATTCCGGTCCCGGAAACGGCCGGTTCTGTGGTATTCCGGTGAAAGGATCGGTCACCGGATTTATCCGATTCCGGCCGGAATCGACAGGAACCTGTCAAAACTGTAGCCAAATACGGTTTCCGGATTCGTGCATCGAATTCTGGACAACTCCCGGTGGGTTCCGGTCCGAAACAGCGAGTTTCTTGCAGGTTTTCGCCGGAAATTCACGGAATACTGCTTCAGGAATCATTGTCCTGGGTAGTGCAAAAGAGCTTTTTAGAAGTTAAGTATAGCAGACTTTTTGGCGCATCGGATCCCAGAGTAGGATACAAGCGGATATATATCGGATTTCGAACCCGTGGATCCGAATCTCGGCCTGGAATCCGACGGAACCTGTTGGTTCTTGTCGATTTTCATGTAAGATCCGAGGCAACACATTTTCAGATCCGATTGTAGGAATGAACGACCTGGGTGGAAGCGTGACGGAATCACGTTTTTTAATTTTGTATTTTGAATATCTCAACTTAATGAAATTGAATGAAGCTGAAGTTTTCAGATTATATTCAAGCTTCATTGCTCTACATATCCTGAAGGTTTCATAGGATTAGAAACTTCCGTCAGAATTTTACGATTAAAATATAGGTCCGTTACGGAATCACCAAAAAAGATCTTCAAGATTGAGTCCTATGCGAGGAACTGGAAAATTTAGCTCAACCATAACTGTGAAGGAAAATCTTCCAATAGGATAGTTATAGTGGATATCAGAGGTATACGGTCCACTGGGTTTGACCAGCGGGGCCCACGGGTCACGTGGCGACGGGCTGAGAGGAATTTTTTTTATAAACTCGAGATTTTCGGGGTACGGTATTTTTCGATCAGCAGGTGGGTGATGTTTTTTGTTTTCGGGTTACTATACAAAATTGTCAAAATCTGTCTAGATATGTCTTTACTCTGTGTATACAGTATGAAACACATACTGATTGGTGTAACGATCAAAGATGCGCAATCGTTAGACAAACTGGACGAGCAGTGGCTCGCTGCTCGGCAATGATGCTTATTAGCTACTTCATGTATCCAGAGTGTCCCAACTTCATGCATAACACACGCTTATATATGAAGAAGGGACAAAAGTAGATGGACACACATAAGAATGAGAGCGAAAGGAAGAAAGAAGAGAACAATAGAGATCAGATAAAGAGAGAGAGAGAGCGAGGAAAGATCAATGACAGCTGTATCAATGTCGGCAAAATTGGTTCATTGGTTTTAGCCTATTATCTGCAGGTTTGAGTTATGTATGTATGGTGTGTTTCTTTTTATCGTTAATAGTGATTGAATTAAACGATTTATTATCGGATGCATCGCTTGATGATACATTATCATCGAACGTCGTTCGTTTATCTTCAATAATTTCTGCGTCTAGTTGTCAACATGCAAATATTTTTAAATACAACGCAAGCAGTCACTGAAAAAAATGGTACAATGTCCAACCAAAAAGGGTCTACTGAACTAAAAAAACGGCTTCGAATTTGTTACAATTCTCGAAATCTTTTTAGTTTCGTAGAGAGAGCTAAAAACTACTTCAGAAATAATCCTAGGGTAATAAAAAATACTCTGTGGCACCGAAGATTTCGTGAAAACTTTTTGAGGGTTTCGTTTTCGTTAAAAAATGGTTCGGTTATGGTACAGGCTTTTTCAGTGCGCAGAACCATTTTTGAAACGAATACGAGCCCTCAAAAAGGTTTCGTGAAAACTTCGAGCGTCTCAGAATATTTGTGAGTGGCCTAGGACTCTTTCTGAAATATTTTTTAGTTCTATCTACGAACCTAAAAGAATTTCGAGAATTGCAACAAATTCGAAATCCTTTTTTTTGTCCAATATACCCTTTTGATTCGGTATGGCACCATTTTTTCCTCAGTGATATCAAGATTTTTTTTGTCAATCATAGAATTATTATATAAAATAAATTAAGTTTTAAATATCAAATATTTCTTCAGGTCACACGGGTGGGGAGTGCAGGTAACCCGTGAAGATTTTATCCACAGGGGTGGGCGGGCATGGCTAGATTCAGAGAAATTATATACGGGGATCAGCGGGACGAGTTTGTAAGCTTTGCGGAACGGGACCCGTTGGGAGTGAAAATTTTCTGCCCCGCACACTTCTGGTGCATATGACATTCTATCTGTAGAAAAAAAGAAAATTGAAAATACGTAAAAGTATGCCTTTGAATAGTGGAAAAAGCTTCGTGATGGAATCACTTCTTTCAAATGTTCATGTTTTTTTAGTGCCTATTTCTTAAGAAATTTATCTATAATTCGAGAAAATCAACACATTTGCATTAATTATAAAGATGTACAAAATGTGTGCCGGTTCTGGCCATCTGGATTGTAACCGGGGAAGGGACCGAAAAAATTTAACTATACCATGGTCGAGACCCAGACCCAGGCCAAAGCAGAAGTGGTACCACCAAGAGGAAGAAAGTGAGACTTTCGTACTCCGGAGTGCAGGTGAAGTAGCGGAGGAGTACAGTAAAGTAGACTTAAGTTGCAGTTGTAGTAAAGAAATAAAAAAACGAGTATTGAAGAAACATTAAAAATGTGAGAAAACAATGCTGCAACATGTCTCTCTAAATAGGCACAGGCTGTAGATTATTTAGAATCACATGGCCAGAATAAAAAATGAAACTTCATCCGGACAGAAACCAGAACCACAATAAGTGTGCCGGGACTTTGGCCTGTATCTGGATCAAAAATAATGTTGCCCTGTGAATCTCTAATTATTCGTGAAAAAGTAATCAAGAAAAGTCACTTTACGTTGATCATTCTAATCAAGCGAAAGCTGTATTTCAAAAGTATAAGATACATATCAGATATCACCCATAAAATGGCATCTTCAATTGCGGTAATAACAATAACTTCAAACCGTCAAAAACCAACTTCGGAATTAAACAGTGAGGCTCTAAAATCCCATTACCTATATAAGAAATATAGGTAAGATGCAATATAAGAGAAAAACAATGTTCCTATTCTTTTAGGGAAACGTACTTGTTCAACCCAAAGGTGACGCCGTCACGCTCTCTGTAACGAACCAGAAATTTTTATCAAAAGTCAACTAATTCTGTGGATAAAACGAAAAAACTCAGCGTTAAAGCGCGCATTCGTAGAATCATAAGTATCTTGCTTTCGGCGAAGAATGAGTTATAGCATATTTTCGTTACGGAATCACAATCAAAAATGGACTACTTTTGAAATATAAATATTTTCCTTCAGGAAAAGCAATACCTGGATCTCTTCTTATAGTTGAAGAACCTACTCAACATAGTTCTAAAAGATGTGATCAGCTTTGAAAAATATCATATATGTCTGCATGAAAAAACACAAAATAAAAACTCTTGATAAATATGTATATTCATCGATAGAGAGTGATACGTGTTTAACAATATTTTCCCCCTAAAATATATACAGCTACCTAGATAAAAAAAAACGCACTTTTGGGTGCTATCAACAATGCTTTACAAGACGGTGGTATTTGTTTTACTCAATTTCGAAGTTTAACTTTGCTTACAAAGATGGGCGGTTACGTGAACAGGTCGTGCAACTATCTTTCGATACTTTTTCACAGACTAATTCAATGATTATCAGTATTTTTTGTTTGAATAAATCTTGAATATGATATTCTAAAATGTGCATTATTAATTGACGATTGCTATTTTGAAAGAGAATCTTCATGAATATGTTCAAAAATATATTTAACAGTTGTTTACAGATAATTTACTACTTGAAGATTCGCTGAAAATTAGTATTAGATCATCTTGACAAAAAAAAGTCTTTAGAATAGATGCTTCTCAAGTTCATAACTTTGATTCATTGTCTCGGTATCATATTTTTTAATTAATTTTTATTTAACACGTGTGATGCAGATTTCTGATATATTTTGATAAAGTTTTCTTTCTTTCTTTTTATAAAGATTAGGTCTTTTTATTCAGTTTTATTTTGAATTACTATTATAATAGATTTACCATAATTGCATTGAATTGATGCAATTATATTAAAAACTACCAAATTTTTATTGAACTTTTTCTTCTATCATCAAATGATTCAATTATCGATCGGTAAAATTAAACTTAATGCGTAAGTCATTAATCTTATATTCGTATAAGCTGCGATTATCAAAACAGTTTCCTAAGCAGCGTTGTGACTATTCTGATATAATTATTGATAATTTTAGTTGCCGCCTGAAATTTTTAATCTTTTAAAAGCCATTGATTCAATTACGTTAATATCAAGTAATGAGGTTGTTGACAGATTATAAATATATCTTAACGAGTGTCATTAATCTTCAAAGAAGAAACGCTGTTTTCAATATTCAGAAAATGTACCGAGTAGATCAATATAGAGAGAAATCTAATATATGTAAGCCCTATCAATTTTCTTGATAAAAAGGCTCGAGGGTAAGTTCTATCTTTACATACTTTTCATCCTACTCCATGGAAACATCAAAGAAACTTCTTCATATTCAAAATTCTATGGCTCCAATTTGTTTAAAAGGAATATTTCTTCATGCAGAATGTGGTAAAAGCTATTTTGTTATAATTATCTTTTGATCAATAATATAAATAAGTATTTCTATAAAAAAAACCTCCTTCCTGAGAATTTTTTTAGGATGATCGAACTCATCATGCTACTCATGAAAATAAACATTAACGATGTAGAAAAAGAAAAGCTATTTCATGTAATACATCTTGGTATCTTCTCTCAAGTAATACTGTTAATTATACTGAATGATATTCTAGAAGAAAAGTGAACCTTCTAAATGATATGCTTGTGACATATGTATAGAGAATATCTTTCTCAAATAGCATGCTGTGCAAAAGTCTTTGCAATAATGCCAGACGCTGTTAGATCATGTTGGAGACTTCTAATTCAGCTGAGTTTTTTCTTGTTGGAAAGAGCAGTGTCTGAACTTCAAATTTTGTACCAAACATATTTTTCTAGGACGAATCTGGAAATGAGGAAAAGCCAAAAACTAAGCGCATGAAAAAAACGTTCTTGCAACCTAAAAAACTCGGTATTTCAGAAATATTTTAGACTCCATGAGTAGAATTTTAACAAAACAAACACCACAATGTAGAGTTTCGAAAACTCTATCGATACCAGCTTGTGGAAGATTTTTAGATTCATTCTTGAATCGTTCATAAAAACAAATTGAAAGACGAAAGTTTTGTAAAAGAAACACTCATTGAAAAAGATTATGAATTTTCAAGAATATCTATCAGGAACCATGTATGAACCAGGATTACCAAATTTCCTGTTTTGACCAGAGATCTCCTGATTTTCGAACTTTTTCTCTGACGAAAAATCTCCTGATATCAAGAGCTGTTTTTTGTACGAATTATCCTGATTTCTCCTGCTTTTGTTAATGTGACGATTAGCGACATTGTGAGCCTATATAGCGATTTCAAAGAGAAAAAAAGCAAATATATGGAAGCGTTAAACAGATATAAGAACCAATAAAGAAATATATCGCATTTTGTTTTTCTCGAATCAAAGTCGATTTCAATTAAATAATCAATTTTTGAGCATTTTCGTGTAAAAATCGATATAGTAATCGAAGAAATATCTTTATTTTAAATGTTTTCTCCAGCAATAACTGATATTGATGAGATTGAGATATCAAATTCATTACATGACGATGTTTCCTTACAAGTTGACCCCTTAACTGTTGTAACGAGAAATATGGCCCTTGCTGGTCGATATATTAAGATAAACTGGATAGAGGTGGAGTAGCTTAGCGCTACTCTAGGCAATGGTGTTTATTCGCTTCTTCACATATCCAGAGTGTAACATCTTTATACATAACACACGTATATATAGGAGAGGGATAGAAGAGAGACAGGAAAGAGATATATTATAACAATGGAAAGAGAACATAAGGAAGAGGAAGGAGAATCATCGAAGCGTGCCATCAATATTAGCCCAACTATGAAAGAACGTATTACTGTGAGACCAAAACCTACCACAGCTGCAGAATCTGTCAACTCATCATCATCATCGACAACAACAACAATAATAGATAAACGTTATGGTTCAAAATTTAAAAAAGAGTGGTTATTCAATTCGAGTTGTTTTACGTTTTTGCGAGAATGTAAACCGAATCTTACAAAAGCTTTATGTGTTGCTTGTAATTTACAATTTTCCATTGAAAACAGTGTAGTTGATGACAAGTGGATAATAGTGATGCTCAAAGTTTATGTGATGAATGTGATGATGATGATATACAAGATTTTGATTCCGATGATAATGAACGTAATGCTAAATGCCATGCAAAGCAAAAAGAAAACCATCCAGTGAGAGCTGGTCATTTGTGGACCTATTTACTTGATGGTGAAAGTGTTCCTAACTTTAAAAAGCTTGTTCAATTCATATTTTCCATTCCAGCTTCAAATGCATTTTGTGAAACAATCTTTAGTCATATGAAATATTTATGGAATGACAGTAGAAATCGAATGAACCAAGATTTTGTTGGAGCTGGATTAAAGATTAAAACGAATACTCATTTTACTTGCACACAATTCTATGATTATCTTTTAAATGAACCAGATCTTTTGAAACAGATTTGATCGTCAGATAAGTACAGTCACGTCGCAAAAGTGTCACGAATTGCTGATTAAATTGGTTACGCTTTTTCTACTTTGTATTTATATGCTTTGATTTTGATTCATCATAATTCGAACTTAGTGTTGAATTTCTATTTTTCATGTATCCTAATAAATGCGTTTTAATTATCTATTGAAATAAACTTTATGAAATCAACATTGTATTTACAATTTTAATTGGTCTATACCTACAAGAAAAGTTTTCATCATCAATCTGATTAGGAAAAGAGGTTAATGTGTCTATTAGTGAAAAGTGGGTGGTTATCAGATAAAAACCATCAAATGAGTATTCAATATAAACAAAAAACACACGTGATTTTTCTCCTGATAAACTCCTGTTTTTCCACAAAAACTCCTGATTTCAAAAATTTGAATTTGGTAACCCTGGTATGAACTCTGTTTGTTCGCTTTATTTATGTGATATATATCAGTCTTAGAAACTTGACAGCAAAAATAGCTTAACAAATAGCTTTTGCAGTTTCAAATTAGGCACATTGTGAGAACGATCAAATTTGTCAGTCTCTCTCGAAAAAAAGCAATGTTTCAGTACAAAAACTAAAACTAAATTTAACTTTCAATACGCCATTGGAAAGAGCATCCTTTATGCTACAAAAATCATCATTGATAGCGATTTATTCATTCTCTTTTTCACTTTAAAAGAATCCAATAGAAATAGAGAATGATACTGCTGGATGGTGAAGTTGCAGAATTTCTTTTCATGCGTTTAGTTCTTGGCTTTTCCTCATTTCCAGATTCGTCCTAGAAAAATATGTTTGGTACAAAATTTGAAGTTCAGGCACTGCTCTTTCCAACAAGAAAAAACTCAGCTGAATTAGAAGTCTCCAACATGGTCTAACAGCGTCTGGCATTATTGCAAAGACTTTTGCACAGCATGTTATAATGTTACAAAGGTAAAGATATTACTGTGGTTTCTTCATTCCACTTTTAACATGCTTTGAAATTGATTGTAATAGTATGTCTTCTATGTAAATAACATGAAAACGGCTATTGAATAAAAGGATATGCTTGAAATCTATAGTGATGCTAAATAGATATCTTTAAAGTTAGATAAACAAGAACTGAAGAAGTTAAATAGATTTTTCTCAGTTTATACTATATAGTGAAATGTGATTCAATGCATCTTTACGATTCTCATTGATTGGGGAATGCATTAAAAATGTCTCGTATTGAACAAATTGTTTAGAGTTACTAAGATCATTTATGAAAAAGATTTTAATTTAGTTTTATTGAGATATGATAAGAAATCACTAAATGATATCCATTAGCTATGAATTGAGTTTCAATCATTTGTAATTACTTAAAAATAAAATTTCACTTAGGATGCCTGAAATTAGAAGAACAATTTCACTTGTAGAAAATAATAAATGGATCGATACTTGCAGTTTCTCTTATTAAATATGAAAAATTAATTTAGTTTAGACTATAAAATAATCAAACTAGAAGTTCTATCGAGTTGAGAACCTGTTCAATAAATTTTCTTTCATTAATTATTATCACTAAACTATAGAGTATGAAAATATCATAGCAATTAAAAATGGCTGCTATTTTAATGCTAAGTAAAATCAATTAAATGCTAAGTAAAACAATGAATTTTTGCTAAGTTATTTATAGGAAATAATACTAAGTAAAAAAAACTATTTTTGCTAAGTTTTTTATTTTAATTCTAAGTAGACACGGTCAATTTTCTAGGCAAATATTGTAAATATCTAAGTATAAATATACAGTTTTTGTTAAGTAAAATGACATAAATAACTAAGTAAAAAAATTAATTGTACAGTTATTGTACTAAGAGAGCTTTTGTTGCTTTTCGTCGCTACACACTCCTAATTCAAATGGATGGAACTTCCTATCATAATCAGTTGTTTCTACTATTAGTACAGGAAATCCCTGCCAGTTCAGTTTATAAGTAGCGTCAGCATGTAACCGTGTTGACGTGGAAGAAATTTTCCATAACCTTTTCGTCGATATAAAAACCTAAATTTGTTATCATCATCATCGTCATCTTCATAAGTAACATTATATGACAGAACAAACGGTTCATCATCAGCTTGTGGTACTGTATATTTTTCAATACATAAAGATTCCAATTCTCCCAAACTTAAAGTTGAAGGACCAAATTTCTTTTTACGTAATCGAACCAAATAATTTTTTAGTTGATTAAATGTAATCCTAAAAATTTTGTCCTGTAATACTTGATGTATCTTCTTTAGTTTTAGTCGTAAATCAAATAATTCTTCAATGTTTTCTTTTGCTTCTTCAGGAAAAACCTTGCGATGAATTGAATTTGTATGATCGTGTTCATTTGCTCCACGAAATAATACTACTTCATCGGTATCATTTGGATAGTGTAGATATAATGCTGCGTTACATTGTTTTCCACGAAATTGTACTTGATTGCAGCGATAATGAACTTTAATTCCATCATAACCTCTGTTAGTATAATACCGACTCCATTGTTTTTCTTGTGTAATTGCCATTTGAGCGTCGTTACCATCAGAAAAATTTTGTCTTTAATCCAAAGAAGCTTACATCGAACCTTTCTCTTTTCTTGAATATCTTGTTGATTGATTTCCATTTCATCGTCTGACTCTGGTGAGCTTTCATATCGTTGTACCGTCACAAAATTCGTCATAGTTTATTAATTTAAAAAAAACTTTCGGTGGCATATATATGTATATATATATTTATATTTATATGAGGACCGCGAGAAATTTCTAGAGACTGCTAGGTACATACGAATTCTCTAGAAAACCATATAGATTGTATATTGTTGAAACAGCAAGCGAAACATAGATATAGTTGTACCAGAAAATACTAGAACAAAACGTATACCTACTCATGTATGACATCAGAACGAAAGAAAATACAGGTGGAATACACATATGTCATGACACCAGTTTAATGTTGATACAAGGAAAGCAAGAGAGAAAATACATACACCATACCACCAGGAGAAAATACGCTTTATCTTAGATGGTCCTGTACTTCGCCATTATTTGATGTTACTTAGTAAAAATAAATTTTACTTAGCGATAACATTTTTTTAATGTAATTTTGATGTATTAACTTAGCAAACAATTTGTACCCATCGAAAAACACATATACGGTTCTCTTCAACCACATAAATCGTCACCAGAAGAAAAAGAATAAAAATAAATGGGATGATAAAATGATGTTAACGGATTCGCAGTTGAAAGATCGGTTAGATCAAATCAATTCAATGATGTGCACAATCAATGAAAACTGGTTAAAAACAAAGGATCCATTTCGTGCGGAGCAAGTTGATCGTCCATGAAAAGTATTGCTTATCTATCGTCTCTGTTCTTTATGTCATTCTTGCTAATACATCGGACTGATTAGGCTTATCAGCATGTGAGGCTTTCTTTTCGTTCTTCTTCCTTTTTAATTTTTAACACTCTATCTTGATTCTCTCTTTTTTTTCGCTTTGTTTCTTTCTCTCTCTCTTTCTCTCTCTGTTATCTTTTTTCTTGCTCTCACCCACCCTCGCGTTTGTATTATTTTTATTCATGTAAGGATATGATTGCTTAAATGTTCAACTCGGCATGAGCTCTTTAGTTGTTCAGTTCTTTTAAAAACCTCTTTTTTTCTTTTTTGTGTTACATTGATCTTTTTCTAGCTCTATTATCCCTTTAGGACCGTCAGGATCATAGGGCAAACAAAAGCAAAAAAAGAAGTTTAAAACTACTCCCTCCTCGATATCTAATACGATCATGAAGTTATTTCGATTCTCGTGAAAGCCAGAATATACATTGTAACTCTAGTTTGGTAAGAAATACAAGGCTGAAATTTTGACCATAAATGTTTCTCATTAGGGCCAACTAGCGCTATAAGTTTCAGCCCTAAACTATGGTGGAAAGTCGCAAGTCGATTCTGAGGGTGTGGGTCCCCTTAAGACGATATAATAATTGAATTCATCTAGAGATTATTCGCATATGTCGTTTCTTCTTCCTCTAATATGAATATTTTGAATTTGGTGAAGATAATAAAAACTGGTGTGACTAACAAAGTTAAATTACTGAACTTTTCTAACTATTTACTATGCTACAACTAACTGTGTACTGAGTAATTAAATGGTACATTTAGAGAACGGCATGTTCTATCAAGATTTTTAGTACTAACTTCAAGTATAATTAATAATTGATCAATTGAACGGGATCCATCTTTAACAAATGCAAAAACTTTTTAGTGTAGAACCAACAATATGTTTAAATTTATGAACTTCTTGTTATATCAATGGATAAAATCAACAAAAGATGTTATCTATCTTCAAAATTATGCTCTGTAAAAAATATTGCATATCAGCTCATAATTTAGAATCTATTTCACAAGCTGATTTAACTAAATATGCCAAAAAAAAATGGACAACCTTCAACCACTTCAAAAACTCTTTTGATATTTGGCGCTTGAAAAATATCAAGATACATCTGTCCAGCTTTTCTTAAAAAGCCTGATAGCGCAGCCCCTTTGGGGCTAAAATATGGAACTCACATATGTCCCTTCGGCTTACTAAAATAATTCAATATAGTTCATCTGAAAAATCTACCCTGATTTCCAAAACATATAATTAGGTCATTGCCTATTCGCTTATGTATGCAATCGCGTATTAATTATTAGCTGGTATATTTAACAATGGCTGATACTAGTTTCTACGGTCTGTAATGGCACCCTAAGCTAGTTACTATGGTCTGTAATGAGTAATCATTGCGTTTTTCGTGTAGTCTGTAATTAAAAAAGAAAGAAATAGCAGCCTAATTAGTCAAGCTCCTAATTAGCACAGTTTTAAACTAATTAATGTCTGTAATGGGGAGGGGGGAGCCGCAAAAATTTCGCTTATAAACTTACACTCACCATTTTCTTCAAAAATATAGGTGTTCCACAAAGTCTAACTTGTGAATTTCGGACTCCTGCTCGGTGCATTTTCTCAGCCATGAAAGCTCGGATACAAAAACTGATGACGGATTCGGACTCTGGGACCCTGATAAGCTATACGAAAGTTTGACATAGATAATAAACTGGTGAAGAGTTAATTGCAAAAACTAGGAAAGCTTCGTATAGTCTACGGAACGAACACTGGTTCCGTTGACATTGTATGAAATCTTTTTTAACTCAATAAAAGATGTTCATGATTGAACGGGTTAATTCGAATTTAATTTGCTCGAATTACATTGCAAAACGAAATATTTTCTAACTCAATAAAAGGTGTCCATAATTGAACGCATTTATCAATGTAAAAGGAGCTAAATCAACGCTAGTTAACTAAGATTTTCTTAGTGCGAAAAAATTCGTCGATGAATGTACGGTGAAAAACGGATGAAGAGTGCGTAAAACGTCGTTTTATTTTTAGGGATACGTGAAAACAGCGTTTTTACAGATTTCTAGCGCGTTTTTACGCGTTTTTTTGAAGGTCGTGTCTGTCTGGGTAGAAGGATCACTTGTGCAATACAATGAATTTCACGGTATATCAACGCCACTTAAGCTGAAATATTTCTCATCATCCATAACAATAAAACAATTGTTCGAAATATGACGATATTAAAATCCACAATGTTTTTGTGCACGCTTCTCCTGATTTTTAACATATTTCGGTGCTTTAATTCGTTGTCGTGGACGAATATTTGTTCGTTGTTTTAAATTTCTACCAATTGTTCTATGGTCAACATTATAACGTCTTGATAAGATTCTATGACTAATACCACTATTATTATTCACAGTGAATGCTATAGATTTCGTTTGTTTGTTGTTCAATTTTCGTGGACGACCAGATCTTGGCAAATCTGTTGTGGCTTTAAATTGTACATATCTTTGGATGACTCGATGTACAGTTGAATAACAACAACCTTCTTTTTTTTTTAAATTCCATGTAGTTTTCATATTACCACCAGCAGTGTCATTATGAAAAGTTGCGACACGTAATCTTAGTGCTTCTCGTTCTTCCTTCCTCATCTCGCTCAAAAACATGTGTCACAAATGAAACGATATATACATATGCACTACTAACTATGCTGTTTCTAACAAAAAAAGAATAAACAGTCTAGACTATTTCCAAGTGATACACGAAGAAAAACAAAATTAATGCAAAACTTTTGCCCCACGAGTTACGTTTTTTTTTACAGTGTAGGGGGTTTCAGAAAAACTGATGTAACATCCTGAAAACTCATCATAAAATACATAAATCATAGTGCGTTCGACATTTTGCTCTATCACACACGCTATAAATCAAAAAGTCGAAAAATTTGACGAAAATTAACTTTTTAGGGTGGGGGGACCTAAAGGGGGCAACCCCCCCTCAAAAAACCCAATTTTTCGAAAATCGGAAATCGAGTTTTTTCATAGAAAGATTCGCCGTATTCTCCTCTTTCAGAATATATATAGGTTTTTGAGAAAGGCTTAAGTTTTAAGGGAGTTACAGGAGAAACATTATCCACCATAATCACGTTTTTCAAGAATTTTTCAAATTTCGTAAAAATTTTTGGTTTTTCGCTGTTCGTCAATTTATATGAGACTAATTCTAACCAAACACCATTGACGTGAAGTTGATGCGTCATACGGTGCTTAAGTTCGTATTTCTAAAACATTTCTGACCAGTATAACAGATACACTTAGCGTATTTTATTCAGGAACGCAGCTGTTTGAGAAAATATATTTTTCCACATCGCTTAGGGTGATGCATTAGTGACAGTGCAAAAATATAGTAATGTTAGTTTTTACTAGCTTTATGTGCTTTAGGGTGGGTGTGGGTGTGGGTGTATAGGAGATCCAACACCCACACCCTCACACCCTCAACAAAATTTTGTAAGCTTTTGTTAGTGTAGGAGTATGAGTGACGTTTAACCTCCTGAGGACCACTGTCTTCAGGCTGAAGACAAACAGAAAGAAAGAATTTTTTTTTCGTTCTGTCGTACCGTTGAACATATGATTAAAAAGCAGAAAATGGATAGAGAATCGTTCATTCAGCCGATGATGATTACTGACTATTTTCTTTTAACTAAGAAGAAACTATCAGCCAAATTTAGTTCAATAATTATTCAATATTATGCTCCTATTTTTTAGATCATGTTTTAGTCTATACTATATTTTACTATGAAATGTATCAAAAACATTCTCCTTATCCATTTTGAATATAAGACGTTGTGAACATACAAAACTATTCTTTCTATGTCATAAGACTTGTTTTTTTCCGAAATATTTTATTTCTTTCGTATTGTATAATACAGCATAATATCAAGACGATAGTACAAGTCCAAGCGACATGATAAAATACACAACATATATACAGCTGGTTGAGAACGACAGAACGCAAGAATTCTCGGGATTCAGGAGGTTAATAAACTTCTGTATCTAATTTACTGAAAATTATTGGAAAAAACTTTTGATTATTCAAAATTGATCTGAAATTCCAAGTAAAATAAATTGTCTTGTAGAGAAGCGTAACACCTTACTTCATTTGTAACCAACTATAACAAGATCTAATGAAACATGTTGAAAATATTTCGTTTTAAAATCAATTGTCAAGTCTTTCATGAAAAAATCGATATCTAAAACTTATTTTGTGTTTTTCTCGAAACATAGTTTTTCTGACAGTAAAGTTGAAATAACTTAGGCATGGTTCAGGCTTTCCCAGATATTTTTTTTTGTTTTAAAGGTCTCAGTTAGGATTGACTTTTCGTCGGATGGATTTTTGATATAAAGTTCTTAGGCTGAGAAGAGCTCAATTTATCGCCTATTTAGAGATGTGCACATTAAAATCCTTATAAAAAATCAATAGAGTCAAATTTCAAAAATCCGTCCGATGAAAAGTTGCGTATAGAGGCTAGCTTCAATTTAAAACTACTAGGATAAGTGGCACATCATCTACACATCTCAGACGTATTCTGTTTTCTACTTTCGTCCTACCATATTTCACATGGCTATTTGGGTTATTCCCATTATTTACGGAACTTCAGCGCACAAGTCTTAATCATCTGTATTTCACACTTTTAAAACGAGCATATCGTTTTCAGTGTTGGGAGGATTTAATATTTTCATCGATGTATAGTGAAAAACATCTAGATGGTTATTGTTATGCATACTGGGGAAAATATTTAAAGGCTCTGGGGAAGTCCAAAGATGGTTACTTATTATGGGAACAGTCGGATCTTAACGAGTATAGATCAAAATGGCAAGAGAGTGACAGTTCGATCCGTTGTCTTAGAAGATCAAAAAGATTCGTACTACACAGAAATGTTCTCGAACAAGCAATTATGTGAATGGCAACTCACGGCACATCAGATTCAGTCATCCATTACAGAGATGAAGATCTTCTTTGTTTTGCATGTTTCCCTGATAGTTTCAAGTAACTACAATTATTAAGGTCACATTGACAAAAAAAGAAAAAGGATATGGTATTAAGAGAAGGCAAGAGAGAAGAGAGAAAGGAGAACAGAACAAAACATACCAACACACTCATTCTTGTACTGATACTTATACTCGTCTTCCTATAATAATGGTGCCATATAAAATATTTTATCATCAAGTTAAACTCACAAATATTACTCACACACACTCATACGCAAACTTAATAGTTTCATCATCGATAACATCGCTCTGTGTCGGTTGTTTCACTAGTCGTAATGATATTATTCAATCAATTACTCTTGATTTTTATGGTTTCGTTCATTTTTGGAAATACAGAAAACACTACCGTAGATTCTCAAATCTTTCGTTCGAGACTGAAGAAGTTATTATTATCCGCGCTGGAAGCACATGAGAAAAAAAGCGATGATGGTCAACGAAATAAAAATAAAAATCAAGGATTGATTAATACACTGGTAAATCATAATAATCAGCTTAAACAGATCGAGAATAAATTCGAATTTATTACTAACAATTTCGCTAACTCCAGCCACGTGAAAGAAGTAGTCGAAAAGACCAAGGAAATCGAAAAAGGCTGCTATTTTAATGCTAAGTAAAATCAATTAAATGCTAAGTAAAAAAATGAATTTTTGCTAAGTTATTTATTTTAATTCTAAGTAGACACGATCAATTTTCTAGGCAAATATTGTAAATATTTAAGTAAATATACAGTTTTTGTTAAGTAAAGTGACATAAGTAAATAAGTAAAAGAATTCATTGTACAGTTATTGTACTAAGAGAGCTTTTGTTGCTTTTCGTCGCTACACACCCCTAATCCAAATGGATAGAACTTCCTATCATAATCAGTTGTTCCTACTATTA